CGCCAGCTGATAATTGAAGAGTTGGTTCAAGAGGGTGGCTGAAGAAATGAGAGATGGAAAAAGATTGGGGAGGTGAAAGAAGAACACTCTAGGAGGAAATAGGAGAAGGGGGATCATTCAAAGGGAGGGGAATCAGCTGTTTAGGAAGGTACGCGTTGATGAGGGCGTAACTACACGGTTCCTTTACCTCTGTCATATTTGAACAACTGCTGGGCCTGTGGGGTATTGATAATCAAATTGAAGCGCTCTAGGATATTCTCCAAGTCTCTATTCTAGTGAGGATCTTAAGAGAAAGAGGAGCCTGTGTAGGTTATAGGTTCAAGCATTTGAAGCTATGCTGTATGGATGATTGAGCTACCACGGTGGAAGATACTGCTTGTTCACCTTGCCTTTGTACTCAAGCCCATGGTTGGTGTATCTATGAATCCTAAAATAACCTCAATGTACTTGACCTACACTGGCTCTCTTGACTCCGTGGGGAATGTGTTGATTTGAGTTCATCTTTATTGTTTCCCCTCCTTCTCGTCCCGAAATTGACAACGACTAGCAGAAGAAGACTTCCTGAAACAACATCTAAATGTTCGGCTGCGAGCAAGGTACTTCACTGGGGATGACTTTGGGCAGAATCATTCACAATTGAATGAATCATCCGATCCCGTCCTCTACAGCTACAATATTCCCTTACTAGCACCACATATATGCGAGACCACGTAGACAAGAAGGAACAGAGCAACTTAGACAATGGCAGTGAAGAGGAACCGGAAGTTGACCCAGTCACGGAGTATGGAGTGGAAACCTCTTCTTCTCCCCTCCCAAGCCTTTGTATGCGACTACCGGCGAGAACCGATCAACAGTTTCACGAAGTCAATCTTCGAAGAAGTAGAGGGGTTTCTTTCTTCTACGCGAGAACAATCGACCCGGTGGAGGTTAGTTGGTTGTCCCCAGGGCTCTGGTGTTCAAGTGTTCTCGTTGCGTGGAACGGGCTTGTTGCAGCCGTGATATGAAGGTTAGTTCAATATATAAATCTATAACTATCCTAGACAAGAAGCTTCTCGAACTCAAATGAGCTATTTCAAACTTCATTTCTAGTATCACATTCTAGCGCAATCTGCAGGCTTATTCGTCAGTCTCTTGTTAGATATCGTTCTTTCTTTCTCTTGTCTCGCCTTCATCTTCTAGCCGGGATGGCCAAAATGATAGACACCAAGCTATAATGACTTGACCGAGAAACTGGATTCTGCTTCAAAAATTTCCTTTACATGATAGTAGTGGCGTAAAAAGCTGTGCTGTCATGATCGTCCCCCCAAAATTGCCGTCCTTGTAGATGGCTGAGGTATGGCCAAGCAACAAGAAAAAAGTTTGGGTTCTCATTACACCTCCTAGCGAGTTCCCCAGGGCATTTTCAGTCAATCTGACCAATAATTCTGAGCTGCCTCTATTGGCAGCATATAATCATGCGAGAAACTTAAAGGTACATTCAGGTAGATTGTGTTGCATGGATGCTGGTGTGGTGGTGCCCTTCTTCCGGAGATAAAGGGCTGCTCGTTTGGGCAATGGAAACATCAGAATGGCAACGACGAAATCTATACTGCAACCAAGACCCAAGAGTCTAGGGAATGGCTGTTGATGTATTTATTTCAGCAAATGCATAGATGGGATCAGGGTCTAGTTTGAAAGCCCCTAGGGTTGCCACCAATCATGTCTTTGCCGTCGTCATTCGGTATCAGGACTTTCATCTCTGGCCTTATTGTCACACAGTGTAGGACGAACAGCATGGAGCAACGATATAGTTTGGAAAGCTCAGATCCGAAGATCTTCCCTGCATTAGTGCAATGTTTGTAATTTTTTCGAGTTGAAGATCATCCGAGACTTGTCGGCGGAGAAATCGTGTTGCCACCCTGTAGACACCCTCTGATTGGGTGCCTGGCTGCCTTGGCTGCCTGGCGGACCCGCCTTCGCTGTCTCTTCCCCAGATCTCATCTCGTTCCACGTCTCTCTTTCTTCCCATACCTTTTCCTTATTGTATGTGATATTCTTTGTATCGTCATGTTCTAGGCCTAGCACGGTTAAATCGCTCTATTCATTTCTGGCCGCGTCCCTGGTGATCATCCACGTTGCATACCAATCAACGGAGATCCCCACTGCCTGTCGCAACGCTAGCGCCCATCAGCCACCCACTACCGTCATACCTTTAACCCCATCCCATCGTTCGTTGCGTCTGTTTTAGTTTCACCAACTACACCACGATCTCCCTCCAAGCCAATCCTTCGCCATGTTAGGAGAAGGCCGGGAGGAAGCCGCCAGGCTATATGTTCCCCCTCTGCTTGAAGATGACGAGCATTACAACGATCCCGAAGCTTCCGAAGACCTACCGCCGCCCGATGTCGAGGTTGGCAGTACTCTTCCCATTTGGCTGCAGGAGTCATCCAAGTCGTTTCGCTGGGGATGGGTGCCGCTACCGCTCCGAAAGGTCGGTCGCGCCACCGCCAATTGGGTCAAGGGCCCCGACCCACCACATATGCTTCTGTTGAAGCCGCTATTTCCGCGAGTCCAGGAACTCCCAGTCCAATACCTCGACCGTCTCTTTCCCAAGCGCAAATTTAAAACTGTACTCTTATTGCTGCTCTATATATCTTGGTTCTTGCCTTGGTTTTTGATTCTATTACACTCGCGTTCTTCCGGTTACATCGAAGGGTACGGTCGGCCTCAGACGTTGTCATGTTCGACAAACTTCTGGTACGTGCCGAAATGCAACTTCATCTAGGTATAGAATTAGCTAATGTGACTGCCTTAGGGAGTTCGGAAATGGGTGTGGTATCAACGGAAATGACTGCCGCCCATTTTCTTCTTCGAGTATTCCCTTCCGGTGTCCTGCGAATTGCCGTGATACCAAATTGCTAGAGCCTTACACCGTGGGAAACATTACGTACAACTACCAAGGACTGGTCATTGGGGGGCCTAAGCCCGATTCCACAGATGAGGCAATTTACCGTGCGGATAGCTTTATTTGCCAGGCAGCAATCCATGTCGGTGCAATCTCGAATGATGGTGGCTGCGGCGTCGTCAAGCTTGAAGGTGCAGCACACTCTTTCCTATCAGTCAAGCAACACGGTATCCGCTCTGTTGGGTTCCCGTCGACCTTCCCGAAAGCTTTCAGCTTTCTCCAGCTATCCTCCCCGCAAACTAGCTGCCCAGCAGATCCACGCTGGACGCTTCTTGGAATCACCGCTGCTGCTGTTGGCGTCTTGTGGCTCTTCTGTACATCACCGCCCGTGCTGTTTTTCAGTACATTCTTCATGGTGTTCTGCCATACGGGACTTGTTGGAGACCCGCCCTCGTATCCTTTCTTGGCCGACCTTGTCTCTAGTCTTCTATCACGGCTACTGCCGGCATCGTTTGTCGTCTACGTACTTTACAAGTTTTGTGCAGCACCGCTTCTGCAGCCAATCTCCTCGCCTATCTACCAGTTTTCCAAATTGTGCCTTTTCTTACCCCCGCTTTTTATTGGAGCTTTGAACAATTATACCTTTGCGCGGTTGATTCCCTTGCAGCGTCTAACCCCAATGGACATTCAGAAACAACCCGGGGCCAAGTTCGCATTGGCTCTTGTCATCCCAATTGTGATTTCGATTATCCTAAGCCAGGCGTGGCAGATTCGCCAGGGAGGCTTGTTCCCACGGTATTTGAAGATATACTGTACGATGGGGCTTATCATCTTGATCTTGCTTCCCCTCCCTGGTCTTCGCCTTCGTATTCATCACTATATCCTCGCCATTTTACTCATGCCGGGAACAGCCTTTCCTACTCGGCCCTCGCTCATCTACCAGGGCCTGCTACTGGGTCTTTTCATCAACGGAGTTGCGCGGTGGGGATTCGCCTCGATCATCGAGACTCCGGCAGCTCTAGGAGAGCAAGCACCACTTGGAGATGGAATTCACGGCTGGTGGGGTGCTACCTATCCTAATATTACAACCGCCTCCGTGAATATCTCCCTGCCAGACTTGGGATCGAACAACACTTATCGCGGCAATGGCAACATCACATTCGCTCTATGGGAACACGAGCGAATGGCAGCTCTAGCAGTGGACGGCATCTCTGTTCTTCTCAACGACGTAGAGCGGTGGCGCGGTTATCTTGACGAAGACAAACGTGGGGAATTTACCTGGCACCGCCATGGCCATGATGGCCTGGAGTTACAGACAGATTCTCGTGCGGTCAATCGTGATTTAGATACCAATATTGTACCCAAATCGGTGCTTTTGGCTGACAGTGATTTGGACGATAAACCCGAAGACCTATTTTTCCGATTCGCATTTTTGAGGGGCTCCGAGGCTGGCATTTACAGCCCAACAGGAGTTTGGCTGAGCGATGGCGCGTGGTGCCCCCCTGCGCCTCCCAAGAAATAGACATACTTTCCCCTCTACATTGGACACTGAGGTTGTCTTCGCGTTTATAACCTACCGCACCTTGCAACATAGATTGATTATACACTTTTGGTTCATGTGTGCTGGACGCGCTGTGCCCATTGGAGTAGTAGAACAGGCACGGCGTCTGCTGGATAACTCTCGTTCATGACGGGTCGCATTCAACGAAGATAGCACATTTTATGGTAGTCCATATCTGTTCCTGGTCGATACTAACCTTCTAGATTGAATCTATCCTCATTTATGCATATATCACTTCCTCCTGATGTCGTATCTTGAAAGAAAATTTCTACCACGTGATCGTGTCGGCTCGAGCCAAGGCAACAGCCGAACCCGAACTCGCAATTTGAAGCTTCATTCGTACCTAATTTAGCGATTTAATACTAAACTAGATACACGGGTATCTTGAAATCCATGGAGCCCGAGGGATCTGGATATGAGGGACGTCAGGAGCCAAGCGCACTGGTCCGACGTGCAGTAGGTGTTGCTCCACAACCAGACAAGTTGCAAGCTTCGAAGAGAAAAAATCTGGAGGAATCCTTCGAAGATACAGCTTTGACCAGTAAAATATTAATTATGGATACATTCAGTGTGATCAATGCCGTCTCCGAAAGGTATGCAGGTGCAGTCCCGAGTGGAACGATGTCATGACTTGATCTCACACCACTGTCACAGATCCGATGCGATAAGCGCACGCCATGTTCCAACTGTCGCAGCTCCAGCATTGCATGCAGATCAACGGGCGAAGGCCAGAAACAATCAGAACCCCGGCGGCGAGTTTTGATCTCAAATCAATAGTATGAGCCTCTTTTCCTATCACAGGACCCCATTAACTTGGCCACAGTGAGAAAAAGATTGATATGATCGAGGAACGCCTGGCAAGCATTGAAAGAACTCTTCAACAGCTAGCAAAAAATGCATCCCAACTACAAGGCTTCGTCGCACCACCGAATTCGCGCGAGCCTCGTTTCGTACCTTCGCCCCAGAAGTCAACCCCTTCGCAGCCGTTGTCCACTACACCGAAACCTGCTAATCCCAAGGGCCCCTTGTACCTAGCAAATCCTACTATCGAACAGCACGATTCAAGCTCTGGATTTGAGGGTAGCTCGTCTCTAACTGCCCATGGAGCCTACGCGAGCGCATTCCTTGAATCTGCTGTGTCCAAAGGCTCGCCGCAGGTCTTGTCGAGTCCGAAGATCAGCGAAGCTCTCTCGTCACTAAAGCAGCTTGTTGGTATCCAGAACCAGCGGCGAGAAGCCGACTTGTGGGGGAGTCAACCTCCCACCAAGAATGCGAGGTTCGGTGTAAGACGCGACATTCGTGATCTGAAGATGCCCCCTCTATCAGTGGTTCTAGACATGCTGAGAAAGACCCAAGGTACGGCTCCTTCCAAAAAAAAGGGTCTCTAGTTTTGTTTTCTTACTCCTTTAGAAACACCACCGGCCTTCTTTGGTGGCTATGTCCCCTTCCTTAGTCTGAAATTTTTCACCGAAAAATGCCGTGAAGTGTATTTCTGTATAGACGATTACTCCGATGCGGCATTTGTTATAACCAACTTTGGTATGTACAGTTTTTTCTACGAGTATGGCGCCACGGAGAAAGATGCCAATGTACGAGAGGATTACCTGCACTGCATTGAGATGTGTCGCGACAACCTAGAAACAGCGCTTGCCAATTTGAACATTTTGATGCCGGCAAACCAAGAATCGATCATGGCATTAGCTCTGGGGGTCAGTTCCCCATTTTCTTCTTGTCTCTTGTTTTCAGATACACATCCTCCGGAATTCTTACTTACAAACGCAGGCTATGCATGCCCTCGAGATTTCTAAACCATCCGTTGGTTGGACGCTAGCATCGACGGCCATGAACCTGTGTCAGACACTGGGCTATCATCGCTTTACTTCGATGGAGCACGACTCTTTACCAGTCCAACGCCAAAAGCAGGATCTATTCTGGGCCGTGTATGCAATTTTGAACATGATGTCCCTGCGTCTTGGACGTGCTTCGTCCATCCAGAATTACGATATCAGCCTACCGCCGCTCGATGAAAACCCAGAGATCCCCCAGCCATGGGGACCTGTCTGCGTGTGGTGGACTAAGTCGGCAATTATCCAGAGTGAGGTTTACCAATATTTATACAGCCCGGAAGCACTGCAGAAACCAGAAAATGAACGAGTCACCCACGCTCGCAGATTAGCCGCTGAGATGCAGTCGGATGTTATGGAGCCGTTTGAGGTAACCTTCTTACCCCTTTTTTGGAATTTGGTCGACGGAAGGAGTTGCTGATCTGGTACAACTAGAAATTCATGTCGTCCGAGCCTAAAGTATCCGAGATGGACATGATGTACCTCGCAACTGACAAGGTCAGTCGGCTGGCCATCATGACCTTGATCTACCGAGCAATTCCCGCACCAATCGACTCAGACCGTGTCGCCACCTTTATACCCGAATGCATTGAGACAGCCCGGGAAGCCTTGGAAATCCACCGTCAGTGCGTCGCAGCGCTCCAAGAGACAGACGATTTCATCAGAATATCATACATGCACTGGTAAGCATTCAGAAACGACTCCAACGACAGCGCCGCCATCTTTGATGCAATGACCATACAACCTCCCACCAACAAACTCTGACAAGAACTATAGGGGCATCCTCCTATCCCCCTTCGTCCCCTTCATTATCATTTTTTGCAATATAATAACAAACTCCAACGGCGATGACCTCGCCCTGCTTGAAGAGTTTGTCGCCTCCCTCCGCCCGCTAAGCACCTTCTCCCAGTCCATCGACCGACTACACACCCTGTGCTCAGTACTTGGCACCGTCGCTCGCCTTTATTTCGAAGCCAACACCCGGACCCAGACAGCCACAGACCGGTATCAAAATCTCTTTGATGTCGGTCAGGAATTCGATGTTTATCTCAGTGCACTTGGACTGGCGCCTACAAATCCCTTGAATCCTCTGAACAGTGGCACTTCCCAGATGGGGCACTCACAGGGATATTTCCAGGCTGATCATCTTGCGATGAATGTGAATTCGGCAGAGTTTCCAGAGCAGCATGTTGGTGGTTTCTCGGCGCCGGTCGATTCATCTCAGGTGCAGGAACAGGATTCGGGGACTGCTACACAACTGGGGAATTGGTTCTGGGGCAATCAGTATATGATGGGGCTCTTGGAGGAGGATTTGTCGCAATTCAATCCGGGGCAGCCATGAAGATGCTAGCGGGTGGTCACTAGCCTATGTCATTCTGACTCTATGTTCTCGTTCTTCCAACATACACCGAATTGGTGAGATTGTTCAGACGAATTTCAACATCGACCTCTCACAAGAACCTTGTCCTGCATCTCCTTGTAACGCTCAATCAGGAACACATGCCTCTCCTACGCTGTTTCACGTTGGAACTACCTGTGTCCCCTATCATCGACGTACACGTGACTAAAAGATCCCTTCCACTTGTACGGAAAACTCCAGACTGATCTTTTTGCTTCACGCAGAAGTAAAAATCTCCGGCCCTTAAAATGGCCCGGACCGCATTTGTGGGTCACTACCTTCTTATTGGCTAACAGCAACTCTCATAGCGGTAAAGAAAAATGTGGTCTAGAAAGGCCCGTATGAATCCCAGTATACAACCTACTCCGTACGTAAGTCCACTTTCAATCCTCCGAGATCGCTGAGGGTGGAGCCGAAGTCTTAAATTGGCATTGACCAATGATTTTGGCTGTACGTAATTCGATTTGGGGTCACTTCTTTGGCCAAAAGAGTCAAATTACTACGCAGGTGAGTGATTTTTTAACAAGTGAACATTTTGAACGTGGTTTCTGACAGGAGACTCTTGAAGACATCTCCCCAGCCTTATCATCCTGGCGCAGAGACCGTGAATGATTCGACGAATGAATGCCTTGATTTGATAAATCGATAACTGACCTTGTTGAATTTGTTGAAATAACGACCGCAATCGCAAGTCGCACGTCAAACGATACAAATCACAACGATCGGAAAATTATCACATCACCATGATCTCTACCGGCCTGAACCCCCACCTCAACACAGGCCACACCAAAATGGCCACTCCAGCGCTGGACGCAGCCAAAGCCGAAGAAACCGCACAAGAGTCGCGCGTGCTAATCATCATGACCGGCGGCACAATCTGCATGCAGCCCTCACCAGCCGGCTTCATCCCAGCGCGGGGGTTCCAAGAAAAATGCATGGCGCGGGTCCCCACCTTCAACGATGGCTCGGCCAGCGCAACAATGGACGTAGTCGCTAACGCCGCGCACGAAATAATAGAACATCCAAGTCTACGTACACCTATGACAGCCTACGGGCGACAGGTGCGGTACACGGTTTTCGAGTTTGAAGAACTACTCGACAGCAGCTCGATTGACGCCAAGGGCTGGACTCAAATCGCCGAGGCGATCGAGCGGAATTACACGCTCTTTGACGGGTTCGTTGTCCTGCATGGGACGGACAGTCTGGCATACACGTGCTCGGCGCTCAGCTTCATGCTACAGAATCTCGGGAAGCCGGTTGTTCTTACTGGGTCACAGGCGCCTATGCTTGAGCTCCAGAATGATGCTACGGATAATCTCCTCGGGTCGTTGGTTGTTGCGGGCCATTTTATGATCCCTGAGGTCTGTTTATATTTTAACAATCGATTGTTCCGCGGAAACCGGACGACCAAGGTTGCAGCGAGTGATTTTGCCGCGTTCGATGCGCCGAATTGTGCCCCCTTGGCCGTGACAACTTCTATGCGGACTAATGTTAATTGGGATATGGTGCATCGGCCTACGAGCTTGGAGCCGTTTAGTATTCAGACGAATCTAGATACTACCCATGTGGCTTGTCTGCGTATCTTTCCCGGGATCAAACCGGAGATGGTGGATGCGGTGTTGAAGCTGGATGGCTTGCGCGGGTTGATTCTTGAGACCTTTGGCGCGGGCAATGCCCCCTCCGGTCAGGATAATGCGATGATCAACGTCTTGGCTAGTGCTATCAAGCGGGGTATCGTTATTGTGAACATCACACAATGTGAGTTATGCCACGGCGTGGCACATCGATCAAGGTTATCCGACTGACATATCTTGTAGGTCTCACGGGCAGCGTCAGTCCAGTCTATGCCACCGGAATGAGTCTCTCCCGGGCAGGTGTGGTAGCCGGCCTCGACATGACAACCGAGGGCGCCTTGACGAAACTCGCCTATCTCCTCGCGCTGCCAGAATCCACACCGGAATCCATCGCCAACCGCATGTCAATATCGATCCGAGGCGAGCTCACTGAGTCATCCCTACCGATCTTCCGACACCCAGACGGTGCACTCTCTGAACGAATCCAGACACTCACCTCGATGGGGTATGCCATTGCCCACGGCGACCTGGAGAAGGTCCAAGTCATCACGAAGACGGAACATCACTGGCTCCTGAACGATGCCGATTACTCCGGCAATACGCCCATCGTAAGCATGATCACATCTCACCCGTTCCCGTCCCCGTTCCCCGCTCCCCGTTCCTCTCCGGTCCCCTGTCGCCCATCCTTTATCCCTCACCCTTCTCTCGTACACCCCACTAACCCACCACAGCATCTAGCAGCAACATCCCCGTCCATCGAAATCCTCCACTTCCTCCTATCGCAAGGCGGCTCCGTGCACCTCCGTAATCGCGCCGGTCGCACCCCGCTCTTCCTGGCCGCAAACGCGGGCCTCTCCGAGCACACGCTCCTCCTCCGCAAATCCGGCGCTCATCTGCATTCAGACGAGCGACCAGCGGCCGAGCTCCTGGCGCGACACCGCCCTTTCGTCTGGGGTATGGCTGGGGTTGGGCCGAAGGAGATAAGCCAGCGGGAGATGGAGGAGGAAGGGGAATGGGATGCTGGTACGAACCAGATGCTTCCTGGATCGGCGCCTGCTTGAATGGAGGCTTTTCCGAGTCTGGCCAAGGAGGTTTCGGGGTTGGGTTTGGGATTAGGCTCAGCCGGCCTGGACTGGACTAGGGGTTGGGGCGTTTTCTGTTCGTACCCTTCCTTCCTTTATGTAGGATGGTATGCTTCCCATTACTCTGGCTTTTTATGTACTAAGGTTTCTTTCTACTTTGTTTTTTTTTTAGGGGGCATTGGCCTTGCCGGGTGAGCCTTGCCGGGTGAGCCTTGCCGGGTAAACTTTGCCGATGTCTTCGTTCGGGGATGGGGAATCTTCCCTTTATCAATGCATTACCCTGGGTGGCTGAAATAGCTGTGCTTTGCCTCGGGGGTAGTGACATGTAGTATAGAGTAATAGACAAGATAGAGTACCCTAGGGGAGATTCTGACACCATTTTGTTCATGTCGCGCATTATCCGAATATTGCCTTCCATTATGATCACGCCAGAATTCTAGTGGGACTTCAAATCATAGCCCCCTGTTCTATTTCCATTGCCTTCTTTGAGCTGTGGCACCATCACCAGGCTGTAATACGGAATTTTCATCCGCGGAGATCGGCCCCTGCCGTAGCCGATATAGCCACTAAGTGGGGATGATAAGAGCGCTTTGGTGTTCACTGTTTTTTTTTGGGGGGGGGACGGTGGGGGTTTCTCCTTTTCGTTTCTGTTTTTCTGGGGTTAGGTGTTGGTGGTTTTTGTCCCGCTGTAGCTGCGAACGTAGAGGCACTGGATCTTGCTGAGGTTCTAGATCTGTCGAGGGAATGAATAGGAAGGGTACTTCCAACTAAAAAGGCCTGTTTTATGGTGGGGTTATCTGCATGATTGTTTTGGCAATTTTTTTTTCTTTGCTTTTTCCTATACCCACATCGTACAAGAGAACTAAGTATAACACAGAGAGTCCGGAATACGGAGTACGGAGTACGAGCATACCAATTATACCAAAGTCTCCCTCTAGCCATGATTGCCTCATGGATTTCGAAAATACTCTCATTTGTGGCTGATGCAGCAGGAAATGATGTGATGGTTCTGTTCCTTTCGAGAATTGCGGGGTTCAGGCACACCCATCTCCTCAATGCAGAACGCTTGTCTAGTTTCCCTCTGTCGTACTCAAAAGGTACCTACAGGTACCTTGTTACCCTAGCGTATCGGGTGAAATGTCAAGTTGGACAGGGCCAGTGTAGCACGTCAACCCTATGCCAAGACCTCAAAGCCGCGATTGGACCAACATTAGCCCACATCCTGGAGCAGATATCCGAGATACACCACGTGAGGCTGTCCCTGACAGACAGTTGGTGGAACAGGAAGGGCTTTGCGATAGGGGGTATCAAGTCACCTGCGCCATTTAGTACTTTCACTAGTGAGGACCTCCCTTGGGAATGGTTCCGCTCTGAGTTTCGAATTCAATGCTTGGCATCGATATCTCGCCAACATCGAGGGACTGGTCTAGGTGCATACGAAGGACGAAGTACGAAGTACGGAGTAGATGTCGATGGAATAGAATAGATGTACTCCGTACTCCAACCGAAGGTAAGTAAAATCTAAAGATAAGTTCCCGAATCAGGATCTTCCCGAAAATATCCAGGTGTGGTGCCGATTTACGTAAAATCTCTTAAAACCTGTGGACGAGACCGCACTGTGGATTTCTCTTCTCTTTTTTTTTTAAAAAAAAAGGAGATTTATATTTGGGGACTGTGGGATATTTGGAAGATATATAACGCATCTAGAAAGGGGTATATCCTATTCTATCATCCAACGTTGCAGGGTCATAGGCGCAGAGTATATATATAGAGTGTATAGAAAAACCGAATTCTTATCTTATCCTTTCTTCTCCGCGTTTTTGGAATTTGAAAATTCTCTGGAAATTCTTTGCAATTCCTGGGAAATTTTTAATTCGGGGTTTTTTTAATTTTTTTTTCTTGCAGAAGGAAAATTTGGAGAACCTCCTGACTGTTCCAATCGCATAATTTAGGTCAGATCACCATTCTTGTTACATACAACTTTACAACCTCTACCCCACTACAAAGCCCTTCTCGCCAAGGCTTACTCCGGATCTCTCTTTTATCTGCCCTCCTGCCCTCTTTGATAAACCTTTTTTTCCCTCTCTATACTTTCTGCCTCTTAGACCCTTCCCCCCCAAGGTCCCCCCCCCCGATCAACCCGGATGACACAACCGCAGAAGACCATTGCCGTGGTCAACGCGACAGGCCGACAAGCGGCCTCACTGATCCGCGTCGCGTCCGCCGTGGGATACTCAGTGCGCGCGCAAATCCATTCTTTGAAAGGCGTGATCGCCCCGGAACTTCAGCAACTGCCCAATGTGACCCTCTTGCAAGGTCCGCTCCTCGGCAATATCGCACTGATGGACGAGCTCTTCAAAGGCGCCCAACTCGCTTTCATCAACACCACCTCCCAGTCCGGCGACGAGGTCTCCATCGGCCGTGACCTAGCAGACGCCGCAAAACGGTCCGGTTCCATCCAGCACTATATCTACAGCAGTATGCCCGATCATTCTGTCTATGGTCCTTGGCCCGCAGTCCCGCAATGGGCGCCAAAGTTCACAGTCGAGAATTACATTCGTCAGCTGGAAATGCCGGCTACTTTCGTGTACGCGGGTATCTACAATAACAACTTCACGAGCTTGCCATACCCGCTCTTCCAGATGGAGCTCCTGCCAGATGGGAGCTTTGAGTGGCGTGCGCCGTTCGACCCGGACATCCCGTTGCCGTGGCTTGATGCCGAGCACGATGTTGGTCCGACTCTGTTGCAGATTTTCAAGGATGGCACGAAGAAATGGAATGGTCATCGGTGAGTGCAGGAAACCCAATCCGCAAAAGTCGAGTTCTCTTTCCGGGGGGGGGGGGGCCTTATGGACTCCTATCCGGAATCCGTGACTTCGAAAAATTCCGAGAACGAGAGACAAGGATCGAACGTAGCTAACATGCTGCTTCTTACTTAGCATTGCGCTCACTTTTGAAACACTCTCCCCGTTACAGGTGTGCGCAGCGTTCTCACGAGCCCTGGACCGCCCCTGCCAGTACGTCCGCGTGCCCAAGATCGAGATCAAAGTCAAGATCCCGCCTGGATATCGGGAACAGCTCGAAGCGCTGGAGGAGCTATTTGGCAGATGCGATGCTCCCTACTTCCCCCAGCCGGAGTTCTCACAGCCCGCTGCTGGCTCACCAAAGGGTCTTGGACCGGCGGGTGGAAAGGGCGCCGGTGCGGGTATGATGCAAGGACCTGGCGGTGTTGTCTCGCTTCGGGTGACAGACGAGTCTCGACATCTGTGGCAGGGCTGGCGCGACATGGAAGAGTATGCCCGCGAGGTGTTCCCTGTGGAAGAAGAAGCTAATGGGCTTGACTGGATGGTTTGAGTGTGTTTCTTTTTTTTTTTTTCTTGTCTTTGTGGCTCTTGCCCACTGGCTTATTGATGACAGTGCCTTGTTTTTCTTACGACAGTTCGATCTGGGCAGAGACGTGCATGGTGATGTTTTCTGTGCATGTGAAGCTGCCCTTGCTGTTTCGTTCTGCGTTGTTTTCTTTCTCTTCTAATCATTGCATTCTTGGCGAATGGGCATGGGATATCTGGAATTTTATAACTTTAACCTCGGTTCTTAATCGGAAGATGCTTGGGATAGCATTGGATGAGGTTCATTTTTGCTTTGTGATTTGGTCAGGTTTGATATCTGATCTACATCACCGAAAAAAAGTTGTTTTTATATTGCTTCACTATTTACTTCCCAATCTTGCTTCTGTTTTTCTTCTTGGTTCAATAAACCTCATCCTCAATCTCAAACTTCGATAAACCCCCCCCCAAAAAATCATAGGGAAAAAGACATCCCGACTCTGGTTACTGGCCATTAGATTATACTGCGATCAGGAACATGCCCAGATTCATTTTCCATTCTTCACTTCACTTCCTCCTCCACATCCAGGAGTTTGTCCCCTCTCTCCAGAACACCCCGGGCAGACCATGGGCTTTTATTCCCCGACTCATTTACCGTTTCAGTTCGTCTTTTGGCAAAACGTGACTCGTATCCGCCGACCCCAGTTGACCAGTCCTGCAGGTCCCGTGCGTCTATGCTGAGGGATTACACGCTCAACATGCAGACCGCTCCTCTTATCTTACTGGGTCATGTGTGAAAAAAATCCGATGAGGGGCAATTCGGACTCGGACCCCGGAGAGCAACATTTGAGTTGAAGAGGGGGCTTGTAAAATACATGCAGAGTAATTGGTAGGGTGAGAAGTGTACGGATCTAATGATGCGATCTACACTTGTTGACAGAGTCTACTTGGGCTCCCAGCAAAAATGAATCGCCGTCAGAATAAAGGATTCTTCCTTTATTTTTTTTGGTTCATCTAAGATTCTAAAATGCTCGATTTTCCCCTAGATTTTCGCTGGTCCCCGCTTCTTTTTGTCAATTGGAGGGACTGAGATGGAACGGTGTTCGATCTGATTGTTAGGGCTATGGAGGTGGCGGTGCAGGTTAGTATGCAACAATAACGATGTACAGTTATTTTCTCTAGCCAAGGCATGGGCCATTGCCCTAAACCCTGCCACTGATGGGTGGGAATGTATGCATTGGAGCTTCATTTGAAAGTTTTTATAGACATGGCGAGAGCCGTGCTGTCTGCATCTGTCAAATCAAAATCAACACGGTAGACAGGTAGAATGAACATCTCCTATAGTTTCCCTACTCATCTATAACATGAGAACGATGCACTCCATACTACCGAGTAGGGAAGCTCTCATCTCCTGTACCCCTCGACAAAACCCTCCAAGTCTTAACTAGTGTCAGAACGGACTTGAGATCCACCCCAAGATCGGCGTCAGAGTTTTCTCTTTTCTATGATGTAGTTCTCGACACCTGAGGCGGATTATTTATTGGTTGCCCGGGCACTTGGGTACACAAAGGTACTTTTGCTCTCCGCTGTGGTAGAAGGGAACACGAAGTACCGGCAAGTATCATCTCATAGCTGAGCTCTTCATCTGATGCGGGCATAGCTATTTTTTTTTTCTTCTCCCGTCCCATTCAATTTTTATTTTTCTCCCCTCCTCTTTCCCGCCATTTTTCTTTCCAACATTTTACTTCTGTTGATCTTGATTTACTTTACGACCCATCTTCACGAATACCCATCATGTCTAACGATCAGTCCCTCCTTGACCGCGTCGAGATGCCTAGCATCCCTGAGGCGGCTATGAAGAAGATTGCGATTTTGGAAGAGCAGTTCTCGCGTGCTGAGGTCGAACGGTGTATGTTTCTGATTCCCTAGTTTCTTCCTCTGTCACTATGGTGGGCCAAAATAAAACAGCTTGCAGCGTCTACTTTCCCATGGAAACACGACAATGACACTGAGAAACGTATAGTAATTGATGAGCCAATTGCTAACAGACACATTCTATAGTGCGCCACTCTGCTAAGCTCATGACCCCCCTGATCCAGAAGCGCAGCGAGATCGTCAACATTCCCGAAGTGCAGGCTGAGTTCTGGATGCGCGTGTTCTCCAGCGCTCCCCCCAACATCGACGAGTACATTCTGTCCAGCGACGCTCAAGTCCTCGGCGAGAGCCTCAAGAACATGAACGTGGAGCGATTTGAGCTTGATGCCCAAGGCAACGGCGAGCCCCGCAGCTTGCGCTTCACCTTTGAGTTCAAGACCGGCGAGGAGAACCCATTCTTCACCAACGAGAAGCTCGTCAAGGAGTTCTACTGGCGCCAGGAGGTCTCCAAGAACGCCGCTGGCAAGAGCCGCACCTGGGAGGGTCTCGTTTCCGAGCCCGTTCGCATCAACTGGAAGAAGGATATGGATTTGACCAAGGGCATGCTCGATGCTGCGTGTGACCTTGCTGAGGCTGAGAAGAAGAAGGGTGGTGACCGTAAGAAGTTGCCCGAGTTCGCTGCTCTCGTTAAGAAGATCGAGGAGGCTGAGGCTGATGCCAGCGCCGAGGATGACGAGGATGATGAGAACCCTAGCCCCGTTGGCATGAGTTTCTTCGGATTTTTCGGATACCGCGGTCGTGACGTCTCTGCGGCTCAGTCCAAGGAAGCTGCCCAGGAGATCGAGGCTCGCTGGGCCAAGATCCAGAAGGGCGAGGATGTTGAAGATGCTGGTGACTCCGAGGATGAGGATGAGGAGGATGACTCCAACAGTCTTGAGGAAATCGAGATCTTCCCTGACGGAGATGACCTCGCTGTTAACATTGCCGAAGACCTCTGGCCCGATGCGCTCAGCTACTACGGTATGTAGATTTCCGGATAGCGTGTGAGATGGTTTTTTCCCCCACTAACTGTGACTGCAGTTCAATCCTTCCAGATCGGCGAGGCGCTCGAAGATATGGACTTCGACATGGAGGAGATTGATGGAGAAGACTCTGATGAAGAAAGTGAGTTGCGTCCGCGCAAGAAGGCTCGCAACTAAACCATTTGCACCCGAAACGCCATGATCCCCCCTTATGATGATTTTTGCTTTTACCTAACCCCTTGATTTTGTATCATCACAGTGCAATGAGGAGGATTAATAATAAGACGAGGACGAATATGAGTGCCGCGATACAAAACGAGGACCATGTATCTAGTCGGAAAAGTTAGTTTGAACTTGAGATTCCCATACCATACCAGATTGTCCATCCCTGTAGAAATCCAGCATAGACAGAATAAACGGCCCCCCCCAAAAGAGATCTCTTACCCTCATTCTTGCGCACAATGTGTTTGATACGCGACATCCCATTCGACAACTTCCCCCCAACCCGGTCGGCCAGCGTATCAACCTCATCAATCATGACGGCCTGATCCTCCAATTCACGACCCATATCATCCGCCTGCTGGCGGAGGTTACCAACAGTGCGAAAAACACCATCAAGCTGTTCATCCTGCTCGTGCATAAGCTCAAACTGGCGCTGCTGCTCCATCGACGCATAATAATCATCCCCACTACGACCGCGCTCCTCCTCTTCAAGCGCCGCATCGAACTCCGTCGGATTAGGCAGCGTCTCGACAGCAGAATCAGAAACAGTCTGCTGTAGCTCCTCGTGCATTTTCTCAACCTCGTCACCGACATCATCGACAAGCTTGCGCCGTCGCTGCACCTCCTCTAGTTCTAGTCCATAGCGGTAGGGGTCTTGTTCGATTGCGCGTACGCTTTCGACAAGGTCATTCAGGTCTGCTGTTAGCTCGGTTAAGGTGCTTTCGAGCTCCAAGCGCGCTTGCTGCAGTTCTGGATTATTTGGGCTTTTGGCTAGCGACCGGATGCGGAGATATGAGGAGAACAGTGGTCGGCTGGTTTGTAGTGTTGAAACGACGTCACTGGGATCTTTGGTGGTTAATGGGGGACTTGCATTTTTGGGGCTGGGGTAGAGCTCACGCTTGGACTTGTAGGAATGGGTCTGCGTGCTCCATGGCTGTGGTTTGGGGGGTATTGAGCGTGTTGATAGTTCTCGGCCCAGGTTGGTCCACTGGTAAGCCTGGAGCGGAGGCGGATGTTGCTGACTCATTTTTTTACGGTGGGCTTTAGGGACAACTGCGCACCTCACCTCTTTTTACAGCATCAGTCATTCTGCACGTGACTGAACTGAGCATGATCACTAATCTGAGCCCGAGCATGAGCACCCTCATAAAAGCGGCGGCAGCTCAAATAGGGAAAGCCCCACCCACCAGGGAAAATCCGGTACGTATAGTTACATACGTAAAAAGAAGTCATTAATCATGTATGCCAAGACCGTAGTTATGCGTAATCATGGGCTTTGCGGAGGTCATTCCTTAGGGCTCCCCCCGGGTCGACTCCAAACTGACTAAGCGGCTTTGGGCGCGCCTGCGGGGGAGATTAAAAAAAAATTGCGATAACAATCCCCAATGGTAGTCCCTCATTTCACGAAATCACGACTTGTTTTGGGTTCTTCATGACATCCAACCTAGTATGACAATCCGAAATCCTCTTCCACTCTCCGATGAGTGGAAGGATCCCGACGAATATGTCCAGGCTCTCCTCTCCTTCGCAACTGAATCGGTCATGTTCATGAACCTTTGCGGTGGCGTGCACATCCTCGATTTCTTGACGCGCGATCCCGATTTGTACGAGTCACTACTACCGGAAGACTGGCGATCATTCTTCGAGCATCACGACATCCATAGTATCTTGCAACTGCTACTACGAGAGAACATTGGCCCGCTGTGCGAACCTGCCGAAACAAACACTGGCTCCGAGAATGACAGGACTTGGAACGGAAGCGCATTTCCGCCTGCAAGCCTCCTCGAGTACATTCGCGATATTCGACGATTTAGCTTCCGACGCGAATTCACCACACCTAAGAATAGCGAACCTCTCCCAAGCCACATTGCTATGGGCATGAATAAGAAGAAGAAACACGAGGTGGAGCAATTCTCTCGCTATGTCGCGTCTTTATCGGAGACAGTAACCGAGCATCGTGGGGAGCCATTGTCCCACATTGTAGATTTTGGATCGGGGCAAAATTACCTGGGGCGCATGCTAGCAAGCTCGCCCTATCACAAACATATCATTGCCATTGAGCGAAAGCACCAATACATCAGCGGAGCTAACCGTATGGATGTTCATGCTCGACTGACTAAACAAGAAAGGAAAAAGACCATACATAATGCAAAGCAAAACAAATTGAAGAGGCAATGCATCGACTGTATTGATACCCCAGAACTAGCCCCAGACCTGACCACTTCGGAGAAGCCCGAGGCTCCTGGATTGGGTGTGGGAGCACAACTGGAACGGAGCGTTGCAGTGCCAGAAGAACCTGCTGGGCCGGATGAAGACACCACGGCCTTTAACATGCTTGGTGAGATGACCCTAGAAGCCGATGATGTGCTTTCGATGGACAGCAAGCCACATGTACTACATGTACCGAAGGCACGACCGGAGGTTGATACCAGAGGCACCGTCAGCTATATTGAACATAACATCCAAGACGGCTACCTAGAACCGATCATTGAGCACGTCGTGGACCCAAAGACATCAGTTGAGATCCGGAGCAGCACAGAAGAAGTCACCATCCAACCAGAAGACAAGAAACAAAGTGACGCCCGGGTGATGGTCGTCTCTTTGCATTCCTGCGGAAACCTCGTCCACCACGGAGTCCGCTCACTAGTGCTCAACCCATCTGTTGTAGCAATCGCCATGATCGGCTGCTGCTACAATCTCATGACAGAACGATTGGGACCAGCGACATGCAAAATCCCCATTCTTCGATCCGCCCATCCCCGCCTGAGAAAACCCGGATCTTCATGGGACCCGCACGGATTCCCAATGTCCAAGCTCTATGAGAACTATCAAGCAACGACCACAACAGGCTTTAATCTCAACATTACAGCCCGCTCAATGGCCCTACAGGCACCCTACAACTGGGGCCGCGCCGACAGCGAAGACTTCTTCACGCGCCATTTCTACCGCGCTTTGCTACAGCGCGTTCTGCTAGATCGCGACATCATCCCTCGACCTGACGTTCCCGACGATCTCTACGAAGATCAAGCAGAGAACCCCAATGCCGGGGGTATAGCACTGATCGTGGGGTCCTTACGGAAGTCTGCATTTGAGTCTTTCTCTGCGTACGTGCGTGCTGCAACGGTCAAATTGAGCCAGGATCCGATCCGTGGCGAGTTGGTCAAAAAGCACATCTGTACCCTGACTGAAGAGGAGTTGCAGCGCTATGAAACGGATTACTTGCCCACGCGCAAGAATCTCAGTATTGTGTGGGGTCTGATGGCGTTCAGTTCCCAGGTTGTTGAGGCTGCTATTGTAGTTGATCGCTGGCAATTCCTGCGCGAACATGACTCTGTCAAGGAGTGTTGGGTTGAGCCGGTGTTTGAGTATGGCCAAAGTCCGCGCAATCTTGCTATCATTGGGATCAAGAAATGATTCCTGTTGTGGTTTGGTTCCCGGTTGCATATAGATAGGGTTGGGAGTTTGTGCTTTGGTGGCTTGGGGTATTCTGTGGGTTCTGGTGTCTCAGTCCATAACATGTGGTTCACATTTGAACATGGTTGCATAGAACATCTATCTATTGGATTATGGAGAGGCCCTAGCCTAACAACGAGAATAGCCATTAGGTCATGACAGATCTTGATGAGGCCCTAGAGCCCATCTCAACCTGCACGTTACGATTGAAATCTGCGTCCCAGAAGCGCAACCTGCTCTATTTCCCACCGACTCGCACCTTTGGCTATGTGCTTGCCTACTGATCATCGGGTGGAGCGGTAACTGTTTGGTCCGACGTGATTCTACCGAATTGTGTTCTAATAGAAAACCCCAAGCGTTTTGCCTCTGGGGAATTCGGGAAAAAATTGCCAGAAATCCAGGCACCGCAGGTACTCCTCAGGTGCCATGGGGCTCACTTGGACACGGGGTAACTAGGCCGCAATGGGTCTATTCGTGCTTTGCTTTGAACATTCTTATTCCTTATCTTTTGTTTCCGTGAGCATATTTTCGCACTCTCCCGTCCTCACCAGAGAAGGGTACCAATCGACCTAGCCCACTTTTGTTGCCGAACATCCCCTTTTAGTGTATCAACAAAGCCGTGCTGACCGCACTCTAGTCGCCCTTTATTAGTCCCATCGAACGAGCTCGTGTTGCCGTTCGTCCCGAAAATCGTTTTATTCTACCGTCAGTCGCCATGTCCATCCTAAAAGTAATCTTCTTGGGATGGGGCTATTGCGACAGCCACTTCTATACCTCCTGGATGACCATCCGCATCTGAAAAGACACCCACAGATCATCTATTCAAACATGTAGAGGGGGAAATGCAAGCTGGTTTACCACCTGAACAGCGCAATGTCCGCTTTTCAAGGGCCATCATGTTGTGAGAGGCTAGATGCCCCGTCGGCTCGAGGCGCTGCTCCGGACAACTTGGATATTTCAATTATATCCGGTCCTCTATCATGGAGAATGGTAAGCCCCTGGGTAACACTGGGACTTGTGACGAAGTTAAATGTAAAACAAATTTGCATGAACCCTCACCTATAAGCCGGAAGTGATGTTCTTTCTAGGCATTGAAATAGGATCTCTCCCCTTCTGAGACCCCGTCTCACTAAGATCTCTCGGAGCAGTGCCTCAGGCCCAATCGAACTGTGTGCATCTGAACCAGAGTAACGGAAACGGAAACTTCTGGGAGAAAAGGATTTTTTCTTTCCCCCAAGGCTGCAATAATGTCCCATGTTGGTCTCGGGTTGGAATGTATGTGGAGCCGGGTTTTGAGAAGAAATGAGCACATATTCTCAAGACGACAACGCCTGAGGCGCGATCGGGCCCTTAGAAATCAGATGATCGAAACCATCTCGAATTACAGCCTAACCAAATTAAAATAGGATAGCAACTTGTGACTGCATGGTAGATTGGTGCTTTGTTCCCATTTTAGTTGGCTATAGACTGGAGCTGAACACCCGTTACGGAGTGCCGAATCAAACCCGTCGAAGAGTCCGTATATAATTTAAGGAATTACGACTAAGAAGCCTCAATAAAACTAAAGAAGGGTTGTACCAAACTGTTCCATGGTCCATTTAAATCATGTCGATGTAAGATTTCCGCGAATTTCTAGCGCGTTGCTTGGATAGAAGCCCTACCATCGGACCTGTGATGGGGAATTGTGGCTGTAATGTCCCCCACATAGCAGCCATACAATATCTGATCCCTGCAGTCAATTTAAATCTGATTTAAAAGAAGTATATCCGACTTCTTTTCCGTTCTCCGATTCAAGTTCATAGTTAACACGAAATGGTCGCTTGACTCTTTGTCAACTTTCCTGTACCTTTCAAAAATCCATCTTTCGCCCAGCGTCATACATTGAAAACAAAATCGGCAAATTTATCGTAGCCGCACTATTGGTACCATGACCGCAATAAACTCGGGGGAATCCAAGGAGCCAGCCAACATCCAGACATCGTTGAGAGAACACCAGGCGAATGGGGACACCCAACGTTTAGAAGAGAGGAATGAGAGAGAATTGCTTGAGCACCCCGATGAAGTTACCCCGGAAGCACAGATTGGAGTCCAAAAAGCCGAAGCTGCGGCTTTGGTATGGACCAAAACCGCCTTGTATGCGACATATGCCTGGTAAGTCTTTTCCAGGCCTTGGACGGTTCCTTCAAACAGAGTACTACACTCAATCTCCCATCAGCATCGTTTGCCAAAGTAAGATAACACAATGACTAACATGTGATACGCGATGTCAGGATCTGGTTGTGCTTCTTCGTTCTGTCGATGCAATCATCGATCAGCAGCAACGTGATCTACTACGCATATGCAAATTTCGCTTCAGCTCCTCAGATTTCCCAGGCATTTATTGTCTCAACAATCGTTGGTGGAGTTCTTCAACTGCCCATCGCCAAGATCCTCAATTTATGGGGCCGCGCCGAAGGATTCCTGGCTTTCTTGCTGGTATTTATCGTAGGACTTGTCGTGATAGCCTCATGCCATGGTCCTAAAGGGTTTGCAGCTGGTTACACTTTATACTGGATCGGCTACACTGCCCTGAATTTCATTCTGTCAGTCTTTGTTGCTGATGCCTCTGGCCTGCGTAACCGAGCTTTTGTCTACGCATTTATCGGTACACCCACGATCTGCACTGCCTTCGTGGGCCCTCTCATTGCTCAGGAATTCGTGGCCCACTCTACTTGGCGCTGGGCTTACGGCTGTTTTGCTATCATCGCCTTGTCACTCTTTGTGCCACTTGCTGTCGTGTTCAAGTTCTACCAACGCAAGGCCGAGCAGTTGAATCTTTTTGTTCGGGTCCCGAGTGGTCGCACGATAGGGCAGTCGGTTGTTCATTACTTCCACGAGTTTGACGTTGTTGGCGCTTTCATCCTCATGGCAGCCTTCATCCTCTTTCTTCTTCCCTTCAGCCTCGAAACGTATGGCTTTAGCGGATACTCCTCGGCGACCTTTATCGCCATGGTTGTCATTGGACTCCTGCTATTCCCAGTCTTTGCTGTGTGGGAGCGGTTCTTTGCTAGGACTCCCTTCATCAAATGGGAGTTGTTCAAAAATCGCACCGTTCTTGGCGCTTGCGTCTTGTCAGCTGTGATTTTCTTCAACTACAACACGTGGGATCAGTACTTTTACTATTACGTGCAAGTTGTCTACAACCTGAACACCTCCAATACGGGATACATGACACAGATCTATGGCGTTGGATCGACGATCTGGGCAGTGTTGTTCGGCATCTGGATTCGCAAGACCAAACATTTCAAGAACGTTTGTCTTTATTTCGGCGCCCCATTAATGCTACTTGGCGCGGGTCTTATGATTCACTTCCGAGGCTCCCAAAGTCACATCGGATACCTGGTTATGTCTCAGATCTTCATTGCGTTTGGCGGTGGCACTCTTGTCATTGGTGATGAGATGGCCGTCATGGCTGCGGCTGATCGGGACGGTGTCCCATTGATGATTGCGATGATCAGTTTGTCCTCGAGCTTCGGTGGAGCGATAGGCTACGCCGTTGCAGGCGCCATTTATTCCAATACATTCCCCCAGGCCCTGCTCCGTGCCCTTCCCGAGTCAGCCAAAGCTGACTATGCAAAGATCTACGCCGGTGGCTCGGCAGCTCAGCTTCTGTATCCCCTGGGCAGTGAGACAAGGAACGCGATCAACTACGCGTGGGCACACAGCCAGAAGTTCGAGTGCATCACGGCGGCTGTTCTTCTCGTTCTCGCTTTTCCGGCAATCGCTATGTGGAAGAATTACAATGTCGACAAAAATCAAGTGAAAGGAACCGTGATCTAATGCTTCGAGTGCGTTTCGACACTGTGACCGATGAGGGTTGTGGAGAGACTAGATAGTAGTGCATTGATCACTAATTTAACCATGGTAATGTGGCCACTGAATTCACTTCAGATTTTTTTTTCTTTTTTTTTTTCAAATGATACGTAGTTATGTTCTCCATCTGATTTTTACGTTGATATTTAACGTCGTTGGCGCCCAGGCTAGACACAACGCTGAATCCTCTGCACGAGCACGTTTCCCCTGTGCACAAAATGGATGATCATCCTGACCAGCATCCGAGTCATTCATGAACTTCAACGTATGCATGGATCGAATCTATGCTGTATCGCCTTTGTCCAGCACGGGACGTTGATAGGTGACATGGTGCCCATTTCGGTGCAGGATCTCCAAGTCATAGAATTGGAGGGAAAGACATTGTGACAAGTTGGATCTGAGACGGAGGTAAACCAGGAGGAATCTGGATCATGGCGGTCAACGAAGAAGGTCGGTGTTCTATTCATGATGCTTGACTCGGCTTATTCTCAACAGATGCCTCCAAATCCGTCACGTTGACGACTGTGGTCAGAAGTTTCTTCATTTAACTTGCTCAAACGGATCCCCAACCTGATTACGGACTTTGTCGCTCTATCCGCCGTAATTTGTGTCGGGCTTTCACAGAATGCACCTAGTGAGGTTGGTTATCTGCAAGTCTCCAACTTTCCCCGCTAGAAATGTGCTCAATTCCACTCACCAAGTTCCAATTCTGCTACGGAATTCTCCGTAGCAGAATACAACTTGGAACCTCCATTGAATGTTGGCAATAGATTAAACGGTTAGCACTTGAGCCAAGGAAATAAGAACGACGGAGAAATTTAAAGGATTCCCACCAGCCGTGGGAAATGAGATGCTTGCTACAACAGACAGAACAAAAGTCCAAATACCAGCGACGATCAGTTGGTTCAACTAAACAGGGTTAGTCGGCCGCTTACGCGGCCTTGCGATTTCGTTTTGGAAGTCTTTGTAAAGGTTTTTTTACGCCTTTTTTTGTTAAGAGATCTTTTGACGCCTGTCCTAGTCTTGTCTGTTGTAGAGAGACAGTAGAAGGAGAATGGATAAAATTGTGAAATGGACGTTTCTACGTATACCTAGGGATCACTTTGGCATTGACTAATTGTCTCACTTGGACGGAGTAGATATCTCAATCTCTAGAATAGGACGAGTCGGTGAACGGGTACACCCACAAGGCCAGTGAGTTGTCCAAAGCCGGTGGAATGTGGAATTTCGATTGCCGATTGGGTGGATTCTGATCCAGCGCTGAACCAGGTTCACCAGACCATGAAAGAACGAAGCTGATAATGGCACGAACACAAAACTTTCATTCAATCGACTTTGGACAACGACGTTTTTATTAAGAAGCGGTTGTTGTATCCTCATCCTGCCGTTCGTCCCTCTTGTTTACACTCTTCCACTCGAGGAAGCAAGCTGCCACAAACGCTGCGACCATCAAAGCCAAACTAACGCGATAGGTATCCCGCAATCCGTTCATATAAGCTCGAATTACGTCGTCAAGTTGATTGAGGTGACCCAAAGTAATCAATACGTGCCTCATCTCGGTAGCCCCGGCGCTGATGATCGCACGTGCCTCAACATCGGGCGCATATGTGCGAATGCCTTCTATCAACCCATTCTGGAAGACCGACTGACCCACTGCAATAAAGATGGCTCCCCCCAGTGTCTGGAAGAACGTGATAGCGGCTGTTCCCACGGTCCTCTGGCTTCGGTACAGTCTGCACGGCTGTCATGGGGATTTGAAGACCCGCACCGATGCCGGCACCGACAACAATCTGGTACCCGATCCATTTCCCCATTGAAACATCCACGTCGTATAAGGTAATAAGACCGGTACCAATAGCAGCAAGAGCGGTGCTGGAAATCAGAAATGGGGTGTAATAGCTGACCGTCGTGACTAGAGCACCCACCACAATAGATGAAACTACAGTGGCAAGCATGAATGGCAGAACCTGAAGTCCGGCAGTCATTGCAGTGGATCCTTTGACGCTCTGGAAGTAGATTGGAACATATTAGACCAGGAGGAAGAAGCCACCGCTAAAGAAGAATGCAAACAGGCCGGCAGACCAAATGGTGCGCTGCTTGAGGATTGAAGGCGGCAAAGTGGCCCTTGCGGCATGCTGGCCTAGTGGGGGTTTTTCGTCTTCTCTACTCACATAGATTTGGGATGCGGCAAAAAGAATCGTCAACAGACCAAACCCCACAAACAGTCCGATGATGTGAGAACTTCTCCAGGCATGATCATTTCCGTCCCATTGCAGGGCAAGAATCAAGCATATGATAGCCGGGATGAGCAGGCTTGCACCTAGCAAGTCAAGTTCCTTGAGAAGTCGCAAGATAGGCAGTCCCGATACCGTGTGATACCTCGGTAGGCGGAGGGCCAGGAGAACGACTGCGATGGAAACCCCGCCGACGGGAAGATTGATATAGAAACACCATCTCCAAGAGGGGCCATCAGTGAATGCTCCGCCAAGCAGTGGGCCGACAATGAAAGCGATTCCCCAAACCATGCCGTTTACGCCAAAAACGATGGGTCGTTTTTCCAGGGGAACTGTCATGGAGATGATGACTAGAGCACCGGAGAAGATGCCTGCAACGCCAATTCCCGCGATGGCACGACCAACGATCAGGACTGTGCTGGAAGGCGCCACACCACAGATCAGTGATCCAATTTCAAAGATGCTCACCGCCACCAAGAAGGACCGTTTCACCTGAAAAGTGTCATAAGCTGTCGTGAATGTGATGATAAGGAGCATATTGTGGCAAAAGACTTACACTCAGTATCTTGTAGACTCGGCCGTATGATGGCTGTAGCGTGGTGGCAGCCGGCGTCCCCTGCCTGGTCTCCCCGATTGAGAGGTATACCGGCACCCGGTGGTGTCGCTCTCTCGCCTACACGAGAGCCTATACCCTTTCAATCTCAATGATGAAGTCGGGGCACCGCTTCGACCATCCGTTGTGTGCGCCCCCGTAGTTGGCGCACTTACGTTCGCTAAGTGTGGCGTCTCTCTTGCGCTGGTAGTCTCGAGAATGATGCTTTTTAGCGCAAAAGACACACCTTGTTTCTTTGGAGCAGGTGCTTCCTATGTGTCCATATTTCTGGTAGTTGTGGCATTGGCGTATACGCGCAGCCCGGTCGTACAAGACCGTGGTAAGCACCTCCGAGTCCTAGAGTGTTCCGGTGTCAATTGACTTGTTCGCAGAATGTGGTGACGAGAACTCGACGTAGAGATCACCTAGATCTCCTAGCTAGTACTCCTAGAGGGTAAGAAATCCGGCTCGCTAATCTTCGAGTTCTCGTCACCACATTCTGCGAACAAGTCAATTGACACCGGAACACTCTAGGACTCGGAGGTGCTTACCACGGTCTTGTACGACCGGGCTGCGCGTATACGCCAATGCCACAACTACCAGAAATATGGACACATAGGAAGCACCTGCTCCAAAGAAACAAGGTGTGTCTTTTGCGCTAAAAAGCATCATTCTCGAGACTACCAGCGCAAGAGAGACGCCACACTTAGCGAACGTAAGTGCGCCAACTACGGGGGCGCACACAACGGATGGTCGAAGCGGTGCCCCGACTTCATCATTGAGATTGAAAGGGTATAGGCTCTCGCGTAGGCGAGAGAGCGACACCACTGGGTGCCGGTATACCTCTCAATCGGGGAGACCAGGCAGGGGACGCCGGCTGCCACCATAGTGAGATCTGGAAGTTTAGGGGGTAGCGGCCCCGGGACCTCCACCAAGCAAAGCTCTGTACAGAGCAATGCAAAAGAAAGCTCCGGGAATGGAGTACGAACCGCCACATAGGCACCAAGTGAAACACCTAGCGCGAGCCAACCGGCAAGCGAGCCAGAACCAGAACCGGAGGATATAGTGATACTCGGCTTCAATGTAGGGCAAGCCGAGATAGGCGCAATCGTGGAATCAATCCGCTAATCGACACAGAAGCCAAGGGGGCTTAGTCAGTCGATATTTACGCTGGCAGGAACACGTTCCGAGCCACCAAGGCGCAGAGTATCTAGCCGGGCGTCGACATTATCACCAGCAATCATAAGAAGCAAGGGCCTGATCAGACTTATCCTTGACGCGAATTTAGGCACCGCGCAGAAGCGTGCAAGAGATAAGGCGTATATCCATGACGATTAAGAAGTGACGCTATCGGTAGGAAAGGTTTTTCTTTTAGGGAACAGTCCCTCTTATCATGTGTGGAATAGCAATTAGGACGGAGTTAACTGACCGCCTCTCGGAGGCGGTCAGTGCTGCCGTCGAGCCAGGACTTTAGTTTCCTACCCCTCATGTTTTGTTAGTTTTTGTCGAAATGAGAGGTGTCACCTATGCAAAGGGACCAGGATGTCTCAATGGTGCCAACCTGAGACAGACAAATTGTATGTATCGTTGCCAACCTGAGACAGACAAATTGTATGTATCGTTTAGTCAGCCTTGTCCGCACAGATTGTTTAAAAAGGCGCGGATCTTGTCATTCTTTAAGAAGAGAATTCAGAGTATATATACCATTTCCATACATTGTTAAAACTAACGATCTCTGTCAGTTTTCTTTAAGGAATCCATCCTAGGAGTTCAATTTTCTTTTTCATCCATCAGTTTTTCTTTGTGTTCTTTAGAATTTTCCTTCTATTAGAATCAGTGGAGTGGTCTAACTAGAAGGCACTAGGCAAGAATCTCTGGGGAGAAACTGACTCGTAGAGGGTGGTCAGGTTTCGGCCTAATAGAGATCTTAGTGGTTCTAGAGGGGGGCTTTCTAACGCTACTAGAAGCGTTCCTTCTTATTATTTTTTATTATTAAATAGCGATCCGATTGATAGACGATCAGCCATCTTTATCGAGTGGGAGTCTATCTAAAACGAATCTCGATTCTAGGACAATCTAGAAACTAGTCGAAGCAATCGGTGCTAATCTAGAGTTATTATATCTCTCTAACTATAAATACCTAGCGGCCGCTAGGTAAGCGCTTTAAGGGTTGATTATTATAGACGCTCCTTCCTATAGAGAGTGTCAGGGTGCGGGCTGGCAGGACGGTATGATAGGAGATGACTGGCAGGGACAGGTCGTAACAGATCAGATTCCCATTGACAGGCAGGTACAGGCAGGGGCAGGCTAATATACAAGACGTAGCTCGAAGAGCTACAACAGGATCTAGAACTGAAGTTCAGATAAACAGGTCGGAGATCACGTGCCGTGATCTTCCTCTAACTAAGCATTACGGTAATAGATTTAGGTGTGGAAGACGATAGGTATTAGCTAATGACGAAAATGAAGCTATAACGCGAAAACTCAGCTAGGGATATTAAATTTACTAAAGAACTAGCCACTAATAACGTTACCATTAACTGAAACTAAGGTAGGTGGAGGAAGTAGAGAGAAGCGAGGTATAGAAGTGAGAGGGGAGTGAGAGATGGAAGTGGAGGGTGCACTCCACTACGTTTATTAAATAATTTCTTATGTATAGGTTTAGGCATAGTTTTGCGTTTATGGGTTGAACAGGTTACGGGAATAGGCTAATTCCGCACTCTTTACTTCGGCATTATCTGTATACTCTGGGAGCGATCCCGCTCAGCGTTGGGCCTCGAGTCCTTGCTTCGGTTGGAGAAGCGCCTACATAGTCATACGCAACTAGTTAGACTGCAACAGGTTAATTGAACTTTGATTGATTGATTGATTGAGGTCAAGAAGTAGGCACTTCCATACCAGGCAATGTCGGGAATACTCTTGAACTGGTCCGTAATCTTTGGAATGGCCACTCCAATGATGGTCTGATCAAGGGCTACCAAAAAGGCTGCCAGGTAGATCGCCAAAACGGTCAAGATCACCCGGCTAAGTGGAGGATAGTCGGGTTCTTTGTTGGAGTCTGAATCTTCGATCCTTTTCTCTTCATAGCTCAACTGCTGAGATGGCTTTTCATGACCAGGCTTGAGATCTGGGTAGTGAGAGCTGCACTCATGACGATGGAGGAGCTAACAATCGCAAGAAGACTGAAACCACATGTAGTCAGGACACAGTTATCTTCTCGATTTTCCCTTAGATATCCAGACAGCGAGTGGTAAGAAGCAAAGAAAGAGACAGGACTTGCTTCCGACTGCACTAGATTAATTTACAATCCCAGGCTTAGGATCTAGGAAAACTTCCACCACTTGGCATGTTTCGTTTTAGAAATCACTCAAAATTAAGCAGGCTTCAACCCCGCTATGGTTTGTTGATGTAGTGCATTTTTCCGAGAAAGGGTCTTGAAGAAGACTGAAATCTTACAATTGCCTCAAATCTGCGCTCGTTAGTGGGATGTTGGACTTCTTTTTACTTTCAGACGGCTCATCTTAGCAGAATGACCCAGGGGTGTGCCTACAAGAGTGGAACTGGCCATGCTACGGTGATTATCGAGGTTTTGCTTCTCTGGTCACTCGAGTTCCAAAGTTGTATTCTTGTAACTAAGTGAATGCGGGAAATAATGTGCATGCTGGAGTAGGAACCCAAAGTAGTGATGTGCATACAATGTATCCACATGGGGACTTTCACATTTAATATATCCAACTCAGCTCCACTCACCACACTAAGCACTAGTGAGATTGATCTGACTTCTTGAATCACCATGCCTCGGACCCTCTCTACCGATTCTACTCCGTACTGTCCTAGTATTGGTGGGATGGCCTTGGGACCATCCTTCTTGGACCTTCGGTACCCTTCCGCTGATAATTGCCTCAAATTTGCTCAGAGGCTTATTAAACAAATCATTTCACGTCATATCGAGCCCTTGATAGTGAGATCTTTTGATGGAAGATGATTTTCTCTTGGTGACTTGGACTTGTGTCAAGGACCCTAGGAAGTTGATTTGACTTGGTTCCTGTTGGCTGAACCGATTTTCAAGTGCAGATGTGGAGTTCGAATCCCTGAGTCGTACTTTAATCACAATAAATGATGCCGCCTTCCACCGACGAGGGAGATGTCCGTTGCTCTCATCTTTCGTCCCTTTAGTTCACTCATCCGTCGCTGGCGCAATCCACCCCATTTGGCGACTTTTTTTGGCGACCTGGTGGCCAGATATAGTCCCGGGGTGATATTACTATTCTTAAATTAACATGGCGTCGCTGGATCCTCATCTTCCTAAATCCATTCAGACGCCAATCTCTACAACCGTTGAATCTGATGACAACCAGTTTGATACTTCCCTGCAGTCAGATGGTCAAGTCAAAGAGATCTCGCGGCTCATCCTGGACATCTTTCTGGGGTATGCCCTCAACAAGTTCAATTACTCAGAAGAACGCCTCGGGGACTCCGCGGATGGCTTTCTTTCCGTCATTGGCCAATTTGTCTCCAAAGGTGCACGGGTGCAAGCTTGTCTCCCTGCTTTCCCCTTCAAATCAGCGAACAAAGTGTACAAGGTGCTTGGCAGCTTACCAGATAAGGCAGAGGAGCTTGCTATCGAACGCTTAAATATCCTATGCAAGCGTGTTCAGGATATCTACCCCCCGGGTGCGAGTATTGTCATTATTTCCGATGGCATTACCTACAATGGTAGGTGGCTGAGCTCACTATAAAACAACCCGATTTGAATGGTCACTGACGTGTTTGATAATCCCTGAATTCCAGACTTATTGTGTATCTCTGACCAAGAAACCTGGAACTATGGCGAAGCCTTGCGTGAGATGGTTGACAAGAAAGGGTTCGACAATATTTCATTCTCAAGGATTCGCGACCTTCTCGAGTTCCCTCTACCGGAGAAATTGAGCGAGATTATCTACGTGGCCAACTGTACCACCTTCCGTCGCTTGCTTTTGAACAAGTACGGCAATCCTGACCTGAACATTGACCATGAAATTGCCACCAATCCAGATACCAAATTGACGTATCTGGGATATAAGCGATTTCTGGAGTCTGATCTTCAGTACATTTTTCCTCGAGGGGATAATCGCTCGGCCCACAGTTACAAACGAGATTGCAAGTATCTGGCCAAGCAGATGCTCACAAGAGGACACGTGAGTATCGAAGGTTCCTACACGAGCAGTCTGCTGCTGTGAGCCCTGATAAACTAATCCTGAGTGATAGGCGTTTGCAGGGGCGATCAAGAACGCCTTCCCCGACCACCTGCGACTTTCAATCCACGAATCCATTTGTGGTACCAAGCTACCTATCAGTCTGCTGAATACGAAGACAGGCTTTACTACCCCATGGCACTGCTGTGTTGCTCAATTAGCAGATGGAGTGTGGGTTAGTGCGCCTATGGGCGAGTTCAATCAAGATAGCCGCCTGGAACTTGTCTATGTTGATGGAAAACCCAGTCACTACCAAGAAAAACTGCACAGCGGTGACCACATCGCTATTGATGAGACAACGGCGAGCTACCTTCAGTCAGCCAAGTCTATCGATGTCAATGCCTACGTCAATGGTGCATTAAAGAATCCCTCTTCACTTTCATCTTCCTCTAGCGAAGTGTCCCTCTCGTCGTCTGAGGGCAAATCACCAGGCAGCAGATCCACCACGCCAGATGTTCAATCAGTGAAAAGGTTCTCGCCTGCAAAATCCAGCCAGCTCGCGCTCAATAAGAAGTCCGACCTTAAATCAGCACAGCAAGAAACAAAATCGACCGTGTCAACGCCATACGGTAGAAGGCTCATCCCTCAAATAATGGATGGTCTTGCCGTCATCGAGCCCGAGCGAACCGTCTTCTCCCTTGCATCACTTTCGAACGGGCTCGTCGAGCTCAACCCGATTTCCGCTCGACAGTTTGCTAAAGCAGTTGACAAGACTGCTTGGTGGCTTCATGATCAAGCTGGCATTCCCGACTCAGTACAACCAGTGGCTTATATTGGACCGCGTACGTTCAAACAATCACAAATTCGTTTTGGATATTGACCACTGACTTGAGATGTTGATTTAGACGATCTACGTCATCTTTTATTGACATATGCATGCGTCAAGGTGGGCTACGCGGTATGTTCCAGATAAGAACTACGATCTAACGTCACCACCTCTGACTTTCTTCGTGCTGGTAGGCTTTGTTTTTGTCGCCCAAAAACAACACGGACGGAGTTTTGGCAGTACTCACGGCAACAAATTGCAATATCTGGGTCAATGCAGTTGATGCTTCTCCGGTGACTTTAGTAAAAGACGTTCTTCAGAAACGACCTATGACGTCCTTACAGCTTCCTACGCTCCAAGAGCTCCTCGATGCCGAGTGTACTGAAGCCTTTCCGTATACCAAGAGTTTTGAAGAGGCTAAAGATGATCCATTCTGCTTCTTGCATACGTCTGGAAGTACTGGATTGCCCAAGCCCATTCCCTGGTCCCATGGGCTGATCGGCACGATGGATGCAGTAAGACTACTCCCGCCAGTGGGTGAAAATGCTAATTTACCGCCTTGGACTTCGGGCTGGGATGAGGGGGACAAGATATACTCATCATTTCCAATGAGCCACGTACGTAAACTTCTTTTTTTTCACTCTTTCAGTTGGGGCGCAATCTGGTATGGAAGATTTCTTAGCTGACGGAAATCCCAAAAGGGTGCGGGAATTATCATGGATATTTTGATGCCTGCACTTTTCAATCTACATTGTGTGTTGGGACCAGTTGGTGTTTTACCAAATCTTAACCTCGTGGAAAGATTAGCCGTGGACGTTAAGATTGACATATGGAGTATGGTCCCATCTCTTGTCGATGAACTGGGTGAAACCCCCGAAGTATTGGCAAATCTCCAGTCGAGCAAATTTATATGCGCATCTGGAGGCCCTGTTAGTCCTGTCAGTGCTGGCAAGGTGAATGAGGTAGTCAGGGTGCTCAACTTGACCGGCACGACAGAAGGTCTCTTCATTGGCAATCTGAAGACAGAGCGAGAAGACTGGTTCTGGTTCTGCTTCCATCCCTACTCTGGCTTTGAATTCAAAGAGCTTGAAGCGGATACTTATGAGCACTGGGTACACCGTAATGAACATTGGCCTCTGTTCCAGGGTATCTTCCACACATTTCCAGACAAGGACTCGATCAACTTTAAGGACCTCTACATGAAGCACCCCACCAAGCCTAACCTGTGGGCATTCAAGGGAAGGAGCGATGATCTCGTCGTCTTATCGAACGGCTATAAGATATCGCCGCTTGAGACGGAGGCATTTGTCACCACTCACCCTGCCATTAGCGGATGCCTTATTTTTGGAACTGGCAAGCCACAAGCGGCCCTACTCGTTGAGCTGAAGGATCCGTCGAACAAAGCGGCTGACCTCATTGAAAGCATTTGGCAAACAATTCAGACGGCCAATTCTATGTCTCGACACAAGAACCAGTTACTGAGGGACTTCGTCACTTTCGCACACCCAGATATGCCCTTCTTACGAACAGACAAGGGAACAGTGAAAAGATCAGCCACATTAGCGTTATATTCCGAGTACATAGAGCGCTTCTACAGTTCACGCAGTGATGATCCCGATAACACCATCATTCTGGATTTGAGTTCTACCAGTGCGATTGAAGACTCCATCCGTACGATCATCGGCTCTTTACTTCCCGAGGTTCGGGAACTCCTCCCTGATGCAGACTTGTTTGCACTTGGGCTTGACTCTCTGGGTGTATTTGCAGCTGTGAAAGCAATGCGAGCAGCTTCAGGGTGGGGTGATAAAATCGCCCCTCGACACGTTTACGCCAATCCAACTATCGCGAGCCTTGCTGCGACGGTCTCCAGGTTGATAGATGAAGCACAGATTGTTCAAGATGGTATTCCTCTGAGTCAAATGCGGGACGGTGATTTCTCTAAGATAAGTGAGATGGTCGCTCAGCACAGGGGGCGGCAATCTTTCCGCTTAAACGCCTTCGATTACGTTAACCCTAATCACGGCATGGGAATTGTTCTTTACTTCTCGATCCACGACGGGACAACTTTTGAGCAAGTCTTTCTCAATCTTCAGGAAGGGCTCAATCGCACATTCGATATGATACCAGCTCTCAGTGGCAAGATGATGCACTGCTCCGAGCAAGAAATTGGCTGTAGCAAAGGAGATCTCTGTGTGACAATTCCGCCACTGTCCATGGCGGCTTCTGCACGAGACCGCCTGTTGTGCAAGGATCTCTCAAATGTTCTCCCATCCTTTGAGAAGTTACGGGAAGCAGGTTTCCCGCCTTCTGTGTTCAAGGATGGCCTCGTCCTGCGAGACGATCCCTTCCCCAAATTCCCCGCAGACATTTTTTCCGGCCAAGTGAACTTCGTCTCTGGTGGCTGCTTGGTTGCGGTTGACTTGAACCACTGCTGCCTCGACGGTCTTGGAGTCATGGTCGCCCTCAAGGCCTGGGCGGAGAACTGCAGATATCTACAAGGTGATCATACGGCAACATGCAGCTGGTATCATCCCGAGAGCTTTAACCACGCCTTGCCAGAGATTATTCACGAGCAGGAAGGATGGGCTCGACCGATCGAAGAGATTGATCCTGGTACCTGGGGCTTCTTGCCCTTCTTCCCACCTAACGATAACCAAAGCATGAAAGAAACTCGCGTTCACCTTGGGGACCATGCGTTACCTCCCGCGCCTGATTTCAAGTTGCATGATGTTTGGCCACTTGCCCGTGCTGAACGGTGCCTTCAAACGACGCTGTTTCTCATCAGGCCCGAGAAGCTTGAGAAGATGAAGCAAGACGTCATATCCGATCCTGAAGCCAAGGGGGCCATCAAATCAATCAGTGATATTGTGCAAGCCTTTTTGTGGCGGGCTGCTATCAGGGTACGATACAGGGTAGCCAAGGACATCCGCAAGCAGATTTTCAAGCCCGATGAGGTGTCGATCCTTGAGCTGCCCACAGATGGCCGTCCATACTTTTCATCATTATTGCCCTCGACATATATGGGCAGTCTACTCATTCTCAATCGATCGACCATGCCGATCGAGACCCTGTGCTCCAATCAGACGACTATTGGCCGCGTGGCGTATCTGCTCCGTCAGTCCGCCGCACGCATCACACCCTCAGTCGTCCACGACTCGTTTACAATTCTGCAGTCATTGCCAGATCATAGTCGATTTTCGACGGCGAATATGGGTCTTGAACACATGCATGCTATGATTTCGAACATGATGCTATTCCCAACCAGCGAGATTTGTTTTGGAGATGCATTCTTTGCCAATGGAGGGTCGCCTGAATCTTTAAGACCACAGCTGGAGCGTGGAAATGGACGATTCCGATTCCTCGTCATTTTCCCTATTAGGAAAGATGGGGGCATCGAAATTGTTCTGGGCACGCATCCAGAGGAGTTGGAGATATTCCAGGCCGACGAAGAGTTTACGAAGTATGCTGAACTTGTAGACACGTGCTGCTAAATTCAATCCGGTCTATAGCGTACAACATAGTCCGACATCCCATGTTTCAATTTTCTCTCGCCTGATGTGCTGAAATTTAAATTAGTCGTTAGACACTGACCTCCAACACCTTCCTACATATAGGCTGCAAAAGACAGGCTCACCGGTTTCTTCCTATGGGGTAACTGCTCCGCTCAGGTATGCATGCATTTCAGAACTGGCTGCAGGCAATGTCCCAGCATATCCTGCCTGTTCATCAACTCAAAGCCCACCCCGACATCGGAGCTTGGAGAGAGTTGCTTACGGCCTCAAATGAGCCCCTGAGGCGAGATGGCTAAAACATACAAGTTGGCACACATCTAGAAGCTCTATATAGAATGTTATTAGATTTACGAGGCCATTTGTTACAAATTCTATCATCTTTTCTTCACCAACATTCCCACCATTCCAACCCTATTTCCCTCCTCTGTGTCATCCAAACACAACACACAACGTTTGTATTAATCAAAGCAAGTCCACTGCGTCCCGCAAGCTGCCGCAACCTCATGCGCCGGTCTACCAATCATGTCTTTCCAGAACGCAGATGTACCAGAAGGAACGAGCTCCTCGATCTCCAAAGCCAGCAAAGCATCAAAAACCCAATCCTGGCACCGTCCAATTGAGTTTTTTGGAGCGGGCTCCTTCTCAATAATCCTGATCGCGTCGTGTCGTTGTTGAGAGGTCAGATCGGCGATTTTGCACATCCCCACAGCCGCCTTGTCAATGATCTTCGTCGCGTACCGAGGCGCAAATCCGTACCATAGCCTGTCTGAATCGATGACCTCGACTTGAAGGAGATCGCCGAATTCGAGGTTCCCAGGTTTGTTGATCATGAACCCCCAGTGCGATCGGTGTATGCGGCTTTCACCGGGGCCGAAGACTTCTATTGAAAGGTTGTAGGCCATGTTCTATGCGGTGAGTTTTAATTTCACATATGCATGTGGTTTTGCGGAGTGTGATGTGGTGATTACCGTTTGGTGGGTAGTGTTGTGTATCAGAACTTCCCCAGGAGATTATTTCTTGCGAAATTTAGTGTCATAGCTTGAGCAGTGAACCTATACTCAAGCGTATTCGGATCAGATGACTTGGATGTGATTGAAATTGACGAATGCGAATTCGCGACCAGTTGTGCGTTGGCGATTGGCGCCAGAACCCCTCTTTGACAGATCGAAGAGGCCACTAGTTTTGCCTATGGGTTGCCTGTGGTTTGCCTACAGACCAGCATTCACACACTATCGACATTTACCTGTCTCTTAATGTCGAGATCAACAACTACTCTATTTCGAGGTGTCAGGACATGCCAATTGTGTGCTCCAGCTCACCTACACCCCATGTCGCACCCCCCCAGACCATCCGACACAACAACGCCAAATCGGTGACTAACCTTCCATTTTATACAAGCGATGCTCTATGTTCAACTGATCTCCACACTCCCCTCCGGAACACCCTGCCTACTCCGTAACCGGCGCGCAAAGAACTGCATAACCGGCAACATCTCCTCGCGACTCGATGGCATCCCATCCCCCTTCCTAGCATATCGGCTCACCTCGACAAACTCAAAAACCTGCTTCGTCCTACGCACCGCCTCGTCCGAAACCGCCACCGAATCCCTCCCCGCAACAAGCAACACCGGCGATCGATTCGTATCCCCAACCCTAGATCCAGACAAAGGATACGGTGCCCCGATAGAGATAACCCCAGAAAGCGCACCAAACTCACCGCTCCCAACACTACCATTTCCCTTCAACCCGACCTCCCGCGCAAGAGCCAGCGCAGCCATCCCGCCCTGCCCGAAGCCCAGCACCATAATCTCGCGCAGCGCGTACCCGCACTTCTGCACGAGCGTGCCGCGCACGACGTCTGACACGAGGATTTTCGTGCTGCGCGTCAGGCCGGCGTCCATGTCCAGTGCGCCGGTCGCAGAGTCGAAGGAGACATCGTCGCCCCAGTGGAAGCCGCCCAGGTCAAAGGGGAGCGGGGCTGTGCCTTGGACTGTGACGATGGTTGTTTCGGGGAGGCGGATGGCTTCGGCGAATTTTGTGAATGAGGCGGCTGTGTCGCCGAGGCCGTGGAGCAGGAGGAGGATGTTTGGGGCCGGGGATGCGGATTGAGTGGGGGAGGGGGAGGGTGGCGCGGGGGTAACGGTGACGGTGAGTTCGGATGGGAAGTCGGATGGGGTGGGGGTTTTGGTGGGCATGTCGAATGCAGGTGAGTTAAATTAAGACGTGAAGTGACTTCAGTTGGAGCTTTGGAACGCAGAGAATGGCGCGAAGTGTGGCTGTTTCGGTCAATGTGGCGTGGAGCTCAGCGCTGGAGGTTGTGACTCGCAGGAAAGGACACGGTGCGGAGCACTCCGTACCACAGACACTGGATCATGCCCAGGACAATTTGGAGTGTCGAGTGCTCAAGGGTGAATGTACGGAGCACAGGTTTCATCTTAATCTACTCCGTACACCACTTTACGTTTAGACGGTGTGTGGCAATGGGATTGCGGTTGCCTGGCGCTGATCAGCTTTGATATTGAGATGTTCAATCGTTCGATGAGAAAGACGCCTCTGCTATTGCATTATACACTATGTTCTACCTGGTAACTACGGAGTAGTGAAACTGAGCTGACATCCTGTGTTGATTTAAAAGAGCTTGGCCAGCACTCGTGGTAAATACAGGGGGGGTTTTTTTTCCCTTGCGACTTGGAAATCGCTACAGCATCGCCGTATCCATCTAGGGACTCATGTGCCGGCTGACATCATGGCAATTATGGATGTACAACATACCCATCTATATTTATGTACTCCGGACTCCATAGGTCGATCTGCCACGGATCAAACAGTTGTGCTATTTTGGTCCAGGTGTGGCTTAGAGGTCTGATGGTCTAGCGCGTAATTATTTCAAGGTGCCCGGTGAGCCCACGCGTATTTGATGAGCGAACTCGACTCCAATTTAACTGAGAAAGATAGTAAAAATCCTTTAGATCTCCCCTTTAAGTCACTACCCAAGAGGAAGTGACTGCAAGTTACAACATGTAGCCAACATTCCACGTTCACCGCCACTTTTCTCGCGGCTAGTGTTGCCGAGACTTTTAAGGCGACGACAAGCCTTGGAGACGGACTTGGCTTGGCATAAGGAAGGTGATCAGTTTCTCACAACGTACGGATTACTCCGTAATGAATACCGTATAGATGAACTGCCAAGGAGCTAGTGTGGTCGGTGTCATGTAATTCGTCTATTCATAGCGGAATGGGGCTTAGAGGCCCCATTCGCGTCCATCAGATTGACGCGCCATTGGGCCTCGGTGGGACACGTACGGAATACTTGTACCGCCAAGCGTGAGGGTAGAAAGTTCTACGGAGCACAGTATGTTTAAGGTGTTGGAAAATCCCCCACGATAAGCAGGATTGGACAACATACACTGTGTAATCGGGTGCTAGTTCGGTATGTTGTAGTTTGGACGGTACCTGTGGAACCTCTCTCAGGGCCCTCAAACATCGGTACTGGGGACCCAAAAGAGGATTCAACTGGGATTGGATAAAAAGCTAAACCAACTCCTGACCGAGAGCAGGACCCTCGTGACTGGTCCAATGAGGTAGGCTAGTAACGCCGTGTTGCCGGGAAGTCCACCACAGCTCCCAATGAAGTTGCCTCTCCATCGCCCGAAATACCCGACAACATCATCCACTGTACGGAGGACGGAGGACGGAGTTCGGAGTGCATAAACATCTGCTAGCTTCACCAGCCACAAGCTAATGTTTGGAGAGATGTGTTTGATTCGTATGCGAGAGGGGCTTGGTGGCTCCATCTGCAACTTGCAGTGTCGAACGTAGATGTTGTAAGAAGCAGCTCAGCCACTATTCTCGCGGATCGGATGGTGGGGCAACTTGAGCTGAAACAGAGGGGAGAAAGCGACTCCCGAATCTTAGTACAACGTACGGAGTACGTAGCCCTTCTAGAGTATTCCTCCTCTTCCATGGGTATAAGATCCCCTCATTCCCCCACTGCATGGCACACTTTTCTTCCATCACTACACAACCCTTTTCTGCACATCCCTCCCTTTCATCTACACACATTCACAATGGCTTGGGGCTGGGGTAAGTCCGACTTTCCCTTTAGAGACACATAGACCTTGCTGCTTGTATGCACTCGGGCCCGACCCGACCTGCATAGCCGGCGACATCCCGACCCCTCTACTGGCTGTCAAAACGAAAATCATGCTAAGATCAACCTAGAGGAATCCGAGAGAGCACACCAGGAGGTGTACAACGGTGAGCAGCACCACGAGGGCAAGTTCTCTCACGAGTTCGCTGCCGGTGCCGCTTCCTTTGCCGGCATGAAGCTTTTCGAGGATCACCAGCGCAAGGAAGGTACGTGAAACACCGCAATTAATTCCCTACAAAAATGATGGACAGTCTTCTGACTTGACTTTGTACACATAGGCAAGCCCGTCAGTCACGCCTTCGCCAAGGAGCTGCTCGCCGGAATTGTTGGCGGCGAGATCGACAAGCTCGCTGAGAGCAAGGGTATGGACTGGTTTGACCGCGAGAAGGCCAAGCACCACGCCAAGAAGAACGCCGAGCACATGTATGAGGAGCGTTACGAGCGTGACAACTAGGAAGCTATTCGCCTCAACGATAGCAATGGATGAATGATGATACTTGTTTTCATGAACACCTGTGGTCGTATGAAGTCCGAGAGATTTATGATCTATCGAACAATTTGAGCATCTTAACCTCGTACCTGGAAAGAGCGGTGAAGTAAGGCATCCAATGTAATCCAACATCGAGATCGAAATCCATATCCCGAGGTCGTATGTACGTATGATGCGCGAGCTTGCATGGCATAGTTCCGGCAGACATGCGTAGGGCTACATACGTCAACCTACGTCTTAAGAAACACTCGGTCCAACAGTAAATATGCGCCAAGCTTTCACAGGGATGCCGGGGCTTTATTTGAGCCAGTCATCGTCATGAGAACCCGCCGACCGCATTCCAACGGCATTCCAACGTTGTCGTTTCTTAGATAGGAGGCTAGTCGTTGGGTCAATCGCTGATGAATTGCGTCTCTAGTGGATGTGTTTGTTTTGGTTCTGCATAGGAATTGATGGAACATTGCCAGCTTAAATACTGGAGAAGCCCTGGGGGAGGAAAGAAGTGAAGGATATTCGCAGGTCTTGGATTCCCTAATCCTGAGGAATCTGGCCTTGTGGGTCTGAGAGTGTAATCACAGCCAATCAGAGTACCAACGGTGGGGGTTTGGCCTGACTATCCAGGCGCCAAACACCGATGAGCTCATACACGTGCCAAAAGTATAGGTTCAGTTTGTGCCGTTGAAGATTTTCTGGAAAGATTCTCGAGTCTTAGTATATCGGCTTGGTTTTTTTTTTATATCTTGCGTTCTTCAGAGGTTCTTCTTTCCTATACCGTTAGTCCTCCCTTTTCTCATCTCACGAGTGGCGGCCAGGCTTTGGTTTACTTTCGCACAAGCTTTCGGCCCCTCGCACTTGGGCGGGATTTGGTGTTCGGATCAGAGCAGGCACCCCCAGGTCTAAAGTCGTGTGCAATGACGGTGGTTAGTTGGTCAGGATGAAATTTGCCAAGTTTGTATTCCCTGTGACAGTTTGCGACATTCCAGTGGCTGACTCAATCCGTAGAGAACTGGAACAGGAACTTGTTCCTGAATGGCGGGCAAAATATCTCGACTACAAGGTTGGTCGCTGTCACCACATTTGATGTATCACAGCCAAGCTTACCTGGATGTACTATTTAGACAGGCAAAAAGAAAGTCAAAGCCATCACTCGGGCCCTCCAGAAGGCAAATCGCAGCCCACATGTCCCGTCCAATCGATATCCCACTTCCACCCCGCAAGGTCGTGGTGCAGCCCAATCTACTCTTACGCCTTCCAATACCGATAAACAGCTTGATGCGGGAGAATATCACAGCCCATCGACGCCACAGCGAGGTGGTGTCAACCCGCCATCAACCACACGCTCCACACCGGTTCCCAGAACGGAGCGGCAACCACTTCGCACGCCAGGATCACGATTCTCCGAAAATGTTGGTAGTTATGGAAGCATCATTGCAACGCCACCACAGCAACACCATACCGGAAGTTCAGACGTAGCCTCCTTTGAACTTCCGGACCCTGCACTTGACCCTGATGAAGACTATATGCCACACGGCGATACTGACAGACCCAGGAACGTCCGTACACCTTCACCGGTCATGGATCGCCGCAGCCTGGCGAACGTTTCACCCTCTCACCCCATCTCGGAACCCTTGCCGGCCCAGAGGCCTCAATTGGACCAACGCATGAGCTACCAAAGTCAGATCGGGGACGCCTTGGCAAAAGTACCATCAGGCCACCGGACATCACAACTTCTGCGGCGCGTGTTCACGGTAGAGGGAGAGCCTGGCTGGAGGCGATCACAGTTTGACTCTGGCGCTGGCGCCGAGCTTGATAAACGGCAAGACGAGTTCTTCGAGTTCTTGGATAGCGAGTTGAACAAGATTGATGCGTTTTATGTCATGAAGGAACAAGAGGCCACCGAGAAACTATGGGTCCTCCGCCAGCAGTTGCATATTATGCGAGATCAGCGCATCCAAGAGGTCCTGGATTCCAAGAAAGCCGCCAAATCTGACGACTTGGACGCACAGCAACGGCTAAATGGATTCGCAAAGATCAGGAGTGCTCGGATCAAGGATACGTTGGCGGGAAAGAATCGTTTCGGCAAGAATACGGAAGCACTGGCGCAGATGGCGACTCCTGGCATGCAACCCCAAGATCAGGATTTCATTGCCAGTCGGAGGGACTTTATGCGGCGGCAGGATCCACAAAGTCAAGAAGTGCCCTATCGCTCTGCTAAGCGTAAGCTTAAGCATGCGTTGCAGGAGTTCTACCGCGGAGTGGAACTTCTCAAGGGGTATGCTTATTTGAATCGAACGGCCTTCCGGAAGATCAACAAGAAATACGACAAAGCGGTCAACGCTCGCCCACCGCTCCGGTACATGTCTGAAAAGGTCAACAAAGCGTCTTTTGTGCAGAGTGAAGTGATCGAAAGCTTGATGACAGCGGTCGAAGATTTGTATTCCCGTTACTTTGAGCGTGGAAATCGCAAAATCGCCGTCTCCAAACTCCGTCACACAATCAAAAAGTCTGGAGATTACTCGCCGAATACTTTCCGCTCTGGTCTCTTTTTGATGGGTGGGACTCTGTTTTCCATCAAGGCCTTGGTTGATGCTAGGTCAAATCTTCGCGCGAGTGAGCTCGCTGAACAAGTTCGGACCAGTTACCTCCTTCAGGTAAGATTTTCGCTCTTTCGTTTTCTCTGTGACCTCCTTGACCAATTGAGCAGATATATGGTGGTTATTTCCTTGTCGTATTCCACTTCCTGCTCTTCTGCTTGGATTGTATGATCTGGACGAAGTCGAAGATCAATCATGCATTTGTCTTCGAATACGACAGCAGACACACCTTGGAGTGGCGTCAGTTGCTGGAGGTATGTCCAACTTCGCGGCCATAGCTTTCATGATTCCTCCTAACAAGTATAGATTCCCTCCTTCTTCCTTTTTTTGATGGGCCTATTCATGTGGCTCAACTTTTCATGGTACAACCACATGTATGTCTATTGGCCCGTCGTCCTTGTTGGCTTGACGATCATTATCATTTTCTTGCCGGCTCGTGTTCTTTACCATAGGAGCCGCAAGTGGTTTGCTTTTTCCAATGTACGTTCAAATAACACCATATTATTGTCGACTGGCGCATCTAACCGATTTAGTGGCGCCTTTTGCTTGCCGGAATCTACCCAGTCGAGTTCCGTGATTTCTTCCTCGGCGACATGTACTGTTCTCAGACATATGCTATGGGAAATATCGAGCTCTTCTTCTGTCTATATGCCTCGCACTGGACCTACCCTCCCAAGTGCAACTCCTCCCACTCTCGACTCTTGGGCTTCTTCCAATGCCTTCCCTCCATCTGGCGAGCCTTCCAATGTATTCGCCGATACCTGGACACGAAGAACGCATTCCCCCATCTCCTGAACTTGGGAAAATACATATTTGGCGTCCTCTACTATGCCACCCTCAGTATGTACCGCCTCAACCTCCAGATGCGGTTCCAAGCCTCGTTTATCACCTTCGCCCTTCTGAACGCCGTCTATGCCTCAGTATGGGATCTCATCATGGACTGGAGTTTGGGTAACCCATACGCAAAGAACCCAATGCTCCGTGAAGTCCTCGCCTTCCGTCGCGTGTGGGTATACTACGCCGCAATGCTGCTGGACGTGGTCGTCCGTTTTAACTGGATCTTCTACGCAGTCTTTATCAGAAATATACAGCAGTCCGCCTTGCTCAGCTTCATGGTAGCCTTTTCAGAAGTCTGCCGTCGCGGTGTTTGGTCCATCTTCCGCGTCGAAAACGAGCACTGCACAAATGTTCTCCTCTTCCGCGCTTCCCGTGATGTCCCTCTGCCCTACGACGTCCCTTCACCAGCTGCACCTCCCCTCGATGGCTCTGCAGAAGACGTCCAACTCCAAGAGCAGCAACACGCCTCAACACCCTTCATGTCGCCCGGCGACGTTGAGCACGGCACCCCCTCCATGTCCAGCATGCGCGCCCGCCACCGTCGTCCATCCGTTGGTATCAGCCGGGTCGGCACGATCGTAGCCTCAGCCCACACGCAGGATTTCGAGCGAAGACGTCTGCCAAATTTCATGTCCAGCGCGAGTGTCGGAGGTGATTTGGCGCATGGCGCGGACGACAGTACAGACGAGGACGATGAGGCGGATATGAGCACGGATGAGGATTCGAGGTTCAGACCAGTTACAGAGCGCATGGACACGATGGGTCGAATTGTGGAGTAGGTTTTGACGAGGTAGGCTGTACCAATTGCCTTTCGGTGCCAACTACCAAGGGGGATATAGTCTATCAGCCTCGTTTGATGTGATGTGAAATTATAGATATCTCCAGTATTTTGCACATACTTCTTATCTTGCTCTATGCAAAACGTTTAATAATTGGGTTTCCTGTCAACTCTCCTCTTCGCTGCAATCATCTTACTAGATACGCCTACGGTTGCCCGGCCCGAGTCAGGTGTCAGGCAGTTATTCGCTCGGAATGGTATCCGCCTGGTATGTGCTCTTGCCCGTTCTGTGCAGATCGCCGAGCCACAAAGAGATTGCCTGATGCGATCATCGGGTAGGTGTCCGCGAGGACAGTGCTGCGGTCAGAAATGCTGTCATCTGGTACCCATTGTTTCGCCAGGGCGGCTGAGTATCTAGTTTGCTTCTTATCCTCTCCGTTTTTCCCTGTCAGTGCACCCCAATACACCCGATCACCGGGTGGGGTATCCGCGAGGATAGTATTGGGATCAGAGATATCGTCCACTGACGCTGTTTTTTTGAATTTTTTTTTTTGCCACCACTGCCCAGCAGCTAGGGGATAGTTAGCTCCTCTTCCTCTTCTTCTCTTCGCCAGTCACCGCAGTGGACACAGTCGCCTTTTTGTCTCCCCTTCCCTCCCATCACTCTATCAGTCAGCCGGAGCCAGAGCAAGGTATGCACGGCTGTTGTGTGAGGGGAACTACAGTTGTTTAGGCGGCTGACAGTTCGGAAATCCGACGTTCCCACTGTAGTGTCTCCGAAGGTGGTTTCGGGCTAAATCCTGCGCGGCGAATCCAACTGTTTCACATGAGCCGTGTCTAGATCCTGAGTGGCGACCTTTTTATCTTCCTGGGCGAACGTTGAGATGAACCTGGCCTGGCGGTGGATGTCTGCGGGCCCTGTGTATCATCGTGTACCCCTTGCCTGTAACACTCATACCAGCAACGCTACCCAAGTGCTGTCGCAGTCAAATCGCAGAATATCGAAGCGACGGTTGTGATTGGTATATCATGGCAGCACACCGATTCGATGCCTTCCGGATATATGTGAGGGATAAGATGCCGAAAAGAATCCCGAATTCAGGACTGCAGCAACAGGGGAAGAGAGAAGACGTCAAATCAACCCAGAAAGGGCTCGGAGTTTCATCATTGACAAGGTCCTATCTATCAGGGTCAATCTTCCTTTGTTAGTTTTTAGCGTAGGGCACTCTTAGGGCCATTCCTGACAAAATTTGTTTCTAGAAGGGCAACCCCTTGCATGAATCTAGGCTGATTCTTCTGGAACGCATGTTTCTGCGAGGGAGATCACACAGGAATCGAGGGTTGATGCAATTGATAATACTGATAGGGGTGGATCAGATTGAATCAGCTAGCGTTGGGATCTTATCTCCTCCGTGTACTCCGTGTTCCATATCGTGGTCCGTTTTAGTCTCCGAAACACTCCATCTACTAATTTAACTTGTAAGCAAAAATAAAAGGAAGCCGCAAGTAGCGTGCCCAGGTGGATAGGGCTCGTATTGCAGAGTTGTTCTACGGAATGCATGCTCCGTACTCCGCAAAAAAACAGGGCGCACGTAGGGGACTATACATATGCAGCGCTCGCAGTTTGATGTGTATGCTGATTCCTATTTAGGTGTTCCGGGCCAGGATCTCTACGTGGATCGGCAAACAACAACATACATGCTATCCGTTAATCCCTATAAGAAAGGAAACAAAACGTAATATCTAGAAAGTAGAAAGTACCAAATTCTCCACCGGGTACGCTTGCCGGGAGTAATGCCTGGGCGGGAAAGAAACCGGATGCTTGGCCGAGGAGAAAGCCACCTAAGCCCCCCCCCCCGTCCCTATTTTTTCCACATAAATCCCCTCATGTGGTACCACACGTTGACCTTCGATTCTGAGTTGGCTTATCTAGTGGATTGATAATGTCAACTCGGTATCTTTCAGAAAGGTAAGTTAATCTTTTTGTCAGATAACACGATAACGTTGAAAAAAAAAAAGTAGGGCATCCTTCAGGACCAAAGTAATATTCTCGTTGAAAACACCTTGTTGAATGCAAAGTGCATGGCCGAGTGTTGGAAGGCGTTTTTAGGCGTCCGAAGGAATGGGGGGAGGCGTAACGTAGTGTAGTTAAGGTTGCTCCGAACACGATTCGGGCATCTCCGGGAAATTTCCCCCCATGGGGAAGTCACGGGGAAAGTGTCCAACCCTTCAATTCCACTCCACAAAATCTCCACGTACTTGTTGTCAATGCTAGCAAACCAATATTCAATAGAGGGATCTGTAGATTGGTCAAGTATAGTTTGTTGTTTCCCAGTTTCTGATGAATCTACGCAGAGTTGCTTCTGAAACTGGCCTAGCGCACGATTGCAGGTGATGCCGAGTATCCACAGTTGGGGGCTGTAGACGAGTCACCATTTACAGCATCTCGATTCCAATCAGTGAGCCCTTATCAGTTTCTCTGGGCGCCCCATCTATCAGGCAGCCGATGGTCGGAGGAGAGAGTTATAAGCGCGACTTTCCGCATCCTCCGATACCCAGTTTTTAGATCCGCCTCACAGTCCCTATTCCCCATTCTCAAAGATGATGGATATAAAACACGAGAAGGACATTGAAGGTCTTGCTCTATCCCAGAGCAATGATGTTCACAATAGTGCTATTCAAAACCACGATGATGTCTTTGGAGAGATCACTGATTCTGGACCCAATTACCGAAATGTATGCCTCGTCTCTTCGTTTCGCGTTTCGCTTTTTTCTATCCCTTGTTTTGGCCATTTTTCTTCTCTTCCTCTCTTCGAATTGGTGCAGTGAGGTCAGAACTAACACCACTTTAGGTAGGATGGGCAGGAACGGTGATCCTCATGATGAAGAGCCAGATTGGCCTCGGTGTTCTTTCAATCCCATCTGCTTTTGATACATTAGGCCTCGTCCCAGGCGTCATCTGCCTGCTCGTTGTTGCTGTAATTACAACATGGTCCGACTACATGGTCGGCGTGTTCAAGCTCAATCATCGTTCAGTCTATGGTATCGATGATGCCGGGTTCTTGATGTTTGGTGCCATTGGTCGCGAGGTTTTCGGTTTTGTATTCTGCCTCTGTAAGTTTATCTCATGATAATTTCAGACCCGCGTCTAACCTGTTGACTAGATTGGATTTTTGTCGCCGGCTCGGGAATGCTCGGTCTTTCCATCGCCCTCAATTCCGTCTCAAGTCATGCTACATGCACGGCCGTCTATGTTGCCGTTGCAGCCGTCGCAGGAATTGCCTTTGCCAGTATTCGAACTCTCGGAAAAATCAGTTGGCTCGCCTGGATTGGACTGACCTGCATTCTGATCGCAAGTAAGATCTCCCCTGTCGACCTCGTGCGCCATACCACAGCCCTAACTCATTTGGGCTATAGTCTTCACTGTCACCATCGCTGTCGGCGTTCAGGATCGCCCGGCCTTAGCCCCCAGAGAGGGTATCTGGGTATCTGACTACAAGATCATTGCCCATCCCTCATTCAGTGAAGCCATCACTGCCGTGGCCTCGATTGTCTTCGCCTACGCCGGCACACCCGCCTTCTTCTCCATCGTATCCGAGATGCGCGACCCCAAATACTACACTCGCTCCTTGGTCATCTGCCAAAGCGGCGTGACGATGGTCTACGTTACCATCGGTATTGTAGTCTACTACTACTGCGGTTCCTACGTTGCGTCGCCTGCTCTTGGCTCCGCTGGTCCCACAATGAAGAAGATCAGCTATGGCTTTGCCATTCCCGGTCTTCTAGTCACTGTGATGCTGTTTGTTCACGTACGCATTTCCTCTTTGGGGATTTTCTCGGTCTCTTTGTCTAGCGATTACGAACTAATACAATATCCATAGTTACCCGCAAAATTCATCTTCGTCCGCGCCCTCAGAGGCTCCAAGCACCTCACCTCCAACAGCATGGTGCACTGGGGCTCCTGGATCGGCTGCACCGCCGCAGTCGGTATCATCTCCTACATTATTGCAAGCGCCATTCCCGTCTTCGATAGTCTGGTCTCGCTTATCGGTGCTTTGCTCGGCACATTCATGTGCTTCCAACCCATGGGTTGCATGTGGCTGTACGATAACTGGAGCAAGGGCAAGGTCGACCGATCCCCAAGGTGGACGGCCATGGTTTGCTGGAGTGTCTTTGTAATTGTTATCGGTACCTTCATGATGGTCGCTGGTACATACGGTTCTATTGTTAGCATTATCGCAAGCTACAATGCGACGGGTGGCTCAGCTGCTTGGTCCTGCGCGGACAACTCAAATTCTTCATAGATCGTTGGGGTCTGGAGTGCGGCACTATTTTCTGCCATGTTTGATACCAATCCATGAGGAAAGCTTGTATATATTTTAGCATGGTCATGTAATTCGAAGTCTCTCCTGCATCATTTGTAACATCAATGCTTTGGCGTTTGTCTGCATGCTCCAAGCGTTTGTTGCTCGTTTTTAGGGTTTCTGCGGTTCTCTGTACCCTCTGATTCCAGTGTGGTAGAAGAGAAAAAGGCCTGCTCTTCTTCGTTTAACCAAGGATATCAAATCCAATCCACAACACAGTCGAAATTTGCGAAGATGGTAATCCGGACTTGAACATCTCGATCATCGAATGTGAAGCTGCAGGCTGGTATCCGGAGTACTGAGAGACCTGTGAGGCGACTACTGCCTGTGAACCAGAGTTTGACTGGCTGGCTAAGCTCGGGGTGGGTTTGCCGCATTATCATATGAAGCTCTTGATGTTGCATTGATGGTATTGTGAGCTCTGAGGTGAAGGGCAGCTCTTTCGCATCCCCTTCTAGTTGATCTTTCTCGGGGAGTAACCAACAATCACGTTTCGTGTGCCTCGCTCTTTTCAGTCATTGTCTTCCAGGAGATATTCTAAATTCTTGTTTATTGACACCATCACTCCTCGTGGTGAAAGGGTGATTGGCGGTATATGCAGCCTCCGTTCTGGGAGATGTGGCACTTATACGATCTACTTTTTCTGGCGAAGGATAACACAAGGTACATGAGATATAATATAGCACTCAATGTTCTTTCATTGATTCTTCTTAGATGTCACCTTTGGTATACCTCCAGGGCTGTCCCCAGGCCCCACAAAATGTATACGTAAGCAGCAACGCCCCGTGTTTGGCTTATCACACGTGACCCATCACATCATAGGGGCTCCACCTCCAGGCGTCACTCATCCCTCTTTTTTTGTCGCTGATCCAACATTACACTGGCACCGAGAGACTTGACGTATCTCAACTCATCACTATGGCTGCAAACACCAGATATGAGCCCGCTCCTCAGCGGGACTCCTTGGATGATCCATCCTACTCCCAAGCCCCTCCCTCCTACCAGGCTACAGCGGAGCCAGCGCCTCGCAGCGAGAACGACAATCTCCCAGATGATTTCAAGGTATGTACACACCACTCCACATGGAGGACCTGCACATTGCTAAAGAGATGGAAACTGACAAAATCGCACAGTTCGGAGGCACCGTAGCGGAAGGAACGATTGACATCCGTATGCAATTCGTGCGCAAAGTATACTCTATTCTGTAAGTTCAACACGATTCACAAGCACAAACTCAAGACTGTGGGTTCTACAAATTTATTACTAACACTACTTACCTAGAACGGCACAACTCCTCCTCACAACGATCCTCAGCTCAATCTCCTTCTTCAACGCCTCCTACCGCGTCTGGATCCAGTCCAACTTCTGGTTGATGATAATCTCCGTCTTCGGTGCTCTGGGCTTCATGCTTGCAACATTCTGGAAGCGAAAGTCCTACCCGGCAAACCTCCTTTTCCTATCAGGCTTCACTATCCTCGAAGCGTACTCCATTAGCGTGGCGACATCTTTCTACGATGCGAAGGTAGTGGTGCAAGCGCTCGCCCTGACGCTTGGAATATTCGTCGCCTTGACGCTATTCGCATGCCAGACAAAGTACGATTTCACCGACTGGATGCCATACCTGTTCGGCGCGTTGTGGTTCATGGTCTTATTCGGGTTCGTGGCTATGTTCATCCCGTTCAATAGCACCATTGAAATCATCTATGGTGTGCTTGGCGCGCTTGTCTTTTCGGGTTATATTCTCGTCGATACGCAGCTGGTTATGCGGCACTATCATGTTGAGGAAGAGATCGCTGCTTCGATCTCGCTTTATCTCGATGTGCTTAACTTGTTTATGTCCATTCTGCGGATTTTGAACGGTGCTAACAACAATAATTAATTTCGTCTTCAAATATCCGAGGGCTGAGAAGGGATGCTGTTTTTAGCAGGTTCTAGCCCAGAGACAAATTGTTCGACACGTCAGCTTGCGTTTTGGTGCTTCTCGGAACTGGTTTCGGACGATGGTCCTCTTGCTTTACATTGGACTTTCCTTGAATCGTTTTCTATTGTACACTTCCATTCATTCATATCTTGAATTTCTGCAAGTCTGTTCAGTGTAAGTTTTGAATCCCGTCGTCCCTTTGCATATCTTACCAAAGCAAAGCAACTAGCTATAGCTTGCCTGCATAATGATTATCAGTCGACAAATATAAAATTGAGCAACCAAATCAAATAGGTACAATTCTTCAAACGCACAGCATGGGCAACCCATAAAATGAAATTTAAACTATGTAAAGAGCAATCCCCAATAGATAGGGTTAAAAAAGCACAGCGAACATCTAGAGCAATGCGCAAAGAAGAAGGAATATGCAAGGAGAAATGAGCCTGATGAACAGGCAAGAAAATCAAAGGAAAAAGGATCCTCAGGACAGTATATGGCAGGTTCAAAGATCGTGGCAAGACCAGGCCCAGGCCAACAAGCGAGGGAAAAAAAGAATCCTCATGCAGAAAGGAGCATTTAATGCGAGGCTTTAAAGAATGTGTTCGTAACCAGACACACAACCATAACCAGGAGGCCGTAGAGTGCCAACGCCAAACTGAGTCGGCGAAGCAGTGTCTTGCGCCAGTGGCGGGTGCCACGGAGTAAATGGCGACTTTCGGTCAACGAGCGAGCAAGGGAATCCTCGCCATCATCACCTTCGTCTTCTCCCAAAAGATCATCCTCCGCCTCATCATCCTCCTTCATAAAGCCTCGGTAGGTAGGCGAGTCGGGCGAGGAGATCTTATAGTAGAACAAGCCCGGGAGGATGAAGCTGATGCTCGTGCTGCCCGTACTTCCGACATATGCAAGCACAGATTCAAGGGAGGACACCGTCATGGCAACTACGTAGCTCAGAATCAAGATAGTGGTTGTGATGATGGAGAAGCGAAGATCGCTCATTGGCTCTGGCGTGCGGTTTCCGCGCGGGCCTAGGAGTGGGTATCGATTTGGAGAGCTCTCTGTGCGACTGATTTGTGGTCTGGGACGCCATTTTAGGACAGCATCGACTGAGGCTCGACACGGGTGGCATTGTAGTGGATAGGAGAAAACTACTAGCATGACGATTGCAGCGCGGCCGATCGTTGCGTACACGCCGGGTGGGTACATGCCGACGATATTGCCGCCTACACTGTTGCCAAATGATAAGTACCCGGTGATAGCGACGAGGATATAGGTTGCAGCTGCGCTACCGGCGCTCGCGAAGACAACGGCAGTTGTGCGGAAATGGCTGTTGTTGGCAATTTCGTTGAGGATGGAAAACATCTGGAATGCTTGTCAGAAAGGAAACCACAGGCCACAACTTGAAAACGTACGTTTTGATGACAGGTAAATGCAAAAACAATAACTGGCAGACTGCTGAGAGTCGGCACTGCACCCGCCCAATGGCCCACGCGAATCGGGCCTCGATCCTCCATTGTGTCTCCTTGGACAAACTTATACACAACCAAGACAACCAAATAGGCCATAGACATCAAGGCCGCAACACTGGTATATTTTAAAGAATCTAAGCGGCGCAGATAGGAAATAGGAATCACGATCAACCTAGAGTCGTATGGTCAGCACTTCCCCTCGATTCAGCACAAGGCGACGCACATAAAAGCTGTAACCCAAAAGTGGCGGTCCACCAAGAAATCGTATCCTGGCTCGCTGCCGACGAAGCCTTGTACCACCCCCGGCATGAGATCTCCAATGATGATGAGATAGCTGACGCCGACGCCGAAACATTTGATCGCAATTGCACAGTCAAAGACCACGGCCGCGTTGGGGTATGTCAATTGCGATAGCGCAAAGAATGAGGCGCTTCCACGGTCTAGGTATTGCGCGCATAGTGATTGCAGGTAAAGGCCGAATCCTGCTGTGACTGCAGACCACAGAATCACGCAGACACCGAGGACGATTCCCATACGGGAAATGGCAAGGGGCATCGCAAGCACACCAGCACCGATAACTGCAGTGAGAAATGGGGTCAGAATTCGGAGAATCCTATGCAATATACGCTTCCTCGCACTTACTGGTGTTGACCAGGTTGATCACACTACTGGTCCAACTGGCCTCGCCCACAACATCTCCAGGTCTTCCGCGGGTTGCACGCCTAGTGAAATCTAATTTAGACTCCGTCAACATCAAGGCTTTGTTCTCCAGCCTACCTTCGCATCGCATTCTGGTGTCCCCCAGATGAGCCAACCCCGAGCGCGGCCTCCTCCATCTTGATATTTGCTATCTGTTACGGAAATGGTGTTATCGGTCAAAGATAGGCGCGCAAAACATAATTAACGGCCGCTACCAGCGGGTCCGAGATCAAATGACCAAAAGAGAGATATGAAGTAGTTCAATTCAAAAGAAAAAGCCCCCCCCAAAAATGGAATTGTCAGGGGTTGAATGAGGGATGGAAAGATCTGTGGCCCGTTGAAAGTCTCCCAGTCTTCCAAGTCTTATCGGGATGACACATGACCGGCGCTTCCTCGGGCTGTAACCCAAAATCAAGCCACTTTGGCATTCTTACTACATCTACTCCGTACATGTTACTACATCAGTCCATTTAAAGCGCATCGGACCATTCGAAACGTTATCAGGATTTTGAATCCAAACAAGCAGATAAAGTGATAACTAAAGCTTAGGCAACCCCCATCCTTTCAGCGACAAAAGTTGAAAAGTCTCTTCGTCAGTCGTAGTTTGATCCGACGGAGTGCTTCCAGGCCGATCGCCAGGGCCTGGATCATTGAACTGACTGACAGCTCGCACTGTCTTTGAAACTTCCAGAATTGTACCTCCCTCTACCTTAAATTGTGGTCCACGACCCGACCGGTCCCCAATTATCTCACCCACCTGTTCCTGCTGCACAAGCGCCAACATCACCTCCGCCACTTCTTCAGGCGTTACCCACGCATCGGCACTATCACTGATCATCTTTAACTTCTCCGGATGATCAGTCCAGAGCGGTGTCTTGATAAGACCAGGAGCCACAGCCGTGATTCGGATCCCAAGCTTCTTGTCAAGCTTGGCGAGCGAGCGCACGAAGCCGTTAATAGCGTGCTTCGTGACGCAGTAAATCGGAGTCGAGAGCATCGCATTCTGTCCTGCAATGCTTGAGATATGAACGATATGCTTCGGGCCACCGCTGGCACGATTGTTCAGGAAATGAGCAATCGCCAGCTGCGTCGTGCGGATCGGGTGGGTGATGTTGATATCAACCAAGGCGTACCGGCCGCCAGAGGATGGGTCCTTACTTTCGGCTGAGTGAGGCGGGCGCCAGAAGTTGCTCCAGTTCTGTATGCATTGCAGTTGTTGTGAGACTTGTAGTTCTGTTGGGGATGTCTTCTGTCTTACCGGCTCGTAGACTCCCGCCCCCGGGCACACAATGTCAATCTCTCCGAATTCCTTCTCCGCAACTTCGAACATCCGCTCGAGCTGGACCCAGTCAACCACATTAGTCTCTTGGAAGACCACTCGTGCGGGACCGGTCTTGTGCTTATCAGCTAGCGCTTGCGCCTCGGGACGCAAGGCTAGATCTGCGATTAGGACATTGCAGCCGTTTTCCACTAGCAATTTGGCAAAACTGAAGTTGATGCCTGACTACCATGTAAGCTCGCCGTCTGATACTGCACAGTATATAGGTGACATACCGGAGCCAGCTCCAGTTATTATGGCAGATCTTCCCTTCACTGAGAGAGCCATGTTTCCAGCATTAACGAGTTCTGGATTCCAGCCAGCTGGGGAATCTGCCCTCTTTTATGTAGGGAACTGACCTTGTGTAACTTGCTCGGGGATCTTTTGCAGCGCATATCATAACCACTTTTCAACCTTGCGGTGTAGAAGTCAGGGAGGGGAAGGTGGTCCGAGGCCGGTGTGATGGCCGGGATTCCTGTACATCCCTCCGTATGTAGGTTAGGCCCAATAACAGTCGATTTCCCCGTTGTTCTTGGGTGCCAGGTCATCGAAAAGCATTTCCCCTCTTGTTTACAACATCTTGCTCTACCTGTGGAGGTAATTACGTGTATTTTTCAATATAAATCTGTGCGACATGCCGTAATTCCGGATCAGCAAGTGGAATATTAGAACAGGACTTGGTAGTCCTGCTATTAGTTTCTGAGATGAAGTTATAGAAACCAAGTGGATTCCCCTTTTAACAAGTACTTGAAGGAATGCGTATCAAGCTTAGGAACGATCTACAAGATAACTATCTAGAATTTCGGAAGATCTGCTCCGCCAAGTCAAAAAGCACTACTTACAGCACTCAGTTGATCACGCCCCCTCGAGTTGGACAGTGCAGCTTCATATAAGGCTGCAGTTGGACTCGTGGTATGGTAGGTAGTGTTTCAACTTGCAAAGTACTTGGACTTCGTCACAATACAGGTACGGTACTCTATCCAGAAAGCCTCCTCGACAAATGCCGGCTTATTGTATTCTTAAATGATCTTTTGAAACGACCAAAGCTTCGAGAACACCGATCTTTACTGTTGCCATCTTTAGCCCCAGGAAGGATTCTTTACGGACCTACGTCATGGCGAACAGCTACAGTCGGGATAGGCTTCCCAATATGGCAACTACTCGGCACATCGTTCTTTCCGACAGCGGCTCGACTACTGTCTATGGGGCAGTTCTGCCTCGACTAAGTTATGCTGTGATCCCCACATAAAGCAGCTGTTGGGATCCTTGCATTTTTAACATACACACCTGTGAGTTCACTTCGATTATGTTGATGTCTTTTGTTCTAAAATCAACTGTCCGAGCCGCCTCCACTTCCGCCCAGACCACTAAGGCCGCTGGTGATATCTCATCGGTTTTTCCTAGCTTGAGGCCCGACTACAAACCAGAAGCTCTTCCCGCACGGTTTCAAAAACTAAAGGCAAGCATATTTGAGGAGAATAAAGACGCAATTACAAAAAGTTGGGAGCGATTGCTTCCTAGCTTGGATAAAGAAGTGCAAAATATCAAGGCAAAGGGCAGCGACGTATGTGAATATGGAACCCTTATCACCAAGCAGAAGACTGACTTTGAAGTGCTAGATCATCCCTTCAATTAATTACTCTGATGTGGTTTCTGGAAATGTGTCCAAAGCCGCATTAACAGAGATCCGCCACCGAGGCAGCGTGGTCGTCCACAACGTAGTACCCCGGGACCAAGCCATAGAATACAAGCAGAGGATTCGCGACTATGTGGCCGCCAATAAGGAGCGAGTGAAAGCCTTCCCAGCTGACTCCCCAGCTGTCTACGAGCTGTACTGGACTCCATCGCAGGCCGAAGCTCGCGGCCACGAAAGCATGCTCAACACCCAGCGCTTCATGCAGCAGCTATGGCATTCATCTAACCCTAACAGCAAGATCTCAACCACCCACCCTATCACCTACGCAGACCGTCTACGCATCCGCAATCCAGGTGACTCGAAGTTTACTCTTGGTCCGCACATTGACGGGGGTTCCCTCGAGCGCTGGGAAGACCCCGAGTACTCTCGAGTCTACACCAATATCCTCGAAGGAAAATGGGAGAAGTACGACGCCTGGGATGCGCGATACCGTCTCAAGGCCAATATGGACTTGTACAACGGTGCCGGTGCATGTTCAATGCTGCGATTCTTCCAGGCCTGGTTATCTATGTCGGACACTAAACCCGGTGAGGGCTCGTTGCACGTCTGCCCCATGATCAACCACAGCACAGCGTACACTATTCTACGTCCCTTCTTCAACACGGAGACTTCAAAACCGGCCCTGGATGCTACATTCCCGGGCTCCGTACCTGGTGCTTGTCAGGAGTACAACCCCGTCACGCACCCCCATCTCAATCTCGAGACTACCATGGTTTCAGTACCGCAGGTTGCGCCTGGTGATTTTGTCGCGTGGCACTGCGATTCTCTGCACTCTGTGGACAAAGAACACCGGGGAACCCAGGACTCCAGTGTTATGTACATTCCCGCTACCCCACTGTGCAATATGAATGTTGAGTACCTTCTTAAACAGCGCCAGGCTTCGCAGAGCTATTCACCTCCGTGGGATTTCCCCGGTGCTGGTGGACCCGGTGAGTCCGGATTCAATGGTGCTATGGATTGGTCGGCACTGAGACCGGAAGGTCAGCGTGCTATGGGTTTAGGTACCACTCCTTGGGAGATTACCGATACCATGTGCGAGGGTGAGAAGGAAGCTATTCGGTATGCTAACAAGGCCTGTTTCGGAGTTTGAGATTTCCCACGGTTTGATTTGAACGTATTTTCAAAGCTGTATTACGCAAATCGTTTTTAAAAACAAGTCCCGATAATTTCTTTCGACATGAAATTACAGGTGGAAATCTGCATATTTAAGGTTCCTTATCCTCGAGCCTAGCCAAACAGACCGTAGTTCACCAGTGCTGCGGTGAGTCGCCACTCGAAAGAGGGGCAGCTTTTGCCTGCTTAGACAGTCTCCCCGGCACAATTCTTTTTACCTTCTTTCCCCTCTTCTTTCCCCTCTCCACTTACGATATTTCAGATTATTAGCAAACAACACACTCTCAAAATCATGGATTTCATCAAGAAGGCTGTTTCCAGCGCTAGCGGCAACAAGGAGGATAAGCCTGCCGATAACAACACCCAGCAGAACGACGACTACGTTGACAAGGGTGAATAAGATTATTTTTCTTTACTCAACCTGGACTTTTGACTGACCAGCCTTTGCCTCAGCTTTCGCCGCCGGTGTCAAGAAGTCTGGCTACAACCTCGACCGCAGCGCGCAGGAGAAGATCACCGACGGTGCCCGCGAGGCCTTCGAGAAGGTCACTGGGTACGCCATGTTTTAAATCACCTGGGCATAGATGTCTGCTAATGCTTTTTTTCCCAACACAGCAAGCACGTCAGCGACAAGATCTCCAACTAGACAAACCATTGGATGAGAGCAAGAATCTTGTTTGAGGGGAATGAGTGAATGAATACCCAGACAGAATCTGTGCAGATAGGATAGATCTGTTTTATAATCAAACTTGTCTACTTAATACCTAACTAGACCTTGCTCGCTACGATTTGCGTGTAGTTGATATCATAATTGAACCCATAAACTCATAGGACCAAGTAGGCCAATGCGTCCGAGGCTATCTAACAAGGTGTCCAGAGGGGTAGGCACCTTGGGAAAGTTTTTGCCACGCACAATCTCCTTAACTACCTAGGTACTTGGGGATCTTCATTTGTACCGTGGACTGTCAAAACCAAACCAAAGATACGGACATCGGATATAGGTGTCTCACGTTACCGTGGAAATCATGAACTAGCGCGGATCGAGGTAGATCTCGCCTAAGTGGGCCCGGAAAAGACCAGATCCTCACTTATGATTGGCCTACACAATGCAGAATCGTCTTTCCCCCCAAAAAAAGAAGGGGCCACTCCTCGGCTGACTTGCACGTGTCTTCATGCTGCACGAAATACTCCGTAGAAGACTCCCACCTGCTAACGATTCTTAACTGCTCTCATATTGAAGATTATAGACCATTGCCGCACAAAAGTACAAAATCATCTAGCTAAGTAATGAGGGGTAATGAACTTTATCTTCTTCGGCTAAGTCCGGCTCCGAAAAACTGACTGCACAATTCGACCAGCAAATCAGAGTCCCGCATGGCTTTCTCCATGGCGTGATCCTCTGTTCTAGATTGGATTATTTCACAACATCAGGGTCAAATATGGGTCGACTATGGGGTCAATTCCCAATTAGGCGACACCAGCTGAAAAGTGGCTCCCAAGGTTCGAGCTATCACTCGCAAACAAGCACGACACTAGTGAGCTCGAGAGATACTAGCTGCTTCGTGCCACGATCATTGGCTCCTACTTGTCTCGCTTGTCCGCATGTTGTCATTGAGGGGTTTATGAAGGGATGAGGGGCGATTCTTTCCTATTCCATTCTGCCATTCTGGCCTATTCCTGGTGGGTGATAAATTAAGCATCCACCTTCTATTGAAATGAGAACTGTGCCCCTATAAATCACCACTCTGTCCTCTTCACTCCCAGATCGATTCTTCTTCTCATTCCATTCAGAAACTGAACTCCCCCAAACAATCCTCCAAAATGTCTTACCGCAACGACGACAGCTACGGCAGTGGCAACCAGAGCTCCGGCTACGGTGACAACGACTCTTCTAGCTACGGCAACAACTCCAGTTCTGGATCCAAGAAGAATAGCTACGGTGACAACAACAATGACTCCAGCTACGGTGGAAACAACGACTCCAGCTACGGTGACAATGACTCCTCCAGCTACGGCAACAACTCCAGCTCTGGATCCAAGAAGAACAGCTACGGTGACAACAACAACAACTCCAGCTACGGCGGAAACAATGACTCCTCTAGCTACGGTGACGACAACAATGACTCCAGCTACGGCGGAAACAACAACTCCAGCTACGGTGGAAACAACGACTCCAGCTACGGCAACAACTCCAGCTCTGGATCCAAGAAGAACAGCTACGGTGACAACAACAATGACTCCAGCTACGGCGGAAACAATGACTCCAGCTACGGTGGAAACAACGACTCCAGCTACGGTGACAACAATGACTCCTCTAGCTATGGCAACAACAACAAAAACAACAACAGCTTTGGTAGCAAGCTGCTCAACAAGGCCGAAGGTTCGTGAAACATCTCTTTTCTTTCCTCTTTTGCTAAAAGACTTTGAGAGTCAGATGCTAACCCATGCTTCATTTCAGGATTCCTTGACCGCAACTAAAATCGCTTTTCACTGTGAGCTAAGGCAACAAGTTAAATAAGAGAGTTTGCTAGTGATTGTTGTTTAGAAAATAGTACATGCTGAGGCACAATACATCACTCCTCCTAGAACATTAAGAATGTCCATCACTAGCACTGTATAATTATATAGAGAGTCACTGATTCAGCCTGAATTCTAGAGAATTTCAGTTCTTCTCTCGTCCATTTTGAACCCCCAAGGACATGTGTGAAAAAAGGACTTGTGTGGAGATCGTGCTTTCACTGCAAGTGTTCTGCGGCGACCCAAATTCCCCAATCCTTCCCTCTACGACTCCGTAGAAGGGAAACAAAATGAATCAAACAATGTCCCCTCCACAGCCATGTTCGCTGCTCGCCTTGACTATGGAGCGGTTCACCGATCCTCACCTTCCTTTCACAGCTGAGGAAGCTGCATGGTAGGAAATGATGTTGCATCATGTTCAACCATACATGATCAATTATCGATTGGTCGCAATCAGGTGTACCATCGTCTATATAGGAACGGAAAATGGGGGGTTCGGCAAAATCCATCAAATATCAAGCATTTATTCCATATTTCAATGCATGCATCGACTGCATCGTTGGGCGAGTGGGATCGTTGGTCACTCAATCAACCGAGTCTGTCACCTAATATATTTGATTGAGGAGATGACATGCGGGCGAATTGCTACCAACCAAGCGTCACCAAGGGCGAACATTTTGCAAACAGTTGGGTTCATCTTGACTTTCCCAGCTACCTACCTATCAGACTTCAATTTCCCGCCGTGTTATGGAATTAAGCTGGTTGTGGTAAAGATGATCTTATTACTATAGAGTTGCTGCGTAGGATAAGTACGCTGCTTAATAATACGCATGTCATCATCCATCCCTCACACGCCTGGAGGGACGCTCGAAAAACTCTAAACAGCCCATCAGATTGCCCTGCAACAGCTAGTGATGAGGGCTTGGGGGAATATTGCCAGTGCAATTCAGTCGGCCAACGTGTTGAAGGGGAAACATGGGAAGCCTTGGAAAGAACTGTAGGAGTGACAAGGCAAAGGGATACATAAGAACCAATCAAGGAAGTGGGAAACGCGTAGGTCTAGATCACGTCACAGCGCTACTTGATTAGGTGGGTTAAACATAGTATAGATCTCATGATAGCACATATAGTTCTAGAGGTACAAAGTCTTCAAGTGTCACCGGCCAGCGAGAAGAGGAAAGAGGAATATTGTCTACAGAGGCTAGCTACGTAGCCGGTAGAAGCCCGGCGGACATCATATCTGTGCACTTGTCTCAACAGTCATTCCAGCGGTTTCCCTGTCCCAAAAGAAGCAAAATCACAATTTTCGGTCTAGAAGGGACCTTTCATACCCTTCCCTTAACAGGACATTTCCAATATCATTTCCTGGCATATATAATTTCATGTCTTCTCAAAAACCGCAGTGCAACTAAAATCTTCGGGGAACTTTTTTACCCTCGCAATGCCATCTCGCGAATAGTCCTTGCATGGTGATGCAATGATGATATTGAGACGAAGCCAATCGAAAAAGAACCAAAGGAGAAGAAGATTTGCTAGAATCTTCATTCAAAATTTCCCACTAATGGTTGGGAAACGATTATCAGAAAGTCAGACCCCAGTGCACCCACGATGACCTCAAGCAAGTTTTAGATCTTCTATCGCCCTTGTGTATCATGCGGACTGGCTATCTCAACAAAAACGACTTGCTTTTAAGTGCGCCAGTTCTTCTTCTGTGAATATGCCATCCGTTGAGAGGATTTGCTTATTAGTGGTTAGTTCATTTAAGTGCATCTGGCGTTCAGCCGACGGACATCTCTAGGCGCAAAAAGACCACGAATATGCAGAAAGATGGGACGAACTTGCCAGACTACTAGAGGGGACTCCCCTACAAAACATACGAAGAGAATTGTTTATTCATAAGGGTTGCTGGATGCTTCTTTCGAAGCAGTTCAAAAGTGGCGAGATGAATCTGGAAAAGTTGCTCAGAACCCTGAGAGGAAAACCCCCGCAATGGCATAGGGATATCTATTCTAGCAACATAAGTGAGTTCATTCCATCATTTGGTTATCTTTCGATGGAAAAAATTTTCAATTTTGTCAACGTTGGCGGCCTGTCACAGGCTTCATTACCAAACCGTCGAGCTTCAATCAATGCTTCCGGAACGCAGGTTTCCGCACAGCTGCTCAAGCCTTGCCAGTCATGATTAAATCACACCTTGTACCTGGGACTTTTATCAATAAACTCTACTTTGAATAGATTCCACTCGAAATCAGGCTGGAAATTGCAACTGACTGCGGACTTCCTCAACCCACGACACTGTTCAAGAGCAATCGCAGACGTGTTCGAAGATTAAACATTCCGGAAAACTAGGATTTTTATACATAGCGACAGAGGACATCTCGTTTTTCTCACTGAAGGTATCCATCATTCAAGAGACTGGCGACTGATTTTATCGTTTACAGTCACAATTCTTCTAAATTACACCTTGAGCTCCGCATTAAAAGACAGTATTGGCGGCACAACAGATGACTGAGAGATGTCTAGAAGATGACTTTGGATCAGAATCTTCTACTGCAGTCTTAAGTTGACAATAAAAAGCCTCTGCAGTGGCAAAAAGCTGCTGGGCAGATGATTTGCTATAGGGGAGCTCGGGGATTGCTGAATAGAGCTAATGGCAAATTGTGCCCACCATGTTTCATCAAGCATGAAAGATTCACTCAATCAGTTCCTTTCTCTAGAGCTGTTGTGGGACTCGCTATCTCTAGTCTTTCAGACCCATGCTCAGACGCAGACTCACCGGACACTTTTGTCGCCGGCTTGGAGCTTCAGCTTCTTTATCCTGGCAACATGCCGAACACTGTTCTTGGCTATCGCCTTCCGAGCAACCAGATAATCATTGATCTTCAATCAAGGCCACTTGGGGGATTCAAGGTTATGATAGGAGAAGGAGGTGTTCACGCAATACTTCCGATTTTCAATCCGATGAAAAATTGGATTGGTAAACCCGTCGATGAGTTCTACGGGCCCGTGTGAATCTTAGCAGACAATGAGATGCTAGCCCCTTTCGGTCGAATTCGATGTCAGTCATGCTAATCGCCAGTCTACTCAGCGTCGTGTGATTCTCCAACAGTAATGCCTACAGCATTGTAAACTCATAGGACTAGTGATGGGAACTGGCAAATCGAGTTCCTAGCTGGGTTCAAATCCAACTGATCAAGGGCTCTTGCTTCGATGAAAATTGACGGATGTAGTGGGCGAGGATGTAATTGGATGGCTATGTGAGGGAACTTCAGTCTGTGAAATGCTTTTTCCCTTTATTTTACCCTTCCATGCTTAGCATTTTAGTATGCCATCAAGTAACCTCCCTGACATGCACAGACTTCGCTCTTTGCGGCCTCCTCTAATTCATTTCCCCCTTCATCAAGAAGCAATTTGGAATCTCTCATTGCTTCCCGTCTCAATTTCCCTTTCACAGCCAGCATGCGCGCTTTGATAAAATGTCCTCGAAACGACTGCTGCCATTCGAGATTATTTCAGTGATACGGCGATGTTCGCAAACAGTCTTCCCCTATATGCTCTCTTCAATCCCTTTCCGAACCTCAATTGAAACGTTTCAACCCATTCCACGAGATGTTGTTCGATCTGGCCAAGAGTCGTGGTTACTGGTGACTCTCAATTGAAACGCCCAGTGTGCTGTCATTCAGGCAAGCTCAGCTCGAATTAAATTGGCTCAAGTTGACGACACGAGTCGCATACATTCCAATCACCTTCCGAACTGCATTGCGGTCATTGTATCAGCTGATAGAGTGCATTGAACTTCAGACTCGTTCCAAGGACATATGTTTCAACTATGTTAGCGATTCAAAGGGAAAGAAATGGGCATCTGTGTCTAATTTGAGATCGCGACATACTGATATCAGAACACCTCACTATTAGCCACTCGCTATGGGCAATGCCCATGAGTAGAATAGAAAATAGGAAGATGTCAACATAATCCTGATCTTGATACCGCTTGAATCATAACAATAGCACAAAGTCCTCTGGCTTTTCTCTGGAAAATTATGTCCGTATCTTTCAAACAAAACAAGTATCAACCACTCAATCACCATGGTTCGAATTGCTTTTGTCTTCTCTGCTATTGCTACACTGGTAATGGCTGTGGTTTCCTTTTAGCGACAGTGATCAACCTCGCATTTTCCATTGGTTTCTATCTTCTATTGCATACAATTACTCTGGGAAGGAGTTCCTGAACAAAGAACCTGAGATCTGAGGTAAATGGTCTAGATATTGATCATTGTGTAGCTAAACCTGATATGACCTCTACTCTATGAGGTGGAAACCCCTGCTTCTTGCTCATTCATTTGCAATAGCATCTATAGTACTAAGCGAATTGAGTGCACTTGTTACAGAAATTTTGTTATCCATAAACAAGAATAGCGAACATGGTTCAGTAGTTCTAGCCATAGGCTTGGGATAATATATTCAAGATCATTTCAAAATTTCATCTCACATTTCGTTTGGTAGATGATATTCCAGCTATCTACATGAGTTTTCATGCAACCTCTTTACCATTTACAGCGTGGATGTCCCTTTCAACAAATGTAAAAAGAATGCGAGATTGTTCTAGTTCAGCTCGAGTTTCAATGTTAAGAGTATAATCGGTCTAGTGGGTGCTTAGCAGCCTAAGTTGTGGTTAAGTAGTTACCATCTGGGATCTTCCATACAAAGACCAGGGTTTAGAAAGTTTTTGGGGTGCATGGATAACGTTAGTGTCGACTTGAGATGTGAATGAAAGGTTGGACGTCGATGGATGTTGTTGACAGAAGGAATCTAGAGGGAAGATCTGGGATCTGGGGAGTAATCACCGCCCGGGCTCCGCCAAGTTTATTGACAACATCCGTTCTACATCTTCTCTCTTTCCCCCCCCCCCCCTCTTCAATGCTTCAATAAGAGCCATTCGTCAAAATGCGGCTCCAGGCGGCGCTCTTTTTCGCCGCGTGCCTATCGCCCGCGGCGGCCATCTACTCTGACGAGGTCAACCACATCGACTTCCACCATGCTCTCCTCGGCACTCCATCCCCCGATTCGACCTTCTTTCTCAAGCCATCCACATCCTCTAACGCTTCCCTCCTCTACACCTTATCCGACAAGCTGCTCGTGGGCGCCGTGAACCCTCGCGATGGCGCGCTGGTATGGCGCCAGAACATCTCGCGGTCGGCGGACTCTCTCGCACATGGGACGGGTCTCTTGCGCGGATTAGATGGAAACGATGCCATTGTAGCTGCGGTGGGTAACTACATCGCCTCTTGGAGTGCCCAGGATGGCAAGGTGGGGTGGGAAAATCGGGATTCCGAGGGTGTTGTTGCCGATCTCGAGCTATTGGAGCTTGAGGATGTTACCACGAACTCCGGAGTGAGAGATGTGGTTGCTGTGGTTGCTAGTGAGGGCACCGGAATTGTGAGACGGCTGGATGGTAATACTGGAAAGCCTGTGTGGGAATTTAAGGATACAAGGTTGGTTTGTCTTTGGCCTATTCTAACAAGTCCCAAGCTAATGAATTGTTCCTACAGTGGTGAAGTTCCGTTCCAAGTGTCGTCTTCTTCCACCGAGGTATTCTATATTTCACTCCAGTCGGCTATGTTGAAGGGCTTCAGGATTAAGGTCACTGTTTTGGATCCATTAACTGGGCGACAGACTCGTCAACAGATTCTGAACTCTGAGGCTGATGTGATTACCCCGGAGTCTGTCCTCTATGTAGGCGCTAATTCCGCTTCGCCTATCATCGTCTGGACCGACAAATCGCAGAGGTACTTGAAGGTTAATGTTGTTGGTACCAAGGAGATCACTTCTATCGCCATTGACAATACCCCCGGCTCCGAAATTCAACAGATCACAGTCCACGCTCCCCACAAGCTTAACGCTCTGCCCCATTTTTTGGTTCACTTTGCAACCGAAGCCGGAGCCTGGGCTGAGGTTTATCATGTGGACTTGGTGTCTGCTAAGGTCACCAAGGCTTACCGGCTGCCCTATCTGCCCGGCCAGTCGGCGGTCGCAGCCAGTGTCATTGGCGCTAATGTTTATTTCACTCGGATCACAGACTTGGAAGCCATTGTTGTGTCATCCAACTCTCATGGAGTTCTCGGACGATGGGATCTGCAGAAGCCTTCTTCTGACGTTGCCCTTCACTCGGCATCCGAGGTCGTTGCCAAAGGAAAATCCGTGGCCGTTAGATCAGCAGTTTTCCGAAAGCATGGAGATTGGCAACTTATTCGAAATGGCCAAACCGAGTGGACTCGGCACGAGGGTCTTATTGATACTGTCGCGGCTACCTGGGCGGAAACTGACGCCCAAGAGGATTTAGCTCATGAGTTAGAAGTTGAGGGTCACGAGACTTTGTACGGCGCGTACCTACACCGTGTGAAGCGTCATGTCCGGGACCTGGAGCATCTGCCCGACTGGCTGAAGGACCTTCCTAAGCGCATTCTGAGCAGTATCCTGACCGACGAAGTGTCTAATTTGGACAGCTTTGGAGTTGCCAAATCAGTTATTGTCGCCACCAAGAGTGGCCGTGTGTACGCCTTGGATACTGGCAACCACGGCACCGTTTTGTGGGGTATTCAGGCAGTGGAGACCTCGCAGTGGAATGTGAAGGCTATCTTAGCTTCACCAGGAGTCGTCACCATCTACTCCGACGATGGAAGCTCTGTGGCTGTGGATGTGTCGACCGGAGAGATCGTTTCACGTATCGAACCATCCAACACCAAACTACACTCCATTGCTGTCTTCGGGGCGCAGGATGGAAGTTCGCTGGCGACTGTCGGTGTCCGTGAAGATGGTACTCCAGTCACTGCACTTGCTGACGAAGATGGGTTTTTGGTAACCACTAGCATCGATAGCCGAATTCTCGGCTGGGTTGCAAAGGATAACAAGACTCCTGCATGGCAGTTCGTTCCTCCCTCTGGACAGAAGATCGTCGCAGCAACCGCTCGCCCTGCGCATGATCCCGTGGCATCTATCGGCAGGGTCCTTGGAAACCGCTCGGTCCTTTACAAATATCTCAACCCTAACCTTGCCCTGGTGACTGCAGTGAACGAGAAGATCCACACCGCCAGTTTTTACCTGTTGGATGGAGTTTCAGGCAAGGTCCTTCACGCAATCACTCAAGCAGGTGTGGACCCCACACAGCCCATCGCATCTGTGATGTCTGAGAACTGGTTCGCCTACTCATTCTGGGGTGACGTTGACGGCAGCGAGTCCTCCGCCAAGGGCTACCAACTGGTCATCTCGGAGCTCTACGAATCCCCCTTCCCCAACGACCGCGGTGTTCTTGACTCTGCCACCAACTACTCCAGCACGGCCACGCTCCCGTTGCCCCACGTCATCTCCCAAGCCTTCATGATCCCCGAGTCCATTTCCCATATGGCGGTCACTCAGACGCGCCAGGGCATCACCACCCGCCAGCTTCTCTGCACTCTTCCCTCCTCCAACTCCATTGTCGGCATTCCTCGCCCCGTCCTCGACCCCCGCCGCCCTGTCGATCGTGACCCCACCACGGCTGAGGCCGAAGAAGGCCTGTTCCGCTATGCGCCCTACCTCGACTTCGATGGGAAATGGTACGTCTCGCACACGCGCGATGTAGCCGGTATCAAGACCGTGCTCTCTCGCCCTACCTTGTTGGAAAGTACCAGTCTTATTTTCGCTTATGGAAGCGATATTTACGGTACCCGAGCCACGCCTAGCCAGGCATTTGATATCCTTGGCAAGAGCTTCTCCAAATTGCAGCTTGTTCTCACTGTCGTGGCACTTGGAGCTGGTGTCACAGTTTTGGCTCCGATGGTAATTTCGTTGTCTATCTCTTCTCTCCCGGTAAACTTGCTAATTATCTTTTCACCTAGGCTCGGAGGAAGCAAGTTAATGCCCTGTGGAGGGCTTAGGCCTTCCAGGAACATTTACCAGACGTGATCGTGTGCTTTAGACTGTAAAACATGTGTTGGTTGTCAAATTTTTCCAATGTAGCATCTTAAATACGCGCATCTCACTGCGAAAATTTGTCGCCATACGTACCCAAGCCAACCTGACCAGCTCGAAAGAAACTACAGTCTGATATACAATAAGTCATTGGTCATAAGGAACACTCCATTCGTTCATAGGCATAATATCCAAAGGATATAGTGGACCAAACAGTACAGTAAAAGAAAAGAAGAGCAGCTAACATCAACAATCACATCATGCATCCGTCGGTGTTACCAGTAGAACCAGAATTCGAAGATGATATAGAACAGCCCTGCTTCGAGGGACAGCGAGAGGAAGGTGATAGTTAAGAGTGGGTGTGTTGTGTGGTATGCGATGAAGACGGTGAACATGGTACTTGCCGACATGAGTGAGCGGATGACCTTTGCGACGCCGACGTCCGGGACGCCATCGCGGGCATGCTTGTCGCCGTCCAAGAAGCCGTGCTGATGGCCTAGCCAACGGAGAGCGTGTTTTTTTCTGGATGTCGATGGCTTTAAAGGCGGGGCCGTATGCCGAGTAGTTCGTAGAGCCGATGGAAGAAAGTCCATTTTGAGCGGGCTTGGTGCCAGGTAGACTTCATGGAGTCCTTAGCATTTACGATCCAGGCCTGGTTTTTTTTTATAAGGTATCATCGGAGTGTACACTTCAATCTCCCCTCAGGCATGGGTGGATTGGTAAAATTTCAAGTGCTTGTGCTTAATGTCAATCCTTTCCAGTTGTTCGGCCATTGGCGACGATCGGTACATGTGAAGAAAACTCATTTCTGTCATGCTCCCCAAAAAAAAAGTTTCGGGGAGTTGACTGCATTGGAATATTATATCGATCATCTCTCGTCTTGAAGTCGTTCCCAACAAAATGCCCGTTTTAGCGCGTTGACTGGGCTCAACATGGTTGCCTCATGTTCGTGTCTCGGGCTGATTCGGGGGATGATGCCATGATACAATGGCCTTCACCAGTAGATCTGCTTGTTTCTTTGGGTACTCAAGACCTGATTCTAGATGTTCAACGGGTTCGGCCATCTAGATGTGATGTGGAGACGTTGCCCTGCATGGACCTACCAAGTCATGTGGTCAACCAAAGCCCTTATTCTTAGTTGGTCAGCTTGAATCCTCATGAGTTTCTGTACGATCTATAATCTGACGCTCAAGAATGATCTGGTCACTTGGGAAATGTTTACAAAGCTACTAGACGCACATCGCCTTCGATCGTTCTAAGCATAAGCCCGAGAAGAAGGAAAGAGATGTTAAAAACATCTTGAAGTTCAACGTAGTTTGATCTTGAATACAACATCCCTTATGTTCATATAAAGTCAAACTTACTAAATTCTCTAGTTAGAGGTCACATTAGCGGCCAACTTTACTCGTTGACTATACATCAATCCAAGTGCCATTTTCTGACATTTTCAGTCGCACGGACCAGAGAGCAGACTCCAATTGGGTGTGAAATCGTGAATACGAAGTGAAAGATAGCTTGACTCAATGATGCCTACGTGGTCTACTTGATTATGGCTCAATATAGTCTGCGGAAATCCTCCCTGGGTGGCCGAGTGGGTGGGAGATGTGAGGTGATCTGATTGCTAGGTGGAATAATGACCACAGGTGATACCGTATTGGGAAGTCTAGCAATGGTGAAACTAGTCAGGGTTTCGATCTTATTAGGAGTACTTGGGGCATGGATAGCATAATACCCCTTTCTATATCAGCCCTTCACTACTGGTCTCTTCCCTTCGGCTTGCCTCGCCATAGTGGCGGGGTATGGAACTGCAATTCCCCACTTTGAGATCTACACCAGGGAGATAGATCCACGAACAAGACACATAGAAGAGAAGTATGCCTTCGTGATGAGATCTGCACTACACTGTGCTATATCAGATCGCAAATGGTATGTCCAACCACAAATTCTAACACATTTATTCCCGCTGCCTTTCCATCTATGTGCTCTATGTGCAACACTATTCTTTGTCTCATCCGCAGATAATGTTGAGCTTGGCTGCCACGTTATCAACAGCTTTCTCACCATCGTCAACTTCAGCCCCTGCATCTTTAGCCACCACCTTCTCTGCGGAGTCCGTGGATTTAGCCTATGGCACGACCGAAAGCTATGTCTTCGGGATAGGGACTACTTCCCTCCGCACCTTTCCACCAACAGTGCCCAGCACTTGGAGGTGATCACCATTGAACAATATAGGGCCCTTGAGGATGTCCTTTCGCGTTTGGCCGTCGGCGGGCGGTTGCACGATGCCTCGGAGCAGTTCACGGCTGGGATCGTCCAAGTTGGGCATATCGCCCCACGACCAGTCCAGATCACCACCGTATGACTTGGGGATGCTGGATGGCTCCATAAAGGTATTGAGAGTGGGCTCAACCTCTGCAGCGGAGAGAATGAAGATCTTAGAGGTGGTGCCTGGGTCGAACCAGCGCTTGACCCAGCCCCAGACGGTTGGGAAGAATGATGGTGCTCCGATAATCTAACAGAGAGTTAGTTCCACGATCTCGCAATCAACGGCAGAAGCTCTCCGAGCGGATTAAATGGGGATTGAATAACATACAAAGATCCGGTCCAAGGTCTCGGGGTAATGCGCCGTAGCCAAAACACTAGCATCCTGCATATGACTCTTCAAGTTCCAGAACTGCTTCAGCCCAACACCGCTGACATCTACGATGTTGGTCGACGTCACGATAGGCGTCTCCGGGTTAGGACGTGGCAGCGCGGATGCGAGCGGCATCACGAACCGGAGGAGGTTCTCATACAAAGCGAAGAGATTCAACAAGCGCGCAGGGACTCTAGATGATTTGTGAGTTTCAGGTGTACCGCTAGTCATGGTGGAGTGGTAAGCGGCGACAGCCTTGTTGTTCAGGTGGCGGATCTGGAAGACGTAGACAGGGATTCCGCGGCGATCGCGACGGCCTGTCCATTGAGGGTACTGTAAAGGTAGTAGACGTCAGCACGAGATCTGGTTATTCGTTCGCAAGGGATGATTAAGCGCACCATCCGTCGAGTGGCCTCGTATGAGTCCACGCTGATATTCTCATATAGCTTCTCGATGGCGTTGTCTTTGCGCCAGTCTTCGGTGTCCTTGAATTGAGCCCATGCGCCCTCGACATCAAACTTGCGAGCTCGAAGGAATCGCCTGCGCAAAGAACCAAAATCAGCACTCGATCATTTTGTTTGATCTGACCATTTCTGGCTATGTTGGGTTCTAGCGTTGACGCGCCACATACAGTAAAGTCGCATCGTCCTGGCTGGCGGGTTTCGCCTCGACGCCGTCTGCTTGTTCCACAGCAGGAGTATAGTATTTCCGCTGAGCGCAAATTGCCTTAAACTCCTCCAACTTCCTCTCCTGCTCCGGTGTAAGGTGGTGCAAGTGTCCGGCAAGCCATGCGGTGCCAGAAGCTTGTGAGGCGGAAGCGGCGGGATCGTTCTTAAGCGAATCGGTGCGCGCCAGATCTTGTTCGGAGTCCTGCGGAGTTTTGTTGCCCCAAAGCATAGTGAACTCTTATTTCCTAAGTTTGTTTACTTTTTTTTTTGAAGAAGAGATCAACTTTATAAAACAGATCTCGGAGGTGGCGGAGGGAAGGAGGCGGTGAAATAAATACGACGGTGTTAGGTCCCGGGGTTGGTGCTTTCTGGGGTTGAGTAGATGTGATACGTCTCTCCATCACATATTTTGGATGAAACTTACATTTCTCTTGTCGAACGTCGTTAAGATCACATCTGCCAAAATACATTGCAGATCCATTGATCAACGAAGCTCACTGGCAGGTTCAACCAAGGTAGCCCAGCCCTGATGCCCTCCAAATGAAGCTAAACATGTCATTTCGTAGTGTTTTGGATGTGGAAAGACATTTAAAAAAAACGTTGTAATGCAATGAAATTCCAGCCTAAATTAAACCAAGCACCCATATCTCAGTGTACGCAGCACAGCCAGATGCTAATCATAAGACCAACCCCAACAATATCTGTACAGATCACCCTCATGCAGCCCAAAATTCAAATTCAAATAAAAAACATGAAACTAGTCCTCGGTCAGATCACCATACTCCCACATACCACGGCGCTCAGCCTTGGCCTCATCCTCGAGCGTGCGAAGGTTGGAGAGGGTATCGACGGAGGCACGCTCCCACGCCTTCAGCTTGCGGGGTACCATGGCCAAACCCTCTTGAATAATGTCAGCGTTGATACTGTTGTCCAAGTTCTTGGACGCAGCAGGGTCGAGGAGAGTGACGTGCAGGGTGCCGTCCTGGTCAATATGATCAACGTTTGCGACGAGCTGACGATCGAAAGCCTGGTCGCCGATGAAGCCGACGGCATCCTCAAGGTAATCCTCGGAAGTGGGGAACTGCAGAAGAGAGAGGACTGCATCAATGGCCTGGGGGCGGAGGGTCTGAGCAGAGAATTGGGGTTGAGTGAGAGGGCGGAGCGATGCCCATGGCAGAGTCTCGGAGTTGCCGAAGTCGATGTAGAGCACCTCAGCCTGCTCCTTCTCGCGGTCGTTGCGACGCACCTTAGCACGGTACCAGTCGCCGTCTTCGGTGAATTGCGCTGCAACCCAGTCGCCAGCCTTGGGAGGGCCAGGGAGCCGGGTGTCGTTGGCCTTGTTAATGTGGAACTTGCGGAAAGCGCTCATCAGCTCAGTGAGCGCGTTGGTACCGGTGCCGATCTGCTGCAGCTTAAGCTTTGCGGAAGTAGGGTCAATGTAGGTAACCATTACGTCGCGATAGTCCTTGCGACGCTGAGCGGGGACGGCATCGCTCTCAGTGCCAGTTCCGGCGCCATTAGCAGCCTCGGCTTCCTCAGCTTCGGCAGCCTCCTTCGCAGGATCCCAGTCGTGCCACAGGCCCTTTCGGGCGTCCTTGGCCCGCTGTTCAGCAGCGAAATACTCGTTGGCGTGACCAGACTGCTCAGCCGAGTATGCATGGACGGTGGCGAAACCCTCCTCCAGCAAAACAGTTGTGAAGTTCTCCTTGTTGATGTACAGGCTGCCGATGAAACCGCCAACCTTGTCAATGGTCTCAACGTCAATCTCAACGTCGCGCTGCATGCAGCGGCGGTTGGCAAGATCGTGGGCCTCCTGGCCGAAAGGCTCACCGGCATCGCTGGGTCCGCGGGAAGAGCGAGGGGCGCGGATGCCGGAAAGGACGAGAGTCAATTTGGCGTTATCGCGAGGAACTAGAACAGTGAAGCGAGAACCAGACTTAACAAAGTCGACGACAGCCGGGACACGCTTTTGACGCTGCAAGATACCAAGCTCCAGCTTGGCCTTTTGCACGCTCTCTGAATAGTCTACCACCTGCTTCGCCTTGGGAGCCTTGGAAGACCACATTCCACGGCCTTCCTTCTGGGCATTAGCCTCAGCAGCGAGCAGTGCATCGTAGTCGGGCGACCGGTCAGCGTCGTCCATGCGGTGGCGAATTACAGAGGAGTAACCAGCCTCTACAAGAGCCAACCCAACGTTGGTGTTGCCCTGCACAACAGTAGCCACCTCACGCTCCTCGTAGCCCTCATTGGCAGGCTTCTTGCCGTTCACGGTGACCAAGACATGCTTGGCGATTACCCGCTTGCGCAAGTACTCCTTAGCCTCAGCAGCATAGGGAGCCTGCTTGGGGTCGGAGGGCTTTGGCTGACGGATACTGGCGAGGCTGACCTTCTTCTCCTGGCCAGCCTTATTGCGGATGAAGAGGGTGTCCGCATTCAAAACACGGGTGACAACGTAGTCCACAGCTGCAGCACCAGCGGTTGTAGGTCCCGTGTGGCTAACCCACAATCCCTTGCGGTTACCCTTCGCTGTAAGTTCCGCCTGGCGCAGAAGTGCCATGTCTGCACCCAAAAGCGTGGAGTGGTGATCCTGGCAGCGGGCCAGACCAGCCTCCAGAAGGAACCGAGAGATATTTCCGTTGGGGTGAAGGAGAGTGGCAACAATTTGTCCCTGCGGCGTAACACCAAGTAGAGAAACCTTGACCTTACGCTGCAACAATCGCTCTTCAACAAACTGTTGCGCCTCATCACCAAACGGCTCAGCCGCGGTCTCCTTGCCATCCGCAGTTGTGCGCTTAGCGGATGGTGCCCTGACACCAGCAATGGCAATGACAGTCTGAATGTGCTCCTGCGGCTTGAGCAGCAAGCGCAGCACAACCCGGTCACCGTTCAGGACCTTCTCGATGATACCCTCCAGCTGTTGGCCCAAGTTACGCTTCACCAGATCACGAGTGCCAGTCAGTTCGTAGGTAGTATCGATATGGGCATCGTCACCACTGGCCCAAGTTCCCTTTCCCTCGTCCCGTGCGAGGGATTCCAATGCCCGTAGGCGTTCCAGGAGTGCAACGGTCTCCTCGGATTCATCTGCGCGCTTGCCTGCCTCTTCACGGACACGTGTCCAGCCCTCCTGCACACTGATGTCGGGCAATGAGGCGTCAAAACCGGGCAGTTTGATGGTACCATAGTCGCGCTTTGCACCGGTGGGGATTGTGTACACAACGTGGAACTGGATGACTTTGCCGACAAGGAGCTCGCGGAGGAATTCGCGGGATTGGAAGGCGTATGCCTATGATAAATTGTTTGCATTAGTATAGTCTCTTTTCATCTCTTATCCTTCGGTCATTGTCATCTTATTCAGTGATGTGCGTAGCTAGCATGGACCAGAAAGAACATTTGGACCCAGCAAGCAACAATCTGGTCTTTCAATGGTGCAATCAACAGGCAATTAATTCAACAATGCACCTACCTCATCACCCTCTCTCCTTAATCTTGGAGCAGAAACATATGCCAGACTCAGGATACGTTCTTGTGAAGGGTTGGTGATATGTGACAGCACGACCGTGTCACCGGACAGGACGGACTTGACCCGGGCTTCGAAAGGCATGCTGAATGAGACAGTCTCCACTACCACATTAACAATTGTGATGAGATTGAAGACAGAACCAGAATTAAAGGAAACACAAGGAGGAGAAAAAGTAGTTGAGAGCAGATTGTCCTGAGGGGAAACGTGGCCGGTGCTTGGACTTGTGGGGAAAAGCGGTCAGGCGATCCGAGCTCCTACTGAAGTCTACAAAGCATCGAAGCTATAAATTCCATCAATGTTGACAGACATCCAAATATAAACATGTCAAATTGGCATTCATTCATGTATCCTAGTCGGAGTATCCTGCATTTTTCCCTCCCCCAATTACGGGGACATCAAAGTCAAGGTTTCAAAAGGCAATAGATAAGGCTACATATTTATGCGGCAATACCAATGACACCTTGAATTACCTTGTTAGCCGTCATCCCTACTAGAGCACGCTTTCATGCACTTACCACAAGCAGGGCGGGGACCGGCGTTACCGGTCTTCTTGGACTCCTCGTTACCACCCTTGCCAAGGTCATCAGTTCCGGCGTGGACGACCAGAGTGCGCTAAGTTAAGTTAGCAATCTGTATCGGCAATGTCAGATACCAGTGATAAACTCACGCCCAGGACGGACTCGGCACCAATCAGCTTGATAAGGCTGTCCTCCTTGGAGCCGTTGGCGTTACCCTCGGCATCGGTCTTGAAGTTGCCAAGGTCACCGACGTGACGGTCGGTGTCAGTGGGAGCACCGTGGTTCTTGCCGAAGGGGTTGACTAGAAGCGATCAATTTTCGATCCTTTCTCTTTATCTTTAGCCCATCCTTGAGTGACATACAGTGAGGGCCAGCGGAGGTGCAGCCGTTGGTGTTGTCACCAAACTGGTGAACGTGGAAAGCACGTTCGGCGTTGGCGTCGTGGCCGGTGATGTTCCAGGAGATGGTGGTAGGAGCACTCTCGGATGCCTGCTCGAAGGTGACGGTGCCGGCGACCTTGGCGTCACCACGGAGGACAGCAACTGCAAGGAAACAAAAGTGGTCAATTAAATGTTCTAGAAGGCTTATCGAGGGATGCCCGGCATGCCGGTTACTGGATCTTCGGGTCCCTGGGATCTGATCTCAGCCTCAGCAACGGGTGGTACCGCACTGGCGCAGGATCAAAATGCCGCGCTCCTAGCAAATGAGCAGCGATGATCCGCAGCCTTGTCCCAGGGGCATTGGCTGATATCCAGACTGAGCAGTGGAGAGCTAGGTCGAGGATGCAAGCCGATAGGCCCGGATTTGGGATCTGGGTCACAAGGTGCTCAAATCTGCTCACACCCAAGGTCCCCTTGCCACACATATCGTGGGGAACTTGGGAGCTGAGGATCTTATGTATGGCCCAGAGAGAACCAGCAATGGAACCTACTTACCAGCCTTAACCATTTTGATAGTCTTTAAATGTTTTAGATTGGAGATGGAAGAAACGGGTATTGTGAAGGAAGAGGAGAGGAAGTGGGCGGACGAAGATAAAAAGGCGGATGATGTTGACGTGACTCTACACTTGTATCAGCAAAGTACTAGGTACATACATTTCAGTATTAAATTGAATAGGTACACCAGTACCTGGTACCTAATACCTCAGCAATACATCCCCCACCTTCCTAAGTGGGGAGCAAGTCGGAGCTCGGGAAATGACATAATTTTTAATATCATTGTGAACACTTCAGAATTTTCAAATATGTTGTAGATTCTTCTTCTGTGCAAACAAATGCAACATCACTGTTATGTACATTTAATATCTATACATCTTCTGGTGATTGTTTCTTCTCCGTAGATACGTACATACGTATGTTATTTATGCAACTATGGACCACATGGACCCGTCGACGTTCCGGATTTTTTCCCTGCGGGGTTTTCCCATTTGAGCTACCGCCGCTCTAAGGAGGGCACTCAGTCCTGGGCTCCCACAGAGTAAATCCCAGCATGAGCTCAGCCGAGTTGAGCCAGTCATGTGCTATATGACTAAACATCGAGCACGATGTTTGGCGCTTAGACCACCATGGACTGTACCTTTTGTGGAACAGCCCTACGGACTGTTTCGAATTTATACTATGTTTAGTTCGTTGATAGTATCCTCAGACTACCTCATCGCATCAAGAAATTGTGTTCTGGCCACGGGGATTCCAAGACCTTATATGTGCATGGTCGTATTATTCGAATGTTTTATTCAATTATTTGAGCTTTAATACGATCCCTCAACCCTTTCTAAACCCTACCAAAGACAATACATGACTTTGAACTGGTTAGTCCAAGCATATTTGCATGTTCCGTTGTCACCGCTGCCAGCATGACAAGTGGCAGACCGCCACCAGATAAACAGAAGTCGGGGGGAATGATATAAGATCTATGGCAGAATGGAGCGGAGCCATAACAGCTGCCCTTGATGCCTTTGCCGATGGAAGGGTTTCCAGCACTAGGGGACGAAGTGGTCCTGGTTGTGCTCCTATTGATGTGAGCGTCTTTGGTCGTCTGGGACCAGGGGTAGGGAGGCGGGAGATGATCTAAATGGAGATAGCACGTATATCATGTGGGGTAAGGTAATGCTACTTGTCATCTCCACAGTAGAAGGGCAATTTGGCTGACTTTGGTCAATACTCCCCACACGAGAAATTCGGTGCTCACCGCTAAAACATGGGTTGGTCAGAGGTTCTATAAGGTGAAGGTGGACGGTTGTCTTACATTCTGAGAAAGATATGGCGACAAGAAACGTGGTTATGTCATATCCGAGAACAGTGGTTGTAATTCCAACTTTATCAGTTGATGTTCCGGCAGTCAAGGAACTTTGGGTGATCGGGGTAGTCCATGGTGGAATGGAGATAGTGGGTGGAGAATCAATAGGTGGCGGAGGTATGATGAGGGAGCATGGAGGTTGGTATTGAATTGATGGTGAAGGCTCATCCCATATGGAAGGTGCAATTTAACCATCACCATCGCCAACCTGAACCTGATCCACCGAAGTCCAACTGTTCCACGCAGGCCTCTTCAGGGCAGTATCCACGTTGACAAGTGTATTCACAAATGGGCCCATAGACGGCAGCATCCTGCCCTGGGGCAGCCGCTCCAGTTTTATTGGTTGTAGGAGCCATGATATTCACTGCACCTTGACCAGTGCAGGTGCATGCATTCCTTGGACAAAAGCCATGTGCACAGCTAAAATCACAGAGACCAGCAAGGTTACCCTTCCCAGTTCCTGATGTACAAGCCGGAGGAAGAAATGGGGAGACATTTGGTCTAACCAAACGCATATCCTCAGTGCCGCATGTTGAGAATGGACAGTAGCCCAGATTGCAGTTGAAGGCACAAAGTCCACTGTAAATGGCTCTTTCGCCAGCAATTGGGTATCTGGCCACTCCGGTATGGTTGGGCAGCTTCAATCCCTGACCCATTTTCGTGCATGTACAGGCTCCAAGTGGACAATAGCCGTATGTGCAAGAAAACTCACAAAGACCAGCAAAGTTATAGGCACCAGTGCCATTCTTGCACAATTGGTCAGAGATTTCGAACCTGGGCCTGACTGATACCTTGTCGCCTGTTGCACTGCCAACCCAGGCGTTCCAGTTCTGAACTCCATGGCGGCAACTGGCCGAGATGGACTCGCCCTTAATTGTGGTGGTTGTAACATTGTCGCGTATCAAAGACACAGTCACAGCTCCAGTGCGACCATCAAAGGCCTGACTGCCGTGATACACGCCGATATCATCGTCTGGAACTACTGTCCACGTAGCATTTTGAGCTGATCCTCCAATAGAAACAACGACTCCAGAAAATGAGCCAAGCAGGGCGGAGTAGAAAACGCGATCCTGGGCCAGTTCAGCCGGCGGGAATTCAATCTGCAGCTGTTGCGCTGTGTTTCCACTGGTGCCTCCACCGCCACAGGCTGCCCCAGGGCTCAATCGATACCAGGAGACGATACTTTCTTCCGTGATGTTGGCCGTTCCTTGCTTGTACATGTCAATCCAAAAGGGAAGTTGTAGTCGCCAGCCATCATGGGGCATGTCAGTCGCATAGTTGAACGGTGCCTCTCCAATTTCGAATGCCTCCATGGATTTTTCATGAAGAGGGCCAATATAGTGAGACTCGCCGTAATCATTCCATGAGATGATTTCCACAAACTCAGGCTGCACAAAGAGCACCTCCTGCCAACGATCGTGCCACAGATGGTCTCCTCGCCACATCCAGTTCTTCTTGTACCCAGGCAGGTTAGTATAGAACCACGGAGAAACGGGCATCATATAAGGCATACCAGCCAGATATTGAAGGTAAGAAGCGTCAGTATAGGTGTCCATATTCTGTGGACCCCAGGGCCATCCGGCCCAACTGAAAAGACCATCAACGACTCCAGTTTCAACAGAGGGTTTGGCGCCAATGGAAGACCAGCTTGGGATAAAAAAGCAACCGGTCTCAGACTTGATCGAAGGCCAATCATCAGCACGACCTGAGCCCTCAAATGTGGATACGAATGCTTTTCCTTGGTAGAAGAAGTACGAAGAGTGTGCGCTATAGTGATTAATCAGGTTAATGAGATCGCTCTTTGGCCAATTGCCGTTTCCACTATAGTCGAACGAGAAGAAAAGTTTGAAGCCGACACTTTCTGCCGCTGAAAATGCGACAGGGAGAGCCTTCATGTTTGTCAAATCATTGTAGGCCATGTTCAACGCAAAGGCATCAATGTGCGCATCCTGCGCCAGTTTCATGTCGTTCGACCAATCTTCAAACGTGTAGTTGGCCGAGTTGATTATCTGTTCACTCTGTTAATGTCGTAGATAATTCACGAGAATCACTACTTACCATGAAGTGAGCAAAAACAGATGCTGCCTGCACTCGGCAGGTCAGCAGAACCACCGCAACACACGTCAGGAATACTATCATGGCTAGTGCTGGCAACTCGGGACTATCGGAAAGGAGGCATTGAAGCTCAACATCTCGGGATGACCCTCGCGTTTTGACAACCAAAAAATTCCATTAGTTCGGCCCCACTGATATCATGCCAGAATGAGAGAATTTTTCTTTTTCGCAACACCTCCATCGAGTCAGGAAAAGCGGGGATAGGTTGGAGAATGCATCGCCACCGTCTGATCCAGTAGCGAGCCCTCACTTCACCGAATTTCCTTGTGTAGAGTATAACGCCGTTGCAAAGTTACAGGCCGGTCTCCAACTAAAGTATTGACCCACCAAGTGGATCATGATCAATCTTACTATTTACAAAGTACTCCGTACATTTGCTTAACTTGCCTGAGCGAGGAACCAATTGCTTGGCGCATCAGGCCGATGTTGTCTTTTATGGTGTATACCACTAGCATCTGCGGTTCAGCACCCGAACGAAAAATCACTAGAGCGCACCACAAGTCCTCGAGAAAATCAAAATCGACACAGGAGTGTGCCAATCAAGGGTTGAACCCCAAACCGCGTCAATAGGGCTTCTCTTTAATGTCTTGAGAAAGACACTTAATGGTTGATTCTAAGTCTAGAGGTCTGTAGTGATGATGAGAAACAGGTTCTTAGTGTCGAAGTTACTCTATCGAGTGTTGGATCTTTTCACATATTCTTAGTTTGGAGTGATTGAGACACAATACCTCTATCTCTAGTCCACCTTGCAATTTAGTGGCCTGTTCATTCAAAACTTGCATTAGTTTGTTGGGGATGGTTTTTTTTTCTTGACTAAAAATATATGGAAGTCATTCATACACCGAACACAAAGATCTTGCATCCGGCTTGTTCGGAGCCACAACCTAACACTAAATTGACACACCCACCCAACATCCACGAGTTTCCAAACTAGAACGCCCATCATGATGTAACTCGGTGATGGTGGCCATTGATATGGTGATCCACTCAGTGCTTTGCCCGGGACTAAAGAGGCAACCCCATTGTTAGCTGTATTCCTGAGTGGGGCGAACACAAGGATCAGAAGCGTACCGGATAACCTGTCTCCATTTCCACGCGAATGCCAGCAGCGATGCCAGATAAGGCGGACGGAGCAAAAGTGGCGACCGGCAGAGTTCCATTAATGGAGTCACACCCGCCAAAAGTGAAGCCGATGTTCTCCGAAAGGCTCAAAGCTGCGGTGCGATGCAGGTCACACTGGTTCGAATATTCGACGTAAACCCAAGATTGACATTTAGTGACTTCGCCACACCAGTTCTGGCAATCGGTTGCTGTTTTCAAATCAAAGCTGAAGGTGATGGGGGCGCTGCTGTGGAAGGCGATTGTATCATTATGAACCGAAGTCCAACATTTAGATGAGCCTTCAACGGCCAGAGCCAGGACAGCTAGAAGGATGACCAAGTAGATAGAGGCCATACTGCCAACGATAGCTTTGGGATCGAACAGCGAATGAACATCTGGTCACTCACAGATGGGATTGCAAGTATACAACAAATGGAAGACTTGGTATGATTTTTTTTCCTCATCATTCCCAGTTGCTTTGTCGGCGTACTGCCGAATTTGAAGTAGACCACTACACATAGTGTCGCAGTTGGATTCCTGGCCCACTGGCCCCAGGGGTCTCAGGCAGTGTCTCTCGGCCGCCAATCTACTTTGCGGAACTCTTTTTTCTTTTTTTTTTGCCAAATATGCCTTATCACCATGTTAATGGGTTGGTTCTGAGGTATATGGACCAAAAACTTCAAATATCAAGTTGCAGGAGGAAAAAAGTACCATTCTGGAAAGCCGCAGAGTGGAGATTAGACGAATTCGGACGAATTCCCCTAGGTTCGGAGCTACACTGTCGGGACGAAGTGTTCTCTGTAACCACCGAAGTACTCCGTACCGGAAATTGCCCTATAATCAGTTACTGTACAAGCCTCTTCCATGTCTCAAAGGAACAACGACATGTCGGCCCCATTGGCGAAGGCTCACGGGGCCGTGGCCAATCTCTAGACCCTAAATGATCGTCAAGATCTACGAAGGTACTACCACTAAGGGATAACGAGACTACTTCGAGACTCACAATTAAAAGCAACGTTTTCCACGTCGCACTCAAGCAAAATTTGATTTTGGGGGTAAAAATGATTGCTTTCATCGCATATGCATAATCTAGTGACAACTTAAAAACGGGTTTAACATCCCGAGCCCTACACCATGTACACCTCCTGCACTCTACGATGTTCTGGCGTATAAATCCTCGATGCAACCATGGAATCTGGTGTAGCAAAAAAAAGGTAAAGCTAGTAGAGGAAATCTAGATTGAGCAATAGGCAAACACTGCTCCGTGGGTGAAAATGCTACAGAGTCAGTGTACTCCCTTGGTATGTAACCTCTGAGGTTGAATCCTTCCAAACCCAACCCCTCCAACCACTCCGTACAGCGCGTATATACCACTGACTACGAAGGTGCAGATCGACAGTCAGATGCCTAGTTTTAAAGGTTTTGTGATCTAATTGGGACTAGTTCTCACGTGGAGACCGCCTTCGACACCGCTTAGGACCATGATGTGTACGAAGCAAGAAGTAGTCTTATCCACAGCAGCCCTAAACCGTGAATTTGAAGCTATTCCCACCCTTTTAGGTGTATGGATAATAAATCAAACTTAGTAAAATAACTAAGTCCATCTCTATCTTTTTTGGAGTGATGGTTAGTTGAACCTTGATCTTGATCAACAATTGAGCACAAAGAAAAGAGATTTAAAACTCTCTTGGTATCTAGTACTCTCGGCTAAAAATAGGATTTTAAGTGGTGCGAATAGCTTCATATTTTAGGCTATTCTGGTACTTTGCGTACGGAGTACTTGGGGATCTATTATATTGTAATTCAGATATTCTAATTTTCTGCCAGTCTAAATTCAGGCTAAATCAGACATCCGTTGGTCGCTCTGCACCTTCGGAACTGACCCACCTAAATACCTGCATCTCGAAATTGCGGTCTAACGACAGAATCCACTGGCTCCCAACTTGATGTCTTAGTTGAGCAGATGGCTGTTGTAGTAATTCTACCTCCTTATCTTCCGATGATATCTACTTAGCTAAGCTAAGAAAGAGGATTGCACTAATTTCTGAAGCCGAATCTCGCGAGTCAAACGCGGACAATAATACCGTCCCTAGGCGTCATCTGTCGGCGTTGTTCTCTGCACTGCTTGTTCCTTGAGCTGGGAGGAATTGGTCCCAATAACGCATATCGTATCTATTCTCACGTTCTGGCTATAGCTTATGCCTTCGATCATCGCAGATCTAACTGTCGATGGCTTGTTCGTCTTCAGAAAGATTGTGGAGACAAAAGGCGAGGATCCACAAGACACAAACGAACTGGGCGATTGTGCCGATTACCTACCGAACCCGCTCAAAAAGTTTCTATCTGAAAGGAGAGCAATGGTTAATGCTGGTCTCTAAACCGTTTCCTATGCCGCGAAACCCTCGTCTAAAAGAATAATTTGTGGCCCAACGGTATCTCACATCATACTTCAACACGGCAAATGACGAGAACGACAAGGCAGAAGTGGTGAAGAGTGAGTTTTGCGCCACTCGTTTAACAATCCAGTCCACATTACTGAGGCCAATTTAGACTACTTAAAAGACAGTGGGAGACTTTTTAAATGGGATGCTGCACGATCTCGGAACCCCACATTTATGCCGCGGTGATTAGTGGCTCACAAGGAAATTTAGGACGGACACGGCTTAGGGCGCGGCTCAGCTTCTTATCCCCATTGGGGATTCAAAAGACTACCAGGATGATCGATGGAAATTGAACAATAATAATGGCCAGTATGAGCGCACTGCAGTAATTCCCTACTGGGCAGGTCACTTGAAGGAACATCTTTTTCTGGATGATTACGGTAAGATTGATTCACTACAAAGGCAACACTGCGGGACTCACGCAAGATTAAGCCATGCCCGCTGCGATTACATTGTTCCCTTCCAGCTTCACAAACCCCCGGGCTGTCAATGGTCTTGGGTCCAAAACACCTACAATTGGCATGCCGATCAACGAGGAAAATCGATTGCTCGTCTATGGTGGTAAATTAATGAATCTAGCATACAGTGACGGGTCTGAATTTCACACCAAGAGCCCCACATGCTCTATTTCTTCTCTAACATATGCCTGTACAGACAGCGGTCATAAAGTTCAGTGTATATGGCTTATCTTTCTCTCGCTAGTCCTGATATACACCACATCAATCTATGACATAGATCGTTGTACGACAGAGTCTCGTGTAGTCGATCAGTAGAGCTGAAGGGCTAAGTAGATAAGATGATTTGCTGCTGTCAGGCACAGAGGCCATCATGTACTCAGTGAGGGGATCAGGTTGCCTACAACAATATATATACCTGTGAGATGCACCCACCTCCACCCGGGGTTTTTAGCTCATAGATAGCGCAGTAACTGATTCAGAGCCTAAGACAGATTCTAATAAATCCAAGGTTGGAACAAGAGGGTTCTCAACCCTCGATTGAACAGATAGTAGGGCCCCCGAACATGAGCCTATCATCTGGCTGGCATACTATGAGATTAGCAAATTCAGGGGAATGTACAATACAGACGAGAGCAGATCGATATATTTCAGTTCAGACTCGGAATTCAGATGAGATTTATTGGGGAAAATAGGCAGATCCCTGCGCCATAGGGAATCCCACATGGAGGACATCCCCGGGTTAGACCTAGGGATGATCTATGCATGCTTAAGACGTTTACATAAACATCAGGAGCTAACTATTCAGGGGCGTGCTCAATTTTACTGTGGGATCATAAAGCGGCAGGAGGTGAGAACTAAGATGGAAGGTGTGTTTGCACTGTTGCACAACTGTCTCACAATCCTAACCATCCCATTCAGCACTTGACACAACCTCGGGTAAAAATAAAATAAGTAGCAAGCCCAAGTGAAATGACACCATAGCAGGAAAACATTGCTACGGGGATCTAAGCAAGTTGACCAGATTCCGCCGTTTACCCTCCCAAATCTAATTTTTCTACACCGAGACTGGAGAACATAACACTTCGGACAATTTCATCAATTCGTATCAACCGATTCCAATTTTGGGGAGATCGTCAATTTACAATTAAACATTTAAAAGATCAGAACCCAATCTAAGCCTGGATCTTCTGGGCAAGAAGCTCCTTAAGCGTGACGGCATCCGCAGCGAATTTGGAGATACCTTCACGGAGCTTCTCAACAGCCATAGCCTCCTCGTTGAAGTCGAAACGGAAATCAGCCTCGTTGTTAAGGTACTCGCGCTTCTTGATCTCAAGGCTGGCGGCACCGGCGGGGTTGAGCTTCTGGGGCACGGCCTCGGTAGAGTTGTAGAGGTCCTCCAGGAGGTTGGGGGAAATGGTCAGGTAGTCACAACCAGCCAGCTCGGTGATCTCGCCAACGTTGCGGAAAGAGGCACCCATGACAATTGTGTTGTAGCCGAACTTCTTGTAGTAGTTGTAGATGTCCTGGACGGACTTGACACCGGGGTCCTCCTGGGGGGTGTAGTCGCGCTTGTGGGCAGCCTTGAACCAGTCGAGAATGCGACCAACAAAGGGAGAGATGAGGTAGGCACCGGCCTCGGCGGCGGCAATGGCCTGAACCAGAGAGAACATGAGGGTAAGGTTGCAGTTGATGCCGTGCTGGGACTGGAGGATATGAGCGGCCTTGATGCCCTCGTAGGTGGAGGCAATCTTGATCAGGACACGGTCCTTGGAGATACCATTGTCGGCGTAAAGCTGAGTGGCAAGAATCAGCTTTGAAATCCCCGAAAAGTGACTTCACGTGGACATGTGAACGTACCTTGATGATCTCGAGAGCCTTATCAACGGAAGCCTGGGTATCGAAGGACAGCTTGGCGTCAACCTCAGTGGAGACCTTTCCGGGGATGATGTTAAGAATCTCCTTTCCGAACTGAACGAGGAGACGGTCGAGAGTGGCCTCAACCTGCTCATCGAGGGTCTTTCCCTTCTGCTTGCCGTAGGCAACGGCAGTGTCGATAAGAGCGGCATACTCAGGCTTCTTGGAAGCCGCGAGAATCAGGGAGGGGTTGGTGGTGGCATCCTGGGGCTTGTACTTGCCAATAGCTGTGGTTGTAGTTAGCTAGCCATTCAACGCTGGGTCCGATGTCACTTTGAGAAAGGTAGAATACATACTGGCGAAGTCACCTAGAAGTTTAGTGTTAGCATGTTTTCATTGGAACCCAGATGGAATCGATGGCTTACCAGAGTCGCAAACGACGACGGTGCCAGCGGCCTTAAGCTGTTCGAGAGAAGAAGACATTTTTTTTATGTATAGAAAGTGGAATAGGGGGAGTATGAAGAAGAGAGAAGAAGAGTGGCGGACAGCGCGGTGTTTAAGAAGGAGGGGTGGTGTCATGGACCAGAATCAGATCAATTGCCGGGTACTTGTGTTTAGTATGGAGCTACCATATTAAATGGAAGTACCTGGCCTGTGCCCCATTTCTCAGGGATGGTGGGGCAAATGACGCTGCACAATGAAATCAGACAGCGCTTCCTTTGACAAGTCCAACTTCCTCTTATTTTTTGCCATTGCATCTTCAATTATTTATTGGTATTCTTGAGACTTTGCGATCATCATGTGCTATAATTGATCAATTCCAATATGACTTCATATCAACTTTGCTTGAACAAATGTGCTACAATCTCAAATCCGGCGCAGAGTGCTCCGCCTTCCCCCAACCGCCGGAGGATGGTAGACCGGACAACGGCCCACTACGGCATCTGTGTTTGTAATTCTCACCGGGAGCCCGGATAAATACATTTCGACGGCTACTTGTGGAGAAATTTGGTTCCTGAACAACTTGGCTATCGACCGTACCGGGTAATCATCATCAAATGGATTGAGGTTTCTTGAAAAGGGAGCCACAAACACCACAGGCTATTAAGATATATCTCATTGCCTGAAGGTCTACAGTGTGTCTTGCTAGAGAGGTTTTATTACATCACCTCATGTGTCTGTTCATCTATCGATTATCCTTTCATCAGTGCAGTTGCCCGTGTCCTGTCACTAGTTGTGCTCGTTGTATTATTGATGCAGACTCGAGGATGTTCATGGTTGAGGGATCTGCATCCAACACAAGTGCAGCCTGTGCGTCACCTGCAGAATTATCTTGAGGGGAAATCCTAAGAATCGAGATCATCTTTACTCCTACAAACGGCAAGAAGCGAGAGGTGCACGGTGAAACGGAAAGGAAAGAGACTGAAGGCCAGAAATAGTCTGGCAAATTTGAATTTTTCGGCTTAGAACATGAGATCAAAAAGAAATGGAGGGGGTTTGAGTAGCACCGAGAGAATCAGCGCCGCTGGATGCAGTTCCATTCATACTATTGCCATGTTAGCTTCGTCAATTGGATGTGAATCGGGACAATCAAACGCACCACTCGGCCAGCCTCATCCCCCGTATAGACCACGTGGGGGAGAGCCAAAATACAACTGATACCGGCACTGATATTGGCACCATTGTCGCGACTGCTGTCGGTATGATGCAGCTGTCGGATCAACTCTAGCTCAAAGCGGCCCCCGCGAATATTCTTGCTCCAGATATTAACCACACCACGAGTGTGGCCTGTCAACAATAATTCACGATCCAGCCATTCATTCTGCACTCCCTCGTAGAAGACGCAGGACAAGACGTGGTCGTCTGCCGCCTCACAGACTGCTTGATCAGCCAACAAGACGCCATTGAGGGTATATAATGTCAAGCGATTGCCACGACAAACCATGATGTCTCCAGAGACATCGTTGATTCGAGCACACTAATTCGTCAGTAAAGGATAGAAGGCGGTGGAAATGAGCAGGAAAACATACATCTACCGCACCGTCACCGGGAAGGGGTCGTACAAAGGATCGTCGATTGAGATCCCACAGCATAATTTGTCCATCATTAGAGGCAGACAACAAAGCGCTGAAGGATCGCGAAACTGCGAGGACAGTGACTGGAGCTCGATGGCCAAAGAGCGATCCAATGGGCTGCAAATCAACGGATTTGGAGGTTGCGGTGACCGTCCACAATGATATCGTACAATCCCTACCGCAGGTGATAAGGGTGCGGGAATCCGCAAAGCTGGCATGAGACAATTGCCCAACATGAAGGTGCTCAAAGTGGCCCAAAAGCTTGCGAGTGTCGGCGGCATAGAAACGAACACTGCCATCGAAGAATCCCCATTCCATGTAGTAATCATAGGCCGGTGGTATGTTGAGTCTCAGGGCAGAGGTACACAGCAAACGGTCTTGTTTCATCGAGAGGGTAACTACTCGCTCCTCAATGTCAAGAAGAGACAACGGCATTTGGGTCAGCGATTCTGCAAGAGTATCTAGACGGGGTATGCGGTGTCGTTGGTCTTCCCTCTGGGCATGAGGTCGTTGGAAGATTTGGTGAGGGGTTTGCCCGAAGTTGTGAATAATGCCAATGGTGGCTAACCGTTCCATTGGATCATCGATGGCATCTAAGTCTTTGGCACCTTTGTAAGAGAGGTGGTGGAAGACATTGGCAGCCTCAACAGCCGCCTCGCCCTTCTGCTTGCTGCCGAAAACGAGATCAATCCAGCGATGCAAGTTCTTCGACACATATGGGCTCTCAAGTGCCTCCCGGTGCTTCGCAATGAAGATCTTGGGATCGCCTTTTGCCCAAGGTGGTAACTCAACCGAGTCAATGGCCGTGGTCATGTTTTGGAGAAGACCAAAGTCATAATGATTGGAGTTCACAAGAAACTCCGGAAGATAGAAGAACTCAGGGGTAAGCTCTCGAACGTCGGTCATGTTCCCTCGCGATGCCGACTGCCATGCCTTGCGGATTGAATAGAATAGGCGATCGGCATGATCGAATGAGCCACCCTGGAGTAGAAGATATGACTTGACGAATGGTTGAAGCCGAATGAGGTAGGAGCTGACAATCATGGCAGAAGAGTAGTGTGTTCCATAATGAAAAGGGGGTGAATTGTCGTCTCCTATCTCAGCAAAAGCATTGTAACGCTCACGGAAGTCCATTTCTCGCTCCGGTGTTTGACAACCCATAGGCTTAGATAGGTCTCTGAATGTGGCCGGGTTTCCAAGATCGAGTTCCTCGCTCGTATAGTCTGCCAGAACCCAGGGGAAAACTGGATATTGAGTCAAGTCGTTGAACGTACGCCCAGCAAATGTGTTGATCAACATCAGATAATGAAAGTTGGAAATTTCACCCTTAACCCATTTTCGCGTTGCCGGGTTTGCCGGAAGATGACCAAAGACACTAGCAAATTTAGACCCGAGGGACTGTGGTGCATCGTCTTGACTGCGAAGTGTTTCGAATCGCCAAACGTCTTCTGGTCGCGAGTGCCCAGTGCTTCCGGTGACCTGTGGTGCCTTGATAGCCAGTTGATTGTACAGATCGTCTCGAGCTCGAGCCGAAAGCAATGTCAACAAGTAGCTGGTACCATCCGTAAAGAATATTTCAAGAGCAACATCGCGGAACAGGAAGCGACGCTTGGAAACGCTGACCAAATCAGACCATTTCCAACTCCTTGTCTCATGTTCCTGCGAGCGGGGGTCATTTGATTCGCGACCAGAAATCATGCGCACATAGGGATCTCGTTCCTCATTGGGGGCTTGCCAGACGTTCACAATCTCGCCATCTGCTCTTTGAAAGAAATTATCCAGGATGTAGATGCAGTCCTTGCCAATTATTGAAATACCTTCCACTGCTTCTAGACCAATAATTCGAGAAAGGTTACACACACTTTGCACTTGATCGCCACGTTGAAGAGATCGCATCACCTTCCGGTTTCTATCTTCATAGTCTTCGAGCTCAATTTTGGGATCGTCAATCAGCTCAAAGTTATCTTCCATAAGGCTCCTGTTGTCGGCATCATCGTTCGGCGAGGGATCCCCTGGGAGAGGCACCGTCAAAGTCTCACCCTCTGAGAGTGCACGGATACGGGTGTCGATTTTGATTGCTGGGGGCTCGGAGGCTTTACGCTTAGGCTGATAGTCCTGTCGATCGCCCGACTCATCTGGAACCAGACGTAGACGCATACGGCTGCGACCTTCTGTCTGGTCCAGCCACCATCTCCGCTCCCTTTCTTCTACGAGAAGGCCGCCGGGTCGTCGCAAGTCAAGGAGTAAGTCGGATAAAGCAGACCACATGAAAGTAGTGCTATCCTGAAGATCTTGCGAGAATCGTTGAGACTTCAAAAACTCGGATGCTGCAATGTTTGAGATCCAATGTGGCAAAGTAGACTCGTGCTTTCGCGTCATGTCCTCATCGAATTTCTCGATCTGAGCCCATTGTCTGAGTTTGTCTTTACGCTTCGATATCCGAGACCTGACAGAATCTTCGGCGCTTGTGTTCTCCTCGTGGACGAAGGTGTCCCACAATCGAGAGATTACAGCGAAGAACAAGGAATCCAGACCGTCGCGCTGGTCATCAATCCATTGCAAAAATGATTCGTCATCCATTCCCGAAAGTGCGTCAAATCCCTCAGTCAACCGATGCTGGAGAGAGACAGGTCCATGACTGAGAAGTGCTGTTATCTCATCCGGTGCTTGTACCAGTATGATTCTCCATAAGCGAATAGCAGCTGAGCGGAGAGCACCATTTGTGCTGATTAGTTTGGTGTACAGCAGATAGCATAGCAGGTGTAAATGTTTCGATTGGGTTTCAGCCGCCGAGAGAAGGACCACCTGCCAGTAGTTCAATTGATTTAGCAATATCACGGTTTCGGTGTCATCTGCTTCTGACAGCTGAAATAAGACAACTTTGTACAGAGTCGAGCGAATCGTTGCGGTAGCCTGGCTACATAAACGAATGCTTTTCAACTGAGATATGTCTGGGCGCTGGAGATACTCCAGAATTGTACCGATGAATTCGAGTGTAGATGATGCCCCTTTAATGAACCAGCCTTCGTAAACAGCCTCTGTCAAATGTGTTGCGAAGCGCCCGAGGTTCGTAAGTGTTCGTGTTTCATGAAGCAGACCTGGTTGAACCAAAGGAAGATCTTGCAATTTTGAAAGCACACTATTAAAAACCCAAGAATTAAAGTACGCCTGGTGCTCCGGGAAGCCAGGCGGGGTCTTCAGATATAGACCAAGGCCCGAGAAGTCTTTGCGCCCTAAAAGCTGATCTTCGAAGACAGCCAGCACAAGCCTGAAGACTGCCTTGACGATAGGATGACTGGTGGCAGCTTCATTTCCAACAAATTTTGGGTTCACGAACCGTCGTATCCGTGCAGAAGAGGGCTGGTGCTTGGATTTATCAGGAGGCACTAAAATGAAGGATGACCCACGTCTAAGAGAACCAGTGTTTTCATCGGAACTGCCCAAGGAGTCAACCATAGTTGTCTGCAAAGCTGTCAATGGGTTGCTAGTACTAGAGCGCGGTCGTAGTACCAGGTTGCTGTCATCGAAGATGAGTTCGCTGTGTCGGAAATTCAGTTCTGTGTTGGGGCTGACGGTATCGGCACCGACAACAACGGGATAGAGCACAGAAAGTAGCTCCTGCACGTAAGTAGATTGCGCAGTGAAATCCTGGAAGCTTGGTGACCTGACACGTGCTTCTTCTAAGAATTGAACAACCGAATTGACCAGGGCAAACCCATGGATTTTCTGGTCTGAGGGAGTATCATCTAACAGTTGGAAACGGTGTCAGCCAGACCATACCAGACCATAGTGGTGAGTGGTGAGAGCCTACCAGGAAACTTGAGACTGTTCAATTTAAGCTTGTTGCATTGGGTGTCTTCTTGCGCATCACTTCCCATGGTCAAATTGCGCACCCCACTTTTCAACATATTCACAATAACTGGCAACATGTCTGAGAAGACGACCTTCACATCGCTTTCGGTCAAGAAAGCTTTGAGCAGCTCAGACGGGTCAAAGGCTTTGTCGAGATTCAGCAAGGCATGATCAACACCAAAAAGGATAGAAAAGCAGATAGGCCACAATGCGGGGACATCCCACCATCTCTGCAGACGGTGTTCTAGAATGATGTATCCACCACTCTTCTCCGCGAACTTCTTGCTGTATCCACTGCCAATAACCACGACTAAACGGGCCAGGATCTTTGTTGCAAGTATCACAACCTCGGGCTCATCCTCGCACATGAGATAAAGTAGCCACTTCACAGATGGTTAAACAAAATTCTCTCCAATGCAAATGATCAACCACATACCTTGTTTGTGACGGCCTTAGCAAATTTCCTCAATGGCGTAGGGTCATGCGGGTTACACAACACGGAAGAGTACAGCCGTAACATTTCAATGCCCAAAGTCACGCTGGAGATAAAATTGCTTTCAGACTTCGCAGACGCAGGTCGAGGCGACATGGCCACATAACGAATGCTCCTTTTTCTCTGGAGATTTGTTTGAGTCTTTGGCTTATGCAGTGCATACGTGATGGACAAAGATAGTGATCGAAGAAGATCGGGAGAAGGACTGCTCTCCATCAACGAGCGGAATGCCGATAAGCAAGGCTGGAGAGACTCTACGGTCAGCTCTCCCCCCTTCAAAGTTTCCAGTAGCTTTTTGCTGACACCTGATATGGTCAGCCCGAATGATGAGAATGGTATTGTCATGAGGAAGCACACTCACGCATACGACCAAGACGCCTGGCGTTGAATCGGCGATAGTTGCTGTCGGCGGCAAACGTCCGGAATTGAGAGTAGTACAATCCAATCACCTGAGATTCTCCGAGCCGCCAGAAGTCCATGTCCACGAGCAGAACACGGTACGCGAGGGGGTTCGTGATGATGGAGTGAGTGGGGGTTTCAAAGTCATAGCCAACAAATCCGAGAGTCAAACGTAGGAGATCAAGCATCAAGGAAGCCAGCTCCTCGGGGTCAGTGCTAACTACCGGGATTTTGAACGCGGTTGGGGAATTTCCCATGTAGAACCCAAGTTTTTCCCGCAATAAGGCAGCAAGAATACCATAGCCATTCTCTCTTTCCATGGCCTCACTGTTTCTCCAGTTGTCCTGCACTGCTTCGTAGAGAGCTTCCACAGCCATTCGAGTGCTTTCCGCAGTCCTGGCCGCCTTGATCAAGCTTAGATGAACCGCGGCGCAGCCACCTAGACACCAACTAGCATCATCCATCGCCCTAGGAACAGCAACTACGGGATCGCCTGTCAGGATGCCGACCCCTTGAGGCTGTGTTAAGCTGTCATTAATAGCCGGAGTGGCGCCGTTGACAGCGATGGCATTGCCGCCCGACTTTGTTAGCTGTTGCAGACTCTTGGCAGCTTGCCGCGAGAGACATTTTATCAACTGTGATTCGTCAACATTGTTACTATCATCGTCATCAAGAACGACAACAGATGAGACATTGATCAAAATCGAGCTTTCACGAATCAATGTACTCGCTCGTTTACGGATGGCAGTGACAATGTCCGAGGCTTCCTCTTTACCTGGGTGAAGATGTTCGTTCCGCAGGTTAAGAGTCGCAGAGGCCTTGTAAGTCTGAAAAGAGCCTAAGCAATCCTGGAAATTCCCATAATACCGAGGCCCAAGGTTGTAGAAAACAGCTACCATGTCGTCGCTATAAGCCTCATCAAAAAGGATTCCATTCGCAAGAGACCATCGGGAAGTGGACACGTCTTTTCCTAGACGCATTGCCAGGTCTTGAGGGGTGCCAAAGAACGCCTGCACGCGAAATGGTTTGCTTGGATATTGGCCTATAGGAACGGATGGGTATTCGATCTTCAGTTGTTCCACAAACTCGCCGTCTATGAAAAGAGATGCGCGGGAAGAAGACATTGGCTTCGGTCTCTTTTGAACAACACAAATATGGTACCAGCGATTTAGCTCGAATTTTGCCGACTTGAACCGAACACTAGGACGGGAACCTCGAATGGAAGTTTGAAGGATGAAGTTTCGCGTATCCTTTTCGAGGTAGGCAAGAATGAAACATGTTTGGCTTGCATCGAATGCTCCAAATATAGTAGTATGCGTGTTGGAATCGAACTCGTCGAAACGAGCCCATACTGCAAGAGTGTAGCCGGAGGAGTTGATAGGAGGGAATGGTCGACCGAGTGTTGCAAACTCGACTGAACAATACCCATGGCGGGACATATCGAACTGTATTAACGGAGGTTCCTTGGAGGATTTTAGAGCAGACAATAGGCCTTTTAGAACTTGCGGGTTCTCATGCGCTCCGCGGTATAAGGCGACAGCATCATCCAAGCTACTCATTCCCTGGACGCTGAGAGATTGGGCGAGATCTTGGTAAATTGTTTTTTCCCTGTCTGACCGTGCACCATCGAATGAGAGAGGTAGAATTGAAGTGAGCATACCAGTGGCATGCAAGGCTACGACGTTCCTCCGAGACTGCGAGGCCAATTGACAGAGACATGCGGGCAAGGCGAGGCGTAACAAGTCATATCCAGATGACAAAGAGGAGTGAATCAACCACACACGGAGGAATGGTCCAAGTAGTTCCGGCACTTCCACTGTCTCAGCTGATCCAATGCAATGATCCACGGCATCCTGGACGTCTTTTGGGGACAGAGAGCCCTTATTATGGGGAAACTTGGTGCTGAGTGTTACAAAAATACCCGACACTGTCTCCTGGCACAAAGCTGCGGCCAAAATAGCGCCATAGAGATGTTGCGCGTCACCCTCAGTGGTGTCTATATTCTTGACCAGCGCAGTCAAACTTCGCTCCAGTGCAGAAATGCCTCCCCCTACTATCTTTCGAGAAAAATATCGCTTGTTGCCAAAATGATCCTTCAGGCCCTCTGCCAACACACCGAGGACATCTTTAAAAATGCCCAATAGGCTTTTTCTTTCCTCTGTGGATTTGTGCACCGGATCGTAGAGTTCGGCTACCCGGTCTGCCAACGCCAGTAGCGTTTGAAAGCCCTGGAGATGTCGGAATGCATCTTTGGCAGTGCGTGGACGTGCATCATCTATGAAGGTATGGCGTAGGCGGAGAAGAGATTCGGTCGTCGACTGAGCCTGGGACAGAGTGATCGTGGTGCCTGCACCGATGCTCTTGAGCTGGCCAATGGTTGGGGCTAGCTCTTCGGCCAATCGTTCGGTCGATCCGGAGGGGGAGGGAGGGTGGAGGGGAGCCGGCGGAGCCATAGCCAAATCTTATCCACGTCCGCTCCGATGGCGTCTGACCATCAGAGACTGTGAATGTTCAATAGCGGGTACAACGGTCTGCATTGGTGTGTGACAGTGCTAGTGCCAAGATAGGAAGCCTAGCGGTTAGGGGAATTTGTAGAACTCGTCATCCGCAGAACCCCATTTCAAATGTTCAGCCGCCTCTGTCATCCGCTATCGGGGGAAGGGGAAAGTTGGATGTCAGGTGACTGAGTTGTTCTTTGAGCGAAGGGGCTGGACAATGCACACAGCCCTGTTGTTGTATTGTAAGAACAGTAAACTTCAAAATTACGAGCGATAACTGATAGGGCAAGATAAGCGATAAGACGCTGCTCTAAGCGATGTGGAGAAGCTTGGAAGTGATCCTGTGATTGTCCTATGATGTGATGGGCTTCTCCGCAGATTGGCAAAAGTTACATCCAAAAATGGCACACTTGTCCAAGACAAGGGGGACTGGTCTAACTCCTGAGTCACCCGAGTACAAAGCACGCGACTTCGGAGGATGAGTTGCCTTGGAGAATCTGGGCCGTGCGAGGGGGTTGCTTATCACCTATTGCAAGATGAGACTGCCAGGTACCCGGGGGATGGTGACCGACCACCTGCACCACCTTGCTATAGGTACTTTAGTTATTTTTGACAAACTGTTCGTCCCGGGAGATATTCAAGCAACTTATATCATCCATACCTCATCTGATATACCATAGTCAAGTGGATGCTGAGTGTGTTTGGGGTTTCCAAGACCAAGGTGACCATACCATACTGTATCGGGTACCCCATTCTCAAACAGTTCTCCACTAGATCGACATCGACAGGTCATCCGCCGGCGTAACCGTATGTAATGCCTGCTTGCATCATCGATCCCCCGGCTCCTCCCTAGATAAGCTGCCTTTCTCCTCATCTTCCCCCTTCTCCTCTCCATCCAACCTATCCTTCGTTCATCCTTTACAACCTACAATCAACCTACATTTATCGTTTACTTCACTGCTTCTTCGTGTTTAACCTTCCACTTTGCCCAGCATGAAAGGCTTCCTCAGCCTAACAGTGCTCCCGTTGTTGGCAGTTGCCTCACCCGTGTCAGTTGGCTCCATCCACAATGAGGCAGCTCCTCTCCTCTCCTCCATGACCTCACAAGAAATTCCGGATTCCTATATCGTTGTATTCAAGAAGCATGTTGATGAGAGCTCTGCGTCCGCCCACCAGAGCTGGTTGCAGGAGGTGCATACCGCTCATACCGGTCGGATGGAGTTGAAGAAGCGCTCCCTGTTCGGCTTTGACTTTGAGGCTTTTACGGGCCTGAAGCACACATTCCAAATTGATGGATCGCTCATAGGATATGCTGGTCATTTCCACGAGGATGTCATCGAGCAAATCCGTCGTCATCCTGATGTGAGTAATCCAACTCCCTCGTTGCGTAAGTTCTCGAGGTCGGTGGCTAATGTGATTCAAAACAGGTTGATTACATCGAGAAGGACTCTGAGGTTCGTACTATGACCGATGGTACTATTGAGAAGAATGCCCCCTGGGGTCTTGCCCGCATCTCTCACCGTGAAAGTCTCTCCTTCGGCAACTTTAACAAGTATTTGTACGCCGAGGAGGGTGGTGAGGGTGTCGATGCCTACGTCATTGATACTGGCACCAACACCAAGCACGTTGACTTCGAGGGCCGTGCTTCATGGGGCAAGACCATTCCCCAGGGTGATGCCGATGAGGATGGAAACGGTCACGGAACACACTGCTCTGGTACTATTGCCGGCAAGAAGTTCGGTGTCGCCAAGAAGGCCAACGTCTACGCTGTCAAGGTTCTTCGCTCTAATGGCTCGGGTACCATGTCCGATGTCGTCAAGGGTGTTGAATGGGCGGTCCTGTCTCACATCAAGAAGACTAAGAAGGGCGACAAGAAGTTCAAGGGTAGCGTTGCCAACATGTCTCTCGGTGGTGGTAGCTCCCGCACCTTGGATCTTGCTGTGAATGCAGCTGTTGACGCCGGTATTCACTTCGCTGTCGCTGCCGGAAATGACAACGCTGACGCCTGCAACTACTCCCCCGCTGCTGCCGAGAAGGCCGTCACTGTTGGCGCCTCCACCCTAGCAGATGCACGTGCTTACTTCTCCAACTACGGAAAATGCACTGATATCTTCGCCCCTGGTCTGAACATCCTCTCTACCTGGGTTGGTAGCGAGCATGCCACCAACACCATTTCCGGCACCTCCATGGCCTCTCCTCACATCGCTGGTTTGTTGGCCTACTACGTTTCCCTGGCACCTGCCAAGGACTCTGCCTATGCCGTCGCCGATGTCACCCCTAAGCAGCTCAAGGCGGCTCTTATTAACGTCGCTACTGAGGGCACGCTTACTGACATTCCCTCCGACACACCCAACGTAAGTTTTTTTCCCTATCTAGATGACATTCAGTGAGCTAACTTATCTCAGCTTCTGGCTTGGAACGGTGGCGGTTCCACCAATTACACCCAGATCCTTGCCGAAGGTGGGTACAAGGCTGGTGTCGCGGCTAAGGAGCCCACTCTTGATGAGCGCATTGGCAGCATCATCGATAACGCGGAGAAGGCCTTCCACAAGGAGCTCGGCGCTATCTACAGCGAGATCAAGGATGCTGTCTCTGCATAAATTAGAAGGTTGTTGGGGATCCGTCAGTAACAATCCCAACAACTCGGGCATATGGCTGGATGGATTAACGCAGGCGCATATCATATTTTTTGGTTTTACATCGGTCTTTTGGTTTGTTCAACTTGAATTTGCGGGTCTATCCCGCCACTACACTCCTATACACAAGTTGTCTTTGCTATTTCGCTATTTCGCTATTTCAACGCTCCACGTAGCATACTTGTCTACAATCATCAGTTCGGACTGATTTAGAATGCGTTTTGACATATCAAATCGATGAATTCCAGGACATTGCATCCTAGAAAAAATCAATTTAAATCCGCAGCCAGTAGATGTAATCATTCATTCTGTATATCCGGTGACGCTCTACAATGTGTCCTTGATTCGACCTACGCTGGCCTGTTCCTCCAAATCTCAACACCGCTGAATCGCTTTGTCAGTCCGCTATTCCCAGAATCCCAACAAATTGGTCAACGAACTTTGTTGTCAACTGTTCATTCGTCATGGGGTGCTCCAAGCAAGATACTTCTCAATGCTGGTCCCTTCCTTCACTTTCATGACAAGATGACACTCATCGGTTCGCATCCTCTCGTCAGGAACTGTCCTGAATCGAGCTGTCAATCGTCAGACCGTCTATCATATACCACATCATCCTCGAACCGCGCCGCCGCATCCTTCCCTAACAACAAACCAACCGCACCGCCATGACAAACACTAAACTTGACATGCAGCCTACCCATAGGCATCGGTTTCCCTGTCAAGTCCAAATCAAGTGGATGCACATCCCCAGCAGCCCCTTCATCGCCCTTAAAATGAATCCCAATCCTCTCCAACTACCTATGTAACCAAACACACCCATCAATAACAGGATGAACCACAATCCCACAAGGCAATGGCTTAAGAGCATTCCTCGCAATTTTCTCACCGCCCACTGTCCCTAAGCCCCGTAATCTCCTCCTCGAGCTTATCTCCCCCGAACCCACCATATTAGCCTGCCCTTTCTTTGCCTCAAGCATCTCAGCCGAACTCGGAACCCCGTCCCGCGCACGCCAAACAGCAAGCAACCCATTCTGCGCCACCTGCGCAAGATTAGAAAGGCCTGGCATCCCCTGAAGCCCAGCAACCTACGTAGCGGCAAGACCAATCGCATGAGCAACTTTCGCCACAGCCATAGCAGTGCCAATTGACCCCACCGTAGGAGGGGCATACCACCTGACATCGTAGTGCGCTGGCCATATGGCCCTGTTGATTTTGATACTCGGCTTCAATACTGGCAACCAGCGCGATTATGAACTCGGCCCCGGAACTGGGGCGCGAGAGTGCCGGGCTATGGCGAGGAGCGCATATGCTATTGGTCCCGTTGGATGAATGATTGTATCTGGGTGGGTGTCATCGTAGTCGTGGACACAAGTGGCGACTTCGTTGAAGAGTGCCGCGTGCATGGCATCGGTGGAGGTATCCGTGCCGAGGAGATGCGAGTTGGGTGGGCGTGAGAAGGGGGATAGGACGCTGTGAGCTGTGGTTGTTGCGATGTGTCTGCTTTCGCCGGCAATTTATCCGTTTATGTTGTAGAAGCTCCGTACTGCGGCGTGGATTGTTTCTTCTGGGAGATTAGAGTAGGATCGAGAGACTATCCAGTCGGGTATGCCATCTCGGGACTGGCAATTTGTTGCTGTTTCATTGCAAAATGAGGAGTTTGTGGTTCGGTTTAGTGGGGTAGATGGACATGGCTGTGGTTTTGGGATGGTTTTGCAGATCCGATATAGGAGCTATGCGTGGATGCACACGTCTGCTTTTAAAGTTGGGGATGGTTTGTCCACTTTAAGTGCAGGAGGATTTATGGCTCAGCTGAACCTCAACGTTTTGGAAGAAGGACTAAAGCAGCTGAACCTCTGATTGAAATCTAAGAATGAATGTTAAAATTTGACTGCATTTCGCTAAAATATCTGTGCAACGTGAGGGTATTGCATGTGTTGTCATTAAAACCATTAGAACCATTATGCTTGAAAATGATCCCCGCTAAACGCCTATCGTATGAAAGATCGCAAGGGTACGCCGAGAATGCTGAAGATGCTTAGACATGCGGATATGAGACACCTCATCATGCAGCAACTCCTTAGACAAAAGACGGTGAAAGTCCGTCTAACGCCTTACGCCTTCTTCGTCTCGGTGGAATCAACCTCAGCCGACTCATCCTCGTCCTCATCTACATCACTGCCACTGGACTGGTCCATGTCGAGTTCGTTGTCGGAGTCACTGCCACCGAACACATCGCTGTCGACATCGCTATCAGCCCAGAAGTCATGGTCTTCCTTTTCCACGGGCTCACGGACGGGGGTATCATGTGTGGGCATCTCGAAGCCAGCAGGAATATCAAGCTTAGATTTCTCCACATCGGCCTTAACAAGCTGGCGGTAGACTTCTGGTTTGTTGCGAAACAAGACGGCAGCATCAACGTTCGCGGGGGAGGAGGGCTCGGCATCGTCAAGCAGAGAGATGATGGAGATGAGAACTGATTCGACACGTTGGGCAGGAGACCAGCGCTCCGAGGCAAGCTCGCCGGACATTTCATCTTCACCGGGTGCGTGAAGGATGGAGATGCATAATTTGCCGTTGGTGTAGATGTTCGGGTGGTGGAGGGGCTGCAGGAAGCGGAACTCTTGTGACAATAAAAAAAAATCTTGTTAGTCACACCGATTGTGCGAAGAAGGAGAGGACGATGTCATACTTGGTGGAGCATAGGGATAGTTGGTAGGGAACGTCATTGCGGCTTTGAAGTAGCCGCCGTAGTACATGGAGTCGGGGTTGATCACAATCAGGGCGACATCCCAGTTGAAGATGTCGTCATCGTGCAACTGCACAAAAAATGTCAATAAACCGCGAGTGTAAAAGTGCCAAAGACATTCCATAATAGCACCTACAACATACCTGGACGTGAACCCACTTCTCTTTGAGAAGGGCCTTGAATTCGTTCATCAAGATACGCTCCGCCATGGCGATGACCGGGGACGGAAATTTGAAGACGATTGACCTGGAAAGACGTCGCCGGTGATCGCGGGGCAATCTGTTCTTATATAGGTAGAAGTTTGTGAGGCAGCACCGGTTGCCTATGCAATTCAATGTTTGAAGCAAGAGATTAACTGAAAAGCCCGTCACTTGTTAGACAATGTCGGGATCACGGGGACCGAGGGGCGAGACCTACTACGCCTATTGGGATGAACGGATGCCTGAAATATCGGTGGCGACCCTGACTAAGAGATGGGCGCCCACGGATGCCCGGCAGGGCCCAGTAGTGCACTTGTAGGCACATTTTTCACCTTTCGTGTTCACAACATTGAAACTCGAATTCTAAATGGTTAAATTCTCAATACTCAATATGTACGATCAACAATGCCTAATTTGTCTTTAGTTCAAATTTAATAGTTCTATTGGTTCTATTCTACAACGTACTTCAATCACATGTCAATCTTTTGTTCCAACCCTACCACTAACTAATGGGGAAATATCTTAAAAAAAGACTTTAAAGGCATCATAAAAAAAAGGCATCGTAAAATAATCTTGAACCGATATTCTAGGAAATGAGTCAGTAATCGATCACATATTGAGCTATATATGGATAGAGACATATAAGTGGCCAAGTGTGTTTTGTTCTCTACACGTTGGTTTTTAGTTTGATTTGTGCCTACTCTTTGAATTTGTACCCGTCGCAGGGATGTGTTTGATTCATCTTCCGGGCTGCCTTGCACATGACCTTCCAAGATCACAATTTTTGCAACCTTTTTTGCCATTTTTTTTCTGTTCCCAACTCTTGAAGGCGCCCTCATCGACTTCGATAACTGCAAGGACTCATCAAGATGTCGCATAACAGATTCATTCAATCGTTCACTTGCATTCCCAAGGATATCTTTCGCGTGAACTCAGGCGTCTCCATCCGGCTCCGGGCTTGGCCAGGACCTAGGCGACCACAAGGCGTGTTCGACCTCCTTACAAGGGGAGGCAAAGTACAACCAAAGGCTCTCAACCCAGCGACCTATGAATGTATGTTGATGATCGACTGAGCATTTAGCTCATATCGCTGATTTATCTTGGTCCCCAATGGTGCCTCCATGCGACCCAACTCCAGGACACAGCAGAATCCCTAGCCCTAGAGTGATGTGACTGTCTCGTCATCGGTCCCCCTTTCCGGTAAAAACCTTAGCTAGAGGTAGTTGTTGTGCGTCTCGACTCCACAAATGATCGTCTATGTATAAAAAATGTTCCAAAAAACCTGTCGTCCTGTGCAAGCGCCTAGGCTTCACATCTCACGTTTCCCAAATCGCCGCTTTTTCTCATTTGTGTCGATGCACTCAGCCTTTCCCGCAAGCTTGTATCGATTTCAGATACACCGCTTCTCGCGACTTCATGACAGAGGTTTTAGACAAGATGACTGGGCAGCCGAGGATGGAATAGAAGTTACAGCGGACGGCTTGGTGCACTCAAATATCACTGCCGACTGTAGGAGTGCGCAGCTTCGTATAATTTGCCTGCTAACATAATTACCTGGACAGTTTCTAACGGTGCATTATTTATGCCAAATACGCACTACATGCAAGAGGTCACACGGAGATCGAATGACTATTACCTGGAAGAGGTAGAAAGCGGCAAGCCCGCCGCCGAAGCTCATTATTTATGTATACCCAAAGGTGATTAGATGCCCTTGATGCAAGATGCAAAACTAAAGATCAATCTTCTAAGGCACCGCTATTCCAAAGTCGTTGATTCTTTTCCGCGAATATACTTCTCGTTTCTCCCTACAACCTGCGCATCCCATGCCGCTTGACAGTATGCTCAAGATAGCCCCTTAGAGAAGGGAGAGTGCTGACATGTAGTCAAGCCTTTAACAACACCCTAACTCGGTTTTATCTCGAATTTGGGCGCACTTTCAATCCAGACGCGTGGCTCGATAGAAATCCCTACCATGATGCATTTTCTGATGACGAGGAAGAGTGGATGAACTGCTGATTTGCATCTGGAAGGGTACGGTTTTATTGAATAGCCGGTGTACCGAAGAAGATGAAGATTGATGTGAATTCTTTTTCGATGCCTATACATGCTGGTCTCCCCAGCGTTGTATGGTTGCAACTTCAACATCGAAAACGGCGATAAGATGTCAAGTGGCATATAAATTTTTTTTTGTGGGGAACGATAAGCCCGATTGAGACAGGCCTGAATCATCTGAAGGGCGTGTCTGAAACCAAGGGAAAATTTCTAACCCTCGGGCTCCTAAAGTAGTTTAAGTCGCGAAGTCGAGAAGTCGAGAATAGTTTTGTGTTGAGAATTACATGCAGAAAATAGTCATATGTACTCCGTACTTCGTAGTCAGATTATCAATGCCTACACGGTACTTCCACCAAAGTTGGGTGGCCAATGTCACCCTCTCTACCCGGAGTCCGTCCACCGCCGGTTTTGGACCATGGCCATTTTCTCTCTCTTCGAAATTCTTCCCCCGCCACAAGATCCAGATCTTCACCCTTGAACATCTTTGATCCTCGCTTTTGTGGAATCTGAGTAGACCCCTACTCTTTTGCCTCAACGGCCCTGGATCCCGAAACCCTCATCCCATCGTCACAGTTCATCTTGACTTTGCGATGCCAGGCTTGTCCGGTTATCTAGTAAAATATTGTCACTAAGGGGTGGTTCACAATACTTTAATCCCGGTCGCACTCATTCATTACTGTCACCAGCTGAAGAGCTGTGTGATCAAGTCGCACGAGCTCCGAGAGCTTCAGTTTTTTGCGAGCTTTGCGGTCAATCATGTTGCCGCAATGTCAAGGCCCTATTTGGGCCATCGATGACCTGTCTCGCTGCTTCCAGCGCAAGTGGGTCTACACCAATGGCAACCCCGACCGTTGAAAATTTATACTGATCGCGAGATATCTCTAAATAGCATCCTTCAGGTCATCCTTCCCCTCACAGTTTGCGGCGCTTCACTGCTCCTGATTCTGATTCGTGTCGCTCATCGATATGTCCTCACCCGAAAAGCGGTAGCTTACAAGGTCCTCCCGAACAATGACTCCGAAGATGAGGTCCCCAGTGCGACGCAGGAAAACGAGTCCGATGCTATACTGTCCCAAGCTGTACAACACGAACAATCTCAGGTCGTGGAGGTCAATCGCCCGCGTGGAGAGGTCACAGTTGTGTTATTCGAAATCGCAGCTTTGATTGGGCAAGTTGCACTCTACACTTTTATTTTGTCGACTCATGCATGGGGCCGCCATGGAACCTATCCTGCCGTGGTTGGGCTTGTGTCGTGGGGTTATATCCTTTTCCTGGTGATGGTCCGGTTCCTCCTATCAGCCTTGGATCTTTCCTCCGCGCCGAGACTATGGACCCATACGGCAATCTTATACGGCTTCCAATGGTTGTTCAATATCATGGTCTTCCGATCTGCTATAATTCACCCCTTGTCCCAGCACGCTCTGATTCCCAGCAGCATTCAGTTTACTCTGAGTACCGTGCTGCTGCTCATTGCACTCACCAGTCGCCGAGGCAATAAGCCAGTTCTGGTTGAGCACGAAGATGGATTGGAGCCTCCGACGCATCCTACAGCCAGTTTGCTGTCTCTTGCGACATTTTCCTGGCTTGACCCATTGGTCTTGAAGGGCTATCGTCGACCCCTGGAGCTTGCGGATGTTTGGAACCTAACTCCGTCCCAGAAGGCTGCCAGCGTGCTTACGGACTTCCGCAAGAGACAAATGAAAGGCTCTTTGGCATGGAAGCTGATACGGTTCTTCATAGGTACCCTTCTAGAGCAGGGTGCCTGGACGATCTTCGCCAATCTGTTCGTTTTCATGCCCACTCTTCTCCTCAAGGCTATCCTTGAGTATGTCGAAGATCCCCGGTCGACTACGCCCAGTGCAGCTTGGTTGTTCGCCATTCTGCTTTTCTGTTGCGCTGCGGTCCAGGGTGTGGCAGATGGACAAGCCTTGTTCATTGGTCGTAAAATGGGTGTGAAAGTCCGTGCGATTATCATTGGTGAAATCTACGCCAAAGCTCTTCGTCGCAAGGCAGGCGCTTCACTGGAGGCTACCAAGAAAGAAGATCCCATCTTGCCCCAGGATAAGAAAAGAAAGCTATTTTCCTTTGGTCGCAAGAAGAAGGCCGCTAATGGAAATGACGCCGAGGCTGGCAAAAAGCCAGACGCAGAACCGGAGGAACCCACACAAGCCAATGTTGGTACAATCATTAACTTGATGGCGATCGATTCGTTCAAGGTCAGCGAGGTCGGTGCCTATCTCCACTTCTTGTGGGCAAGTGTACCAGTCCAGATCATTATGGCAATAACTCTGCTCTACCATATCATGGGGTTCAGTTCATTTGCCGGCATCGCCCTGATGGCCCTTATGTTGCCCATCAACCTTTTCATCGCCCGCCAGTTCAACAAGGTCCAGAACCAGATTTTGAAGGGCACCGATGCCCGTATTCACGCCACCAACGAAGTCCTCCAAAACATCCGCATCATCAAGTACTTTGCCTGGGAGCAACGATTCCAAGACATTGTCGGCGAGAAGCGCAAGGCCGAACTTAAATCCCTGCGTAGAAGGTACATCCTCTGGTCCTCTGCCGCAACTGTCTGGTACGGCACCCCTATTCTCATCACGTTCATGTCCTTCTTCTTGTACACTGTGATCGAGAAAAAGCAATTGTCCCCTTCGATTGCTTTCCCTGCCTTGTCTATGTTTTCTTTGCTGCGTGTGCCCTTGGATCAGCTTGCCGATATGGTGGCTCACGTTCAGGAATGTAAGGTTTCCCTAGACCGTGTGGACAAGTATCTGAACGAAGAGGAAACGGGCAAATACGATCAACTCCGTGATAGTACTGCCACAGGAACCCCTGCCAAGATTGGTCTTGAAAAAGCAACATTATCCTGGAACAGTTCCGCTGCTGAGTCCCAAGATACAGAATCCGAGGCCGATTTGGACGCTTTCCGTTTGATAAATGTCGACGTCGAATTCCTTGTCGGCAAGCTAAACATCATTGTTGGCCCCACCGGATCTGGAAAGACGTCCCTGCTCATGGCTTTGCTTGGAGAAATGAAACTTCTCGAGGGTCGTGTTCATCTCCCCGGTGGAATGTCCAGCAGGGCAGACCTCCCAGTGGACCCTGAAACTGGTTTAGTTGATAGCGTTGCTTACTGTGCCCAGGAAGCATGGTTGGTCAACGACACCGTAAAGGAAAATATCATCTTCGCCTCTCCCTATAACGAGCGTCGCTATCGTGCAGTGCTCAAGGCATGCGCTCTGGAGCGTGACCTTGCTATTCTTGATGCTGGTGATCAAACCCTCGTTGGCGAGAAGGGCATCAGTTTATCTGGTGGCCAGAAGCAGCGCATCTCTCTTGCCCGTGCCATCTACAGCAGTGGCCGCCACTTGCTGCTCGATGACTGTCTCTCTGCTGTCGACTCTCACACTGCCAAGCACATCTTCCGCCAAGCTCTTACTGGCCCTCTGATGTTGAACCGCACATGCATTTTGGTAACACATAACGTTGCTTTGACTGTTCCCCAATCGGACCACGTTGTGGTACTTGAGAACGGTAGAATTTCAGCCCAGGGCCGTCCCAACGATGTCGCCGCTACTGGTGCATTGGGCGATGAGTTCCTCAAGTCTCGGCCCGACTCCAGACCTAGCTCTCGCGGACACTCCCGTGTCCTGTCTGATCAGGAAGAAGAGGATGAAGATTTGAACGGCACCCCGAATGGAAAGCCAGAAGACGAGGCCAAGCTCTCGGAATCCAAGGCTACTGGTAGTGTCAAGTGGTCGACCGTCAGCATGTACCTCCGCGCCATGGGTCCGTGGTACTATTGGGTCGGTGCCGTTTTTGTATTCTGCTTGCAGCAGTTGGGTTCTGTTTCCACCAACCTCTGGATTAGACAGTGGGCAAACTCTTACCATGCCCACAAGGCTGGGACCGAGGATGTCGGGCAGTACGCCGCCGCGGCCCACCTCAAGCCCCCCACTTTCAACATTGGAAGTGTTGGGCGCGTGAGCAGCTGGGGTCTACCCCAACTTGGCGCTAGCTCTGCTAGCGAGGCTGATGGGCAGGTGAACGTGGCTTATTACTTGAGTGTCTATGCACTCCTGGGATTCCTCTATATCGCAATCTCTTTGTCTCGCGAAGCTGTATTGTTTTGGGGCTCGCTCCATGCCTCATGGAAGATTCATGATCGCCTTCTCAGGGCTGTCATGCACGCCAAGTTCCGCTTCTTTGACTCCACGCCTCTTGGACAACTGATGAACCGGTTCTCCAAGGATGTTGAGTCTGTCGACCAGGAAGTCGCTCCTGTTGCTATCGGCATGCTTCACAGTCTGGCATCTGTGATTATGATTGTCATTCTGATCTCATGGATCACTCCAGGATTCTTAATTGCTGGTGTGTTCATCACCCTGGTGTACACTGCCCTCGGTGCCGTCTATTTGAACTCTTCCCGAGATCTCAAGCGTCTGGAATCTGTGCAGCGCAGCCCGCTATACCAGCAGTTTGGTGAGACCCTGAACGGTATCGTCACCATTCGTGCCTATGGTGATGGTCCTCGCTTCATGGTCGACAACCACCGCCGCATCAATGCCTACAACCGGCCACACATCTACCTCTGGGCTAGCAACCGCTGGCTCGCTCTCCGCGTTGACTGGACCGGTGCTCTGGTCTCGTTCTTTTCGGCGACCTTTGTGTTGCTGAACGTTGGAACGATCGATGCTGGTGCCGCTGGTCTTTCACTGACCTACGCCGTGACATTCACAGAGAACGTCCTCTGGCTTGTGCGTCTGTACTCCGAGGTCCAGCAAAACATGAACTCCGTCGAGCGTGTAAGAGAATATCTTGATGTGGACCAGGAGGCAGCTGCTGTTATCGAAGAATCACGACCTGCGGCTGATTGGCCCAGCCAAGGTGCGGTCGAGTTCACTAACTACACCACGCGGTACCGACCCGATCTGGACCCAGTTCTCAAGGAGGTTTCGTTCTCTATCAAGGCCGGCGAAAAAGTCGGTATTGTGGGTCGCACCGGTGCTGGCAAGAGTTCTCTCGCGCTGGCTCTCTTCCGCGGCCTCGAAGCCGAGAAGGGTCACATCATCATTGACGGCGTTGACATTGGGTCAATTGGACTGCGGGATCTGCGCGAGTCCATCACCATTGTTCCCCAGGATCCGACCCTGTTCACAGGAACCCTCCGCAGCAACCTTGATCCCTTCGGTCTCTTTAGCGACAAGCAGATCTTCACAGCCCTCCGTCGCGTGCACCTAATCGGAACCAGTGCGTCAGGCACCGCAACCCCCACATCCACGAGCAGTTTCACCGCGACGGAATGCAATGTCAACGGCAACGGCAACGGCGTGAGCAGCAGCGCAGTGACTGTAGTCGACAATAAAAACATCTTCAACAACCTCGACAGCCAAGTCTCAGAGTCCGGCTCCAATCTGTCTCAAGGCCAGCGTCAGCTCCTCTGCCTTGCCCGCGCCCTGCTCAAGAACCCCCGCGTCTTGATGATGGACGAAGCAACCGCATCTATCGACTACGCCACCGACGCCAAGATTCAAGAGACCCTTCGGGAACTGAGCAGTAGCACAATCATCACCATCGCCCACCGTCTGCAGACCATCATTGACTACGACAAGGTCCTGGTCCTCGACCACGGCCGCGTCATCGAGTACGACCACCCCTGGACTCTCATCAACAAAAAAGACGGCCTCTTCCGCGGCATGTGCGATAACAGCGGGAATATGGACGTTCTTCTAGATGGGGCTCAGCGCGCTTGGACGCAGAAGCGTCTTGTCGATGATTCATGAAGCACCGGTGAGCGCAGTTGTTCCCCCCCCCTTTTTTTTTTCTCATTTCCCCCATCTTATAGAATCTCTCGCGTACATATCCATTGTTACCCTACTTTGTCTATTACCTACTGTTGGTTTCCCCCGCTCCTTCCTTGGGGCGGGCATGCAAAAAAGAGAGAGCGAAAGAGACATCCATGTAACCATCATCTTACAGCCCATAGGATTTATCATCTTTATCATCTCTTCCAATTTTATCATGGTTCTGCTCATGGCATACTTCTTCCTCGTGCACCGGTGTAGTTCGTGTCTTCGGTTGCCTTTTTGCGCCTTTTCTGCTATGTTGCACTTGCATCTGTTGAGAACATTTTCTGTGTTTTTGTAATCTTATATTCATTCCATCGTTGCATGGTATATGTCAGGATGCATGCTTCTGATGGCGAATGAGAATGCTTGTGAAATTACTTGAGGTTGTGCAGAGCTTTTTGTTAAAATCTCCCATTGGCTTGACATGTAGATAGGTTCACAGCATTCCTTAAGAGTCACGGTTTTCAATGTATCTGTATTCAGAACAAGTGAGCCTACGATGGTCCTCTGACACTCGAAAGCACTCTGGTCAGAAACCCTGTATTGAAGATGATCCCAAAGAATAGTAGGGCATCTCGTCATGAACCTGTTCATCCTCAATGCCCGAGCTTCTTCTTTACCGGCACCTTCCGAAGATGAACTGTCTAGCGTTTCATTTCACCCGCATAAACGCCATCTTCGATTTCTCTAAACCGACATTCTCATTGCTTATCGCAAGTCGGGGTGCGAAGGTGATGGGCATGATTCCCAGTTGGATCACACGATTCAACCAAGTCATCGCGCATCAATGACTGTCATTCAGGATCTACCCCCGAGTCCTAATGCCGGAACTCATATCCCCCTCCTGTTTGTCGATGAATTCCACCAAATCGTCACAGATGTCCCATATCGGGCATGAGGTCGATCACCCTAGACCGGGACTGGATCGAGTCCCACACGAATCAAACGACCCTCCGACCGAGTGGAGAAAGGGTAGAGCTCCCAAAGCTGGATATCCTCCATGGGAAGTCGCAGAGCCCTCGTAGCATCTTTGACTTGTCTCCTTAGAAAAAAGCATGTGGAACGAAACGGGAGAGTGAGATAGGGGGTTCAATCCGAAAATCGATCCAACCGTCACAGTCGCATTTTCACGTAGCGCGGATGCCCCTCAATACGGTGAAACAACACACGATCGCAGCTGAGACAACGAAGAACCCAACTGGCGGCCAGTAAATGCGGTGATCGTCTGATGCCAATGCGCCCATGACAGATTCTGTCCGATGGGACTGCAACTGCGACTGCGACTGGTTCAGCTTTGTGTCTTGGCTTATGTCCCGATCCGGTTGTGGTTGGGTCGATGCATCCGTGCCGATCGCAGTCTCCGGATCCGGAAGTAAATTTTGAAGCTCTGTCTTCGTCTCCATTTTGTGGTCTTTTGATCTATCCCCCGGGGTTGAGCGCGGGGGGTTTGAGGAGAACACGAAGCCTGCTTCGCGCATGGCGGTCTCTTTCAACATCGCTGCGAGCTCATCTTCATCGGGTAGGGTTTTTAGGAAGTCGTATCGCTTGTTGTAGACATTGGTTGAGGGAAGAGAATTGGATGCGACCGAGATTTCGTACGTCGGCAGTGCGAGGATTTGGATTGACTGCATCAATATCCAAAGCAGGGCCAGTTTGTGGGCCATCTTCCGAGATGCTCTGGTGATCTGCGATGACGAATGACAGCGAGGATTTGATCAGATCGACACGGTTCTTCTAAGCCAGAGATAAGTATATTTTAGACTACAGAGTAAGTGAGAAGGGAAAGAGAATAAATAACCAAAAGATAACATCATAGAGACGAAGAGCACGTGGAGTCGCATTTGGATTCGGAACCGCATGTTCTCTCAGACATGGTGACTTCGTCTTGGTACCTTCGTATTCTATTAGTATATGAGATAGTCTCTCCTCTAGTCTAGTTTGACTTCAGTCCACACCCTTGTTTTTCTCTCTCTCTTTCTTTTAAGGGTGTAGCCCTGTCGGATTGGCCAATAGATCACAGCCTAATGCACCCGTGGTCCCTTTCTGCCACAATCCTGCAACTGTTACAGACCCAGAATAGAGAGCGATGAACTTTTTATCCCATGGCGCCTCCAATCATGCCGAGGAAAAAGAGCACGGTGTTACTCTCCATGCAGGGAGGCACCACTAGCGAAAAAGCGTCGCTGACTTTTGTCTACCCCGGGCGGATTACCCTTAGCTTGCATAGTCGGAGGCTGTTGCCCGACTCATCTCAAGATATCTAGCCTTTGGGTGCGTCTCTCGACTTCCACATGCCAAAAATCCTATACTCTGAATGGAAATCGAAACTAGCGTTGTCGATGAAGTTTGATACCCTCGTTACCAGTTTCTAGATAGAAACTACCTCTTCCTGGATCACATGTTAAGATTCCAATGCAACCTCTAGTTGAAATGGGAGGTACTCGATCAAGAAAGAATGACAGAGATCAAATTACAATCCAGAACTGCTGGCGTCGTACTTGCGGCGCGAACCAACGGGTTCCAAAACAGGCCACATTCGCAGCTCGAAGGTCAGACTAACACCCTACTTCCAAGCAAGGCCAAATATCCTAGTGCCAACATGCGGAATAATAACACGGTTATATTTCAAGACGATTTGCCAGCCGCCCAGGGCATTTCCGTCCGCGATACCATCCCGAAGTGACTCATCCTGACTGATTGAAGAGGCGAACCCACCAAGTTACGAATCAGCCCATTTTTTTTTATCTGGCGCGGAGTGATGAAGTCCAGAGTTACTGATGTCAAATTGCGACCAAGCTTGGTTCCGGGAGCAGATCGAATGTGTGGCTTGCAAGGGACCTTTCCCCGTTCCATAACGGCCCCATCACATTACAAGGTACAATTTGGACAAATCAGGTGGCGCTGGTCGAACGCGCGATCTGTGACTCTTAGGATGAAATCCCATCATTCTTTTGCATTGAAAAAACTGCCGGTGGCGTTGAGCTGGATGTTCTGCGGCATACAACAAGAGAGAACTGTCAACACGAGGGTTGACATCTCGTTCGAAAATGATTTGAAGGATTTTCCGTCTAGGGAGTCTCAGGGAGTCATGTGTGTCTCGTCTTTGAACCTGTACGCGAATCACTGAGAAAAAATTGCCAACGATGGCAAGATGGTATGATGCTTTCGAAGATGGTCAAAAATAAAACTCCAATACTCCAAGCGCTGGAATATCTCCACTCTGGATGTCATATAATCCATATCCGACAGGTCGTTTCAGCTGTGACATTCAAGAATGTGGTCTTCATCCGAAAAAAAAAGAATCAGTTTCAAACCCGGGTGACATCATGGTACGACTGGAAGATCATAAGCTTCTGTCCCAAGATGCTCGAGAGGAGTTTAAGGACCACCCCAGAAGCAATGCAATGATAGACGCATTATCTCTCTGCCTCCCTCATACTAGCACAAACAACCAACCAGTCTACCGACAATAAGTTAATGACCGAGCGTGACTGTTCAGGCGACCAATATCTCTGACGTCCATAGTTTCGAGTGCTTAATCTGCCATTCGTACACGTTCCAATGAGGCCGACAGTCGTTATATGGAGAAATAGTGTCAACTAGAATATCTCAAGACCAGAAATGTTTAATCCACCAACACAACGGTTCTTTCAAAATGGATGTGGTGAGTAAAGGCTGCAACCTGCTATTTCGGTAACATGTCTACAGATGAAGGTCCATGCTAGATATTAGGTAAGCCTCGCTTAACGTATTAGGTAAGCGAGTGGGCCATGTAAGCGAGCTGGCCACCCCAACCAAAACGCGTCTATGAATTAGATCTTAGTTAGTCCAACCACCCACCATGCCACCAATTCGTACTCAATCCTCTCGAAATTCAATAGAGTAGGAGGGTAGGATCTTACTAGCTATCCAGGCTTTTAAGAATCAAGAAATCTCTTCAATTCGTGAAGTGGCGCGCCGTTTTAACGTCCTAAGATCCACCCTTTC